TCTTCAATTCGTACAGCAGCCCTGAGTGAAAGAAACATCCAGAGTGGGTTCAGAGCTACTGGATTAGTTCCATATGATCCAGAGCAGGTTCTTTCACGTCTCAACACCCAGATGTGTACACCAACCCCCCCAGGAACCTCTCATAGTTCCCAATCCTCTTGGGTCACGGCCACACCACATAATATACGCCAAGTGGAGCTCCAGGCTGAGAAGGTCAAGGGATATATGCAGCAGTGCATGCAGGGTCCATCCAGTCCGACCAATCGAGCTCTGAATCAGTTGATCAAGGGATGTTGTATGGCCATGCACAGTGCTGCCATTCTGGCAGCAGAAAACAGGGCACTGAAGGCTGCAAATGAGAAGCAAAAGAGAAAGCAAGAGAGGCGCCGTACATATATAGGACAGGAAGATGCTTTAACTATTGAAGAAGGGATAGATCGTGTACGAAGAGCTAATGAAGAGGAGAGTAGGGTGGTTGAGGTTACTGAGGAAAGACCACAAAAACGTGCTGCACGTCAGTGCAGTATATGTGGAACAGTTGGGCATACTGCCCGTACATGCTCCCAGCGTACAAGAAATAGTTCTTAATGTAATTAGATGATTTCTCTATATAGTTGTGGTGAAATTTGACTGTGAAGCTGTATGATGGTGGGGAAGTGTCCGACTAGGCCATTTGTCCGACTAGGTTATAGATCACGTTATTACTAACAAAATAAACAAAATTCATGCAGTCTATACAGTGAACTTCATCCCCCCGTTGGCATTAACCACGCTCCCCGTACACCACGCCGCATCGGGCGTGCACAGCATTGCCACGACGCCAGCAATCTCGCTGGTAAACGCTGGTCGACGACCACCCATCTTCTCGTAAATCAGGCGAACCTTCTCCTCGTCCACGCCGGCCAGGTCCTTGCCCTCCGGGTCGACCTTGCTCAGCGGCGTGTTGTCCTGCCAGCCCTGCATGTCTTTCCAGAACTGCTCGCCGGTCAAGAAGTACATGTCGCCGATGACGGGGCCCGGGTTGACGGCGTTGACGGTGGCGCGGTCGGCCAGCTCGCGCGACCAGGTGCGCGTCATGGCCTCGATGGCAGCCTTGGTGCCGCCGTACACGGACTGGCCGACGAAGCCCAGGCTGGACGACACGCTGGAGATGTTGACGATGCGGCCGGAGCGGTCGGTGGGCAGGTAGGGCACACAGGCCTGGGTGAGCAGCAGCGGGGCGAGCACGTTGATGTTGTAGTGCCAGTGGAAGTAGTCGGGCGTGATGGGGCCCTTGACGGGGTCGTTGAGCCGGCGGTCCTGCGAGACGCCGGCGTTGTTGATCAGGATGTCGATGCGGAGGGTGTGCGTGTCAGGGTTCGTGAAGTGCTCTTTGGCCGCAGACAGGATGGTGGCGGTGCCGCGCTCGGGGTCGGCCAGGTCAGCCTGGACGACTGCACATCGAACCGAGTGTTCTGTCGACAGCGAGGCAGCGAGCTCTTCGGTGCGGGCACGCGACGAGTCGGACGTGTAGTTGAGCAGCAACGAGCAGCCTTTGCTGGCCAGGTTGCGGGCGATGGCCTCGCCGATGCCTGAGCAGTTAGCACAGTACCTAGATACTGACGGGAGAGCAGACAGCATACCCCGTGATGCTCCCGTGACGATGCCAAACTTGCCCTCCAGGGGGCGAGCCTGCGAAGACGCCATGATCTAGTAATGCAGAAACGAAATAATACTGAAAGAAAGGGAAAGAAAATCAATCAATCAATCGTTGAACCTGGCAGTTGTCAACAATCGAGTTATATAAAAGGCAGAGAGAGAAATACCCCGCACAAGAAATTTATCTCCTTATAAATTGAATCTACTCAATACAGGAAAAGAATCTGTCTGACAAGAATGAACAGTCGGCTAATAAACAACATCAAAGAAAAACAAACAAACTTTTCGTCTTTTTTAACTCAACAACGATCAATCAATCCATTTCAATACGACCCCTCACGTGGCCAGACTCTGGTAATAATGCCGGAGAGTTCCCCGACGCGGGGCATCAACTAAACAATTAACCTAGAATTATCTGCCATTGAATCTACCTATCTAGATAAAGTATTTAACCGACATGGAGATTGGCTAAAAATTGCAAAGTTCCGGCGGGGTGGAAGATGCGTAGCCTTTCTGGGTTAGTGCGGGGATTTACAGATATAAATAAATAGGCACACGTGATGGTTCACGTGATGCTTTATTGTATTGCCTAATACGGAATACTCTATGGTTTTTGGCAATGACCTCTTGCAAGGCAGATGTTTAGTATGTATATCAGCTTATTGTTATAGATTATAATATACGAGTTTCTTACTGAGCAGTAAAATCAATTAGGTGATAGTTAGTCCAGTCCAATGCTGTACCAGAACATTTGGGGAGGAATATACGCGCCTGTTCAATATCTTACGAGCATATTCTATTTCTATATAGCATCTCCGTGAGAATCTCCTCTTCCTTCATTCTTACTCTGATTACTACAATTTAATTGATCGATCAATCTTACTGAGCTGTAATAGAGTCTTTCAGCATTGGCGTATATCCTTCTCGTTTATTGCATCATGTGTCAGTCAGTGTTCGATATATCATTCCATACCATACTCAGGTACATACATGCCATCTTTCCTTCTATGCCCTATAATATGCATACAGTAATTAACTAACTACATCGTATGCGGCTCCTGGAGATTGACACAAAATTCGACATGAATCAATCAATGACTCTTCAAACTCAATATGACTGCAAATATGACTAACAAAGTGCATTATAAGAAGCTGTCCAGCAAGAAGGGATTCATTCGCAATGCTTTATTTCTTCCTTCATCTACATAACCCTGAAAAGGTCAGACAAAGATCAAGCAAGTCTGAAAATACTTGTTCTTGTGCGCTGCTCTCTACATAATATAATCTGCAAGTGGGATATAAATCAGTTATCCAACTGTCGCCTTCTATTGTTGACCTATTTATCATTCAACCACCTACCTTTCTTATATCTGCCCTTAGTCACATCAAGCAAACTACCTAGTTCACAAGATGCCGGGCCCGAACGAGGATAATGACACCAATAATGAAAGAACTCTCCGGAGCGTTTGGATGACCGTCGAGTTTTATAACAATAGACCGATAACTTTGCGAGGAAACCAATTGATCATTGAGCTCTGGGTCAGGCCACGGGGCAAGTATAACTATGCAATCGAACGACAAACAGTGGCAGTTATTCTTAGAGCGAGGGACACCGCTGACCCTGCAGTCCGATTGGAAGCCGCTCGCAATAGTCCTGCGATTCTGGAATCAAGTGGATACTGCCGCGTTGTCTGCAATGGCACTGGTTTTGTCCCGGGGAGAACATATTCATTTACTGGTCAGGTGAACCAGCGGCTTGGTAACCCATCTGTATACTGGTCGTCGGATTTTGGCATACCCCTGGGGGATCGCATGGTCCAGGAGAGAGGCAGTGCAAACGAAGAGTCTGATGGTACCAGCGATGAAGAAGAACAGGGCGCGTCTTCCAATGGCAATGCTACCGGATGGACTAATGGTGTCAGCAATGGAAGTGGCAATGCGGACAGTGATGCTTAACCATTCCAGCGGGATGGTGAGCTACCCTATCCTAGCTATCATTGCATAGGTAGGACAGGTATGTCGGCGTATATGTCTGTTTTTTTCCTTCTGGCCTTGAGTGACCTTCTTCAATTCATGTATGAGTATGTCTGGCATCCGTATACCTTCTTTCTTTCTTGGATTGAGTGCTTTTCATTATCGTGTTGGAGTATACAAAAGTTGTGTGCTATATGATTTTAATATACGCTAGGGTTTAGCCTTCCTCGATAATACACCCTTGTAGGCTGCTTAGGCCGCTAGATACCATCATCATACTCGTTTTGCACCGTGCCCTCCACCTTCGCATACGACTCCCACGCCGCGCAGTTTTCCTGCAGAAAGTCATAGTCGATCAGACTTCGCGCCACATCGTACTGCTCGATGAACTGGATGGCCAGCCCCATCTCCGTATGCCATCCGATATGGCAATGCATCAGCCACGCCCCAGGGTTGTCCGTCTTGAAGGCGACCACCAAGTAACCCGATGCAGGGAGCACGGCAGTGTCTCGTCGCGGCGGATTCGTTAGGCTGACCAGATCCGTCGCCGGGTCGTAGGTGCCCGTGCCCTGGGCCAGGATGTAGAAATCGTGGCCGTGCAGATGCACCGGGTGCGGCACCGCGATGGTCGTCGTGATCACCACGTACGCCCACTCGCCCGCCGTCGGCAGCTGGATCACGCCGCTCGTGTTGGAGAAGGACGTCGCGTTGTTGTAGATCTGCAGCAGCGTCGGGTTGGCCCAGTCCACCGACATCGACGTGTCGTTCATGTACCACAGGAACACGTTCGCCGCCGCCTGCTGGATCGTCACCGGCTCGCTCTCGTTCCAGTAGTAGTCCCCCGCGTCCAGCGCCAGGTACGGCACCAGATTGCTCAGGTCCTCGTCGTCGCAGCTGTCCGTGTACGCGTATCCGGTCGTTGTCGGCGTCGAGGGCGAGTCGCCGTAGTACACGATGCCCTTGATGTTGTCCGTGCTGTCGTTCTCCGAACAGGCAGCCTGGGGGATGGCGCGCATCCAGAAATTCTCCGCCACAGATTCCTTGTCTGCCGTGACGATGATGTCGTAGCGTTGACCTGGCGTCGTTAGCAAGAGAACTGATTGACGGTAATAAAGCTGCTTACCCATCGCAATGTTAAGAACGGTCGTATTATACGGCTCAATTGGAACAAAGTCATTGGCAATGACCGTGAGAGTGTGATTGTCAATGGAGAACTTGAAATGCGTGTCAATAGCGCCATTGACCAGTCTGAAGCGATACGAGGTGCCCGCCGTGAAGGAGGTGTTGAAGCGATGTCCCGTCTGGGCGGTGGAATTGTCCTCGCCGTAGACATTGGTGCCATTGATGAGGCCATTGTCCAGGGTGGCCGGGCCGTTGGCCAGGACCGAGTCGTACAGCTCGTCGACCGTGGCATGGCTCCAGTCGGTGAGGAACAGGACGCCCTTGTCCTCGTCGTAGTTGGCCGTCGCGGGCCCGTTGATGATGATCCCTCCCATGACGCCCTCCCAGGCCTGCAGGCCGATGTGCGAGTGATACCACGACGAGCCGTACTGCGTCGCTCGCCACGTGTAGGTGATGGTCTCGCCCGGGGCGGTGGGACACTGCGTGATAGACGTCACGCCGTCCATCTGGTTAGTATAGTTCTGGCGGATGCCGTGGAAATGGATGCTGGTGCCGTTCCCAGCCGCGGTGAGATTGTTCGTGACATGCACGACGACCGTGTCGCCCCAGTCGGCCTCGATGGTCGGGCCTGGAATGGTCCCGTTCACCGTGTAGGCGATTCGCTCGAAGCCATCGGGGGCAATGGTCACCTCTTGCAGGGTGAAGTAGTATTCTCGCGTGACGCCCGTGTCGGGCACGACGTCGTAGTAGTTGGTGCTGATGCTGTAGTCGCACCAGGTTGATCTGTCGCTGGCAGTATTTCCTGAACAGGCCTGTCTGGTCGACAGAGGGCTGCCTGTGGCGAGGATGGCGAGGCCGAGTCCAGACAAGAGTTTCATAGTAATATATCAACGAAAGTAGTGTATATAAAGAGAGTGTTTAAAGCAGTCTCCTATAGGTATGAACGAGCGTAAGGTCAATGACATGAAATGAATGTCTTGCTTAATCGAGCATCTCAATCAAGGACCATCACTCTTATATACAAGCCATAAGCAGTATTTACGATGATACCGTGCCTGCTAGAATACTCCATGGGAGTCGATATCTCCGCATGGTGATAGCCACGCAATCAACGTACGTCGACAAAACTCTTGGCTTAACATCCTTATTATTAAATGGTCAGCCATTAAATCTTAATCTATAGTATTATCGCAAGGGTCGACAATAGAAACGCGTATACTATCTATAAGAAACGCCGTGATAATACGATCAGGGGTAGAAAACCATTTACTTTCCGCACAGCTAAGAGAGACGATGATATATCCCAGCTTTTTTGTATCTGAAGAAACGAAACAAATCAACACGAAACAGGAACGACAAGGGAGATTTCCTTGGCTGAAACGTTTCTTATCCTCCGACCCGGAGGAACTGGTATATTCAACTGCTATATTCGCCGAGGTAGATCGTTTCTCCGATCTAAGTGGATGTACTGTACCTGTCAAAGTAAGAACTTTCTTACGCCGCCTGCATGAATGCTGGAATGAATGTATCTATCGAACAGGGTCTGCGTGTCGAAGGCTGAGCATCTTCGTCAGCTTATAGATCCGAAAAATATAGCGGTGTCAACGTCAGCAAAGCGTCAGCCATGGGCGCATGAACAAGAAAGGTCTAGATCTGGGAAGAGGAAAAACTTCTAATATTGGCATGTTTCTGTCAAGTGATCTATCAAGTGATCTATGCGAGATGCGTTCTAGGGCTCGGGAGAATGTTTCACAGTCCCGCTCTCCTGCAGGAACAGAACGAAATCTGCCACGCGTTCCTGATGATAACCTTGCAGAAAAGGTCGTGGAGTGACGTGTCGTCAAAGAAAGGCATTAAAATAACGTTAATGCTCTTCTGCGTTGCAAGGAGTTAAAGGATAACGTTTCCTGCGGAGAGTCAATCCAAGTCCTGGATAGATAAGGACCAACATTCGCTTGTCGACGAAACCAGCATTGTCATTGCCATTGCCATTGCCATTCATTCATTCATTCATTTAATTCATTACAACAGTCATTTTCGTTTGACAAAATGCCTTCAAGACTGGAGTTTCTCTTCTTTCTCTCTGCAGGGGTTTTCATCGCCCTCTTCCCTGCCCTTCCTCACGCAGCGTCGAGCACCTTCAACATCTATGCTTACGGTGGTTCTGCCATGGGAGGCTTGCCTCTTCTCTACTACGAGGGTAAGTATTAGAGAACTTTTCTCGCTCCGTATCCAGCTGACTGAAGACCAGGATACGCCTATGTGAACAATGCGACATCTGCCAACTCGTCTTTCACGAGCATCTACTGTAAGATCTATCCCCCCGTTCGCAAAAAAAATCACCAAACTAAGTCAGAAATAAAAAAATATAGTCACTGAAAGCCCAGATTCCCCCACCACATGGATCGCCCACCCCAACACGACTGCCTCGTCCAATGCGAATGCGAATTTCACAAACCAAGCACTGGCCATCCCCCGCGCGGGATCCTCCACCAAACAAATAGGCTTCGTGTCCGGAAATTCGTCAGCAGCAAACAACGAGACCGTTCCCGAGTTCCATCTCTACGGCGAGACCGTATTCGTGGTGAACAGCACGTCTGGCGAGTGGGAGACGCGCTTCTATGCGGGGGAGACGGATAGCGAGGGGGTGTGGATGTTGTTGTGGGGTGCTGATGAGGAGGAGGAAGAGGGCGTGTTCCCGGTGTCGTTGAGGACGATGCCGCCGTCGAACTAGTAGGTAACTGACCTGCGGCTGTTGCTGTTTCAGAAAATCTAGGTAGCCTCCACTGCTAAGGAGGAGATGGAGATGTCTGTGTTTTAGCTGTCAAGCAATTGAATAGTCTCCAAATTCGCATAAATGTTACACCAAGGCATTCAAAGTCTGGACATGTTAATACAGGGTATATACATGTAGTCAGCATTAAAGTAGAATAATACTAGTTCTTAATTAAAGCACTTAATGATATCTAATATTAGCACCGTGAGCCTCATCCAGAAATCCTCCCGTCAGACTACGTCCTACTAGTGAGTATTAACCCTAAAAAAGAGAGGGAGAGCCCTGCCCGCCAAGCCTTGCCACGCGTCATTATCTTATCTGCATTTATCTATTTCTTCTTCTGGCAATGCAAGACTGGTCTAGAACGTATTCCGCATGGGGTACCAATCATTACTGTCGAAAAAAATTCGAGACAGTAAGATAGTATGTGTGTTTTTGATTGAAGGATAGCCCCTCCTCCCCTGGTAAGGCTAATGTACTGTGCATAGGTGAGAATGAAATCTATACTATATCCTGGGGCAGAAGAACTGTCTGACCAACCGACTACCTGACTCGCTGACAGGATATTAGAAAAGATTGAATCTAAAGTTATTGTATGTACCGTTCTCTACATACAAAGTGGCAGTGGTGGCAGTGGATAAAGTGCTATAATTCGTAGGTACCTACCTACCAAGGTGACAATGACCAATTCTTCTGTAAAATAGTGTGAATTACATCTATCTCAGCTCCAACTATACAGTATCCGCTTGAGTACAGTACGGCGTACATTCCCCCCGTTTATGCAGTGACATGCGTAAGCAGTGCGGTTAAGTAGGTTTGTTCTGTTTCAGACTGGGACATACAAACTAAGCCACCATTGTTTTCTTTTCTTTTCTTTTTTTTTCCTTCGTTTTTTTCGGTTCCCTTTTTTTTTTATTTTGGTCTTGCAGGTTCCTGCCTATCTACCTGGCCAGAAAAAAAAAAGCAACGAGTATTACCCCTTAGGTGCCGGGTTAGATTTATTCCACTTGCTGTGCTTGAGAAAAAGAAAAAAAAACGATGATAGAATTATTAAATGATATGACACACTTGGACCTGTTGGATAAGATAATGACCTCTGGATAATGGCAGGCACCATGTCTACTTCAGGCACCTAGGTGGCAAAAATGTATCCTTAAAAGGTCAATCATTTCAGTTCATGTCAGTGTATGTACAACTGATGGCAATTCAAGAATCATCTCATATCATAATTTTTAGCACGCGTAGGTATATTGTCAGTTCTTGGTAGTGCAATTCAAGCCGTAAGTGCAGTAGCAATAGGATAGACCAGCAATGTCAATCTCATAACCAACTCCAACCATGCAATGAAAAGAAAGAAAACGTCAAAGTGTAATCGTAGAATTCCATCGTAAGTTCATCAAGACCAAGGTATGTGTTTTCCTGTCTGCATCAGGCAGAATATTCGATATCCTGCCCTATCTCATCAGACAGCTCGATCTAGACAGTGCTGCCGTCAATCCCACCGTCTGGCTTGTTCCGCGCGGTCAGCATCCCGCGCCGCCCTCTCCGCCTTGCTGGCCTCGTTCAAGGTCTGCGCGTGGGTCTGCGCCTTCTGCGCGGCCAGCTGGCTGCTCAACTTGCCGCGATTCGAGGCTTGCAAGGCTTCCGCTCGTTTCTGCATAGCAAGACATGTCAGACCCGGATCGAGCGCGATATTCTTTCACTGTCGACTTACCTGTGCAGCCTCTGCGGCTTTGGTGCGGGCATCGCTGCCATCGCCCGAGGGCGCGCCACCGCCGAGCGTCCTCCCGGGGCCTTTGGCGGCGACGTTTTTGGGGACGGGGGCACGAGCAGGACCCTGCTCAGTCGGCGCGGACGATCCGAGGACGCGACCAGGCTGGGAGAAGGGGTCTTGGTTGGCCGATTTCGAGCAGATGTTTCCCATTGTCGGACGTTATATGCGGAGTGTGTGATGGAGAATCAAGCCATGTGCGGGGAACAAGACAAGAGACGTGCCAGCACGGGTAGTATGGGTCGTAGAAATGCAGTGGCAAGTAGATCTGCCGACTCCCCCACACCCGGTGTCGTCCACAGCTTGCTGCCTGGTACTTCTGCCTGGTAGGCTGGTGCTTGGATGCAGGGAACGGGGTCGGTCGATGGTTGGGGTTGATGGCACAGCCGCGGAGTCGGCACGTGGCGTGGTCCGGAGACGCTGCCAACGCCCCGCCACGGCTGCAAGAGGATAATAATGTCGACGACCCGCCAGATTGTGAATTTACGAGACAACAATGGGATTCTGAATACTTGTGAACAGGCTCAATGGGCCTGTCTGCCACTTTTGTTCATTTTTCTCTCAGTCCGATGTGGATTGACCGTGCAGGACGTCTGTTGCATACAGTGCTTCCCACCTAACAGACATCAACGCGGAGTATGGTATGTGCTGTTGTTGCAGCTATTCTCTCGACTCAGCCATTGCTAATAGCCATGCTAATAAGACTTCTATTCAGCAAACATCGTCGATGACCTAGGCCAACTGCTTGTCTCGTTCACGCCTACAACAATTGCGTTGGTACCTATGGCTGCCGGCACAATTGCTGCAATTCGAGGCATCTAACCCGACTAGGAAAGCCAACAGATGTCTACAGGCTACTGGAGCAACTGGCCATAGGCTGAGGCGGTGGGAGACCCCTCATATGGATCGTCGAGCATCGAGCTAGCCGGCGATCCGGAGCGAGCTAATCGATAGCATCCGCCAGGGGAGCGTGCGGGCCAGCTCGCCCTTGCCGCGCCCGCCACACCGCCGGGCAGATCCAGCGCGAGATCGTGCGAAGAAATTACTATGTCTTCGAAGTCTGCAGACGAGCGAGGCAGAGCCCTGGCAGGCGCTGGGCGATGACCGGGCTGTGACGCTCCTGCTGACGATGGAATCCCGGCGCGCCTGCCTGTTGCGGGCTTACGATTGGGCGAGCGGCCATTCGCCGCCGAGGGAAGGTGCAGATGACGGCTAACCACCAAGGTCCCCATCCTGATCGTGCCTGCCCTCTGCGCTCCTCCTCCACGCCGCGCCTGCCTCGCGGGCAGGATCCCCCTCTGCTGCTGTGCGTTTTATCTGCTGCCTCCATGTCTGTGCCCGTCGACTGCTTCTGGCTGCCGCTGTCGATCCTTCCGTTCTCCCGCCTGGCGCACGTCCGTCGGTGACGCCTGCGCCTGGTAAGCGTACCTTGTGGCCATCACTGCGTGCTGCCGGGCTGACGTCGTCGTTTCTCGTAGAAATCCGCCTCGTCCGTGTCCGTCGTATCGTCCCGCCGAAGGAATCATACTGGGAACCACGGCGTTCCCACCAGAGGGCGTTCTTGCCCTTCATGTCTCTGCCAGAGCTGGGCGAGTTCTGCCTGGACTGCCATTGGGAGGCCTTGGATGCTACTCCAGCGAGAATGTCGATGCTCCCGCCGGGTGCCGTCGCCCCCGACCAATGGGCCTGCCATCGTGACGAGCACAGCACCAGCTGTGGCATCGACGACTCCTGCTGCAAGGTCGACAATTGCTCGCTGAACTGCTCCTCCGTCTGCGATGGCTTCGTCGACTGCGACAACTCCACCGTCTGCTCCGAGTCGCACTGCGACGACGTCAACTGCGGGAACACGGGGCCCATCTGCTTCGACAAGAACTGCTTCGGCGACTCCCAGAGCGTCGACCACAGCATTGCCGATTTTCTGGCCCAGGATGCCTCCCTGACGTGGGACCCCTCGGCATTCCTGCCGCCCACATCGGGGGAACAAAGCCAGAATCCTCAGTCCAGTGAAGCCGAGACGCAATTGCCCAAGGGTTCCGGGGACGAACAAACCCCCGACGCACAGCTGGCCTTTTCTCAGCCTTCTCACAGTCACGCATGTCATGGTTTCTCTAAAGACAACGTCGGGCTCTGGAGCCCTGCCTACTCCAGCCAGACGGATCTGACTAACGTGGATATGTATGACATGCTTGGAGCCTCCTCCGGTGTGCCTAATGTTCAACAGGGACAGCCGAATGGCGGCAACTTTGAGAAGCTGCCTTGCTTCGTAGGCAACGGTGCCCCCTCGTGCTCGGATGCTGGGTATCAGCATCTCGGCTGCTATCTCAGAAACTCGGGCGATACCGGCCTGCAGCAATTCTCTCGTGCGCAGTCGCAAGCCCGGGTCCACCGTCATCTCCACAGCCACTCTCATCACCGAGTCTCCCACTACGCACGGCATTCCCGGTGCAGCGACAGTTCTCATCTCCTGTCGAGTCCTGTCGAAACTCCCCCGCCGCTAGATGGCGGGACATCTTCGATTTTGACGAGCCCCACGACAGCGTTGGCCGACGACGATGAGTCGCACGTGTGCCGATGGACGTTGGATCGGGCTGGGACGAAATCGGTCTGTGGGGCTTTCTTTGCGGATGCCAGTGCTCTGCAACAACACCTGGTCACGGAGCACATCGATCCTGTTGATGGAGCGAAGGGTTACGGGTATTACTGTCGGTGGGAAGGCTGTCACCGGCCGGACGAGCCGTTCTCTCAAAAGTCCAAGCTGCAGGGACACTTTTTAACCCACAGTAACTGTATGCCTTTATTGTCTGAGTGTGGGCCAGCCATCGCTGACTGTTTCTGACAGACAAAAGCTTTAAATGCTCCGTGTGCGGGAAGTTGTTTGCAAGACAGGCGACTCTCGAGCGACATGAGCGAAGCCATCGCGGCGAAAAGCCCTACAAATGCCAAGAGTGTGGGAAAGCGTTTACCGACAGCAGCGAGCTCAGTATGTGTACTGTCGATTGTGGTGTTGGCCAGGCTAACAGCAGCAGAAACGCATACCCGTACCCATACGGGTGAGAAGCCGTTCAAATGTACCTTTCCGGGGTGCAACTTTCAGACGGGTGATGTAAGTGCTGCTCTTGATTCTTATTATCATCTACTAACACTATGATAGTCATCCAATATGTCGAGTCACAAATTAAGTATGTATCTCTGGTCTGGTATTTCTTTCTCTCTACTGACCGGAATAGCACATGGCGAACGCAAGCACAAATGTAATTTTCCTGGTTGTTCCAAAAGTTTTACTCGTCCTGGTAAGTCAGACTCTCTTCCATCAATCGCTTCGCGCCTGTAGTAACTGTACTTTTAGACCAGCTCAAACGCCACCAAAAGACCACCCACAAACTCGACACCCCGGCAGTGTCAACCCCAGCCATCGATCGATCTCCTTTTCCATCCGTAGCAGCTACATCGTAATCACAGCGGTGGCAGGCGCAACAGGGAAATAGGCAGGCGTGAAGGCGAATTGCTTGCTCTTTTTTTTTTTTCTATCTACCTATCTACACGAGCCATCGTTCACCATTCGTCTCTTGCTATTGCCCACGAGAACGAGCAGGAAACACGACATATACCCGGATTGATTGGTATAGCGATTGGGTTTTTCTTTTCTTTTCCTTTTCAATCTGGATGTCTAGAGGAATGTAATATAGAGGAAATAAATAAATGAATGGATAAGAGGAAGAAAGAGCTACAAAGCAAAAAAAAACTTTCCTATCTGAAAACGTTCTAATTAGCCAACATATACAAAAGAAATCTCAAATATATATACATGCACTGTCCTTGCTAAAGCAAACTAAAGCTGAATATTCGAACTACGAATAGAACAGAGAACAGAGACAAAAATTCTCATCTCATCTCATCTCATCTCATCTCATCTTGCATGAGCTATTTATTTATTTATTTATTCATTATTCAAGAGATTAATTATTTTAATAATGATTAGACAACATTGTATCTCCCGCTTGCAGGCAGGCGGGCCTCGCTATCCGCCGCCGCGAGGGTGGCCTCCTTCAACAGCCGCATGAGCTCCTGCATTGCCTTGGTGACCACCAGCTCCGTGTCGCCTTCAACAAGAATGTACAGCTTGGGGTTGTCGCCTGGGCCAGGCTCCTTGCCAGGAGGATAGTAGCTGCCTTTTGTTGTGATCGATGTACCCGTGGCTTCCAGGATCTTGGCCACATTTGTGCGGTTGGTGACGGCCCAACGTGCTTTTTCTGTATGACAACACTGTTAGTAAATGCGTAATAATAGAAATGGACAAAGAAGGAAACTTACGAGGAAAGTCGTTGATTTCCAACGTCGCATGGAATGCTCCCGCATCTGGTCCCTTGTTGTCGATGGGAGCTCCCGACCTCATCACGCCGGCTCGGTTCAACCGTGCATGGATATCCGCCACCGCTGAACCGACCTTGTCCAGAGGATCGTTCGAGTTCGACGGCCGCGGTCCCGGTCTCTCCGTCTTGTGCACCGTGATCTTGCCATCCAGGTTCGGCACGTTGGGTACCCCAGATGGCTGCACGGCAGAGGCCGCCTTGGCGAAGATGTCTTCTCCCTTGTTGTCGACCTTCTCTTGCTCCTCCTCATCGCCTTCCTCGCCCGTCCGGTACGTCTTGCGCTCCCGGTTCCGTGCAGCGTCACGCTCCTGATCCAGCCGCTCCAGTCCTTTGCCGCCAAAGCCTGATCCGCCCGCCTTCTCTTTACCGGCCTTCACCTTCTCCATGAAGGAGTCGACCATTTTCTGCACGGGCTCCGGAACCGGCTGGCCGCTCTGCTTGAGCGCCTTAGCAATATCAACTGAATATCGCTCCTGCTCCTCCGTCAAGAACGTAACCGCCGTGCCCTTATTTCCAGCACGTCCGGTTCGTCCTGCGCGATGGACGTAATCCTCCAGATGGTTGGGAGCGTCATAGTTCACAACGAGCTTGAGCTGTTTCACATCGAGTCCACGAGCGGCGACCGAAGTTGCAATCAAGACCGGGAAGACACCTGCCTTGAAATCATCGATAGTCGAGTCTCGATCGACTTGGTCCTTGCCTCCGTGGATCGACATGCAAGGATAGCCCTTGCGCATCAGCTCACGAAGAAGACTGTCAGCGGCTTCTTGGCGGTCAACAAAGATCAGAGTCCGCGCGTCCTCATTCGCTTCATCCGAGTAGAAATTGCCCAGCAATTCCAGCAGGCGCACGAACTTGGTGTCTTCGTTTCTCACCTCGACAATCTGCGTGATCTCGGGCGCGACCACACTCTTACCGCCGACGATGATTTCCACGGGTTTGGTCAGGGTCTTGCGCGCCAGAGCTTCCATGTTGCGAGGAAACGTCGCTGAGAAGAGGACTGTCTGGCGCGTCGGTCGGATGTTCGCCATGATCTTCATGACTTGGGGCTCAAATCCCATGTCAAACATCCGATCTGCCTCATCAAGTACCACATAGGTCACTCTCCGCAGGTTTGTCACTCTGCCTGCATTTGCAGCCAGGAGATCGATCATCCGTCCGGGCGTGCAGACGATGATCTCTGCTCCGCGTTTCAACTCGGCAATCTGATCCTTGATTGGAGCACCGCCATACGCACACACGGCTCGAAGACCCAGCGCCTTCAGGAATGGCTTGCAGTCCTTGTGGATCTGCGTCGCCAGTTCTCGAGTCGGCGTCATGATCAAGCCGATAGGACCTTCCATGTTCTCCAAAGGCCTCTGGTCTTTGATATGTCGGAACATGGGAAGAAGGAAGGCAATGGTCTTTCCGGACCCAGTTTTGGCGACGCCTATCACGTCTCTGCCAGACATGATTGCAGGAAGCGCCTGGGACTGGATGGCGGTTGGTTTTTCATAACCAAGTTTGCGGATTACATCCATTATTTGCACACCTAATCCGCACTGCGACCACTTGAGAATCGGTTTGGGGACATCGAGTCCACGGACTTTGATGCCGTCGAGCTCGAGTCTCAGATTCGCGACCTCTTCCTCTGTCATCTCAGCAAGATCAGCAGGCTCGGTATAGAAGTTTTGCGGAAGGGTTCATAATCTATCTTGGAGTGATCAACGGTGGGGATATCCTTCTTCTTCTTCTTATTCGCAAGCGCGAGGAAGTCCTCGGCGTCGCCCTCGCCAACGGCACTCATGTCCATGTCATCTTCATCACCAAAGATAGCCTCGGGCTGCTGCTGTTTGGATTTCGAGAACTTCGTGCCATTGGTCCTCTGGGCGGAAGCAGTGTCCGTTAATCCGGACATAAAAGCATCAAGAGGGTCGATCTCCTCTTCGCCTGCTTGTTGCCCAGCAGCAGCACTGTCCTGTTGCGGTGCTTCGGCCATGGCAACGTCGCCATTGGCTTCGGCACTTAGCGCGGCCTGTTGGCTTTGCAGGCGTTCTTCTCGCTTCTCCGCCGCCGCACGAGCAGCAGCAGCATTTTCTTCCTCTGTGCCGCCATCCTGCATGTCGATGTCCGATTCTTCGTCTTCAACCGTCCCGTCAGCCGCGGCGTCTTTCGCATCGTCAAGTGGAGGCGTCGGAAGTCGTTCAAGCTTCCTTTGCGTAGACTCTTCCTCGCCAAAGCCCAAGGTCCGCTGCGTAGAAGGTTTATCGGTATCGGCAGCAGCCTTGGAACCTAATCCAAAGCTGCCGACATTACCGCGCGCTTTCAACGGAGCAGCTGGATCATAAGCGTTAGCCAACGAACTGGCTAGAAAGTCTGCAGGGCCTATTGACTCACCAAAAGACTTGCTCTCCACGGCTGAGACATTGTTAGCATTTGGTGCTCCATTGGATTTAGCAGAATCAGGGACCGCAACGTCCTTGCCCAGTGGAGACGGCCCTGTCGAGGTGGCAGTGGCCTTCTTCGCAATTGCTTTCGGGTCGAATTTCCCAGCATTTTCAGCCGGAGTAGCTTCCTGTGAAGGAGGAGCCGTGGCTTTGGTCGAAGCAACAGCGGGCGACAGCCTAGATCTCTTGTCTATTTCCTCCAAGATGTTCCGTGCGCCGCCGGACGCAGCGAGTTCACGTTGTTTGCGTTCCCGCTCCGCTGCCTGTTTCTGCTTCCAGGCCTCCAATTTGGCCAGTCGTTCCGCCTTCTTCTCTTCGTCTGTCTGGGCCGCAGGCGTTGGCGCTGATACCTTCGAAGCCTGCGCAGCAACGTCAGTCATGGTGTGAGAGGCAAAATCGGTCAAACCCCTGTTACGCACCTCTCGGGACCTGGAGTCCGACTCTCTTGGGGAAGCACGGTCTCTGCTGTCATCCCGTCTATACTTGTGCCTCGAGTCAGTAGAATCGTCTCTCCGCCTCCGAGCCCGGTCGCGGGAGTCATCTCGCCTGCTTCGATAGTCTCTGTCACGACTCCTGTCTCTAGAGCGACTTCTCCGTCGATAGTCATCCCGGTCTCTGGAGCGGGAGCGGCGACGATCCCGAGAACGGTCCCGCCTGCTCGGTCTGTAGATGTCGTCGTCACGGTAGTCATCGCGATCGCGCCTGTCTAGCGATCGATCGCGTCTCCTGTAAGAATCCCGGTCTCGGTCACGATCTCGGTCGCGATCACGGTATCGCCTCTGCAGCAGCGAGGGTTTTGTGAGCGATAATGCGTCGTGGATCATCGGCCCACGGCGTTGTGCACCTACCTCTGCCGGACTGCGTGATCGACGGTAACTCCTCCCATCATCATGCCTGCTCCTCTCGTAGCGGTCTTCATCTCTCCGGCTCCGTTTGGACGAAGAATAGGTGCTGCCTACAGGTGATGGTGAGCGAGTATCCCCGTGGCGAGCCATTGTTGCAGGCCAACTAGGTAGTGAGATGTGAGTATTACTTCCGGAGAGAGTCCAGCAGTGAGCACGCGAGATGGAATGGTATATCTAGCGCAAGCTAATTCATGTCCATCGAGGCGTCAGAGGAAACCTGATCAAGCCAGTTCCCTCAACTGTGTCTGTCTGTAATACTGGCAGCGAAGAGTCGATAGTGACGGCGGTAGTGGTGGTGTCGGCACATAAAGTGCTTCGATGCTCGTCGGGTGGCGAACGATAGAAAGCCGGGTCGAAACTTCCAATGCCCGATGTCATGTCACGTGACAAAATTCAGACGCTAAACCTAAACTGGAAATACTATTTCACAGTTCTATTTCGCTTCCTATACGGCCTCTCATTTTTGCCATAGCATACTTGTGTAACATCTTCTCGTTTTTCTAAGGACTGGACTATTAAGAAGATAGGAATGAATGCAGGTTGGCAATATGTATTTTATGCATAATTGGAGAGTAGTGAGAACATGTGATTCCTTGTGTTGTAGTGCATGTTTGTCTTTTTCGTTGCATTCTTTGTTTCTTTTAGTTTCTTTTTACTAGGTACCTACTTCACAGGTAGATGTTACTTCTTGAGGAAAAAAAAATCATCGACTTCTAGGCCTAGCAATATATGACCTGGTTGAAAAGAGAATATAATTCTATGTTTGACCCCTGTATGCCGGTCTGCAGCATTCTATCCATCATAACCCCTCAATATAGACATATCTATCAGATAAAAAGTCTCAAAAATCTAATCTCTAAACATGCAGTTCTCACTCTGCCTTCCATCTCAGCAGCGTCAGAGAATGCTTCGGGAACACATAACTGCCTTTGCCGTCCCATGTACTCTCCTGAACTCCCACCTCTTGCTTCCCCTTCATGTTAGTAGCAGACACATCGGCTCCGGTGACCGTGTAGACAGTGACAGGACCTCCACTGACGCCCTTGACGTTGGTCTTAAAGTCCTTAGTTTCATGGATGTTGACGACAACTACGTTGACAAAGCCATCGTCACCCAAGGCCGCGCTGACGTCCAGCCAGGGAGTGTCCTTGACGCCGCGCAGCCACGCGGGTGAGGTTTCGCCCTCGTAGGCGCCACAGGAAACATGCGCACCGATGGTCCAGCCCCGCATGAATCGGGAGAAAAGCCACAGCGGCCACCACGTCGTTTGCTTCACAATGCCGTCTCTGGTCGTCATGAGCGGCGAAATGACATTGACGCTTTGCGCGATGCACGCCATTCCCAGGTCCTTGCTCTTCCGGACGAACACGTTGAGGAAAACTCCCACCGCCAACGCGTCGGACAGGGTGTAGCTCTCCTCGGCTCCCTTGCTGCCCTCGGCACGCACGGGATCCCAGACGTTCCACTCGTCAAAGCAGATCGTCGGGCGCGGCTCATCCGGGGATATCCCGTTTTCGATCCGAGCCAGGTCGATCAGGGAGGATGTAATCTCAATCGCACGCTCCGCAGCCAAGGGTGCGGTGGCGTTTGGCAAATGCTTGGACGACGCCGTGTACATGTGAATGCTGTGCATGTCAATAAGGGGAACCGGGTTGCTGTTTAGAGTAGCCTTTGTTGGCTGCAGACAGTGTTTGAGGGTGTAGTAGTCCCACGATGCAGTGCCGTCCTGACCGCAAAGAATGAGAATTATATTCGGATCGAGCAGCTTGAGAGCTGTACGTATGTTAGAGGTATAGATAAATAGATATATAAATTGTCAACGTACCTTTGGCCCATTGATACGCCTTGTGAGCATAGGCTTCCTTGGTCATTTGTTCAATTTGCCACGGACCCCATGTCTCGTTACCCAGAGCCCAGTATTTAACCTGAAACTCTGGTATTAGTATTTAAAAAACAGAATGTCCAATCAGTGACTGGATCGTACATTGTAGGGCTTCTCCCGACCATTCTTCCTCCGCAGGTTGGCATAGTAGGTATTTCCCGTCCCATTGCAGTACTCGACCCATGCCATTGCTGAGAAGTGTCAACATCATCTTGTGCTGGCATTATAGGACAGGAATTGAAGGATGCTCACCTTCATCAAGAGTGCCTAAATCAATCCAATTAGTTTGTTTGTTCTCAGGTACAAGGGTCAGGATATCGGCACGCCGCACCTGTTCCAAAGTTCAAGCAGAGGTACGGCTCCGCGCCGAGCATCTCACACCATTTTAAGAACTCATCAGTGCCGAACTGATTGGTCTCAGTCCCCAGCCAGGCGAGCTCCGGTCTGTTCAAATTGTTTCCCTTTGTTAGCATGACAGGTGCCGCGTATGGTAAAAAAATTATATGGAAACCAGCTAAAGTCTCTCAAATAGTTCATGGTATTAAAACAGAACCATGGTAAAACACAGACAGTCAAACGAAAGAAATGAAATCCAAGAGAAGAAGTCATTGAATACCTCGCGGGTCGTTGATCCTTCGGGCCAACACCGTCTAACCAGTGATACGTGGCGGTAAAGTTTCCGCCGGGATAGCGAACCACAGGGATATTGAGCTCCTTCAGAGCCTCCAGAACATCCTTTCGAAAGCCATTCTCGTCCGACAGAGGATTTCCGGGATCATATATGCCTCCGTAGATGCATCGTCCCATATGCCTGGTAACGAAAGCTATCAGTCAGCAGGGTCTCACTAGCGAACTAAAACCGGTAGACACGTCTGTCGGCTCCCTACTCTGTGAACCCCGAGTAGATGTTGGGGTTGATTTTGGACAGACGCCTGGACGCATGGACAGAGATGGTGGGCGTCTCCTCGTCGCTGAGCTTGGTGAATGTCGTCATCTTTGCCGAACAGGACGTTTGCCGATTAGAGCACTCAAAGATCTTGTTACATCATCCAGAAAAGAACCGCTGCGCGCTTGGAGAATGGATTGATATATGATCGCAACTCGGTATTTTTCCCAAAACGTCAGCGAAGCACGAGACTGAGGCGTCTCTTCTTAGAGCTCTGTTGTCGGCCCCATGGCGGTCAGAACTTTGGTTGCAGTTTAGAATTAAACTCATGGAGAAGCGCAGCCGAGTGAAGTGACCGCTCCGCAGGACAATTTCCTGGATTCAATTGGCGGCATTTCTCGAGACAGGGGCGATTATTCCATGAATCAGGACAGTCTGGGGTATCGCTGGGGCCAACGCATTGGCTCTCCACATCGTCCGCAATCTGCCCCGCCTCCGGAGTTCTGTTTACTGCATGCGTCAATCCGGTAAATCTCCGGCGGACAAGTCGCACCGCGACGATCAATTGCTGCAGTTGTGTGGACTATCTATCCGTTATCTGCAGAATACGGAGAATTCTGGGGTACGGAGTAGTATGAACGCCAAACCCGACCGGGGCTTTGGGGAAAAAGAACGTGCCACGCGATTTCCCCACACAGTTAGGGAGAGGTCTAGAAAGGACCTTGAATTGCAAGATGGACCGGAGAAGGACTCTTCCTGTCTTATATAGTAGGAACTCAAATAGTCTCTTCCACGCCCCTTCGTGAAGGGCTTGGTACAGTCGTCTCTCACGCTGAGTGGTACGGTTGGTGGCTTCAATTTACAGTCGCAAGATCGCAGGTCTCATTAGTTCGAACCATGCCTCTCCCTCCAAAGTGGTACCAGGTAAGTTGTCTGAAGATAGCTTCTAGTCCCAACAAAGAGTATGAACTGACAGAACGCTGGAACAGTTTCTGATAGGCACCTTTGCCTCCCTCGGGTCATTCCTCTTTGGATGTACGTTATTTTCTGTCCCTGTACATGCGCAAAACCGGATTTTGGACATGTACTAATGCGAAGACTTGGGTAGATGATTTGGGTGTCATTGCAGAAGTGATTGCCTGTCAGTCCTTTTCGGCCAAATTCGCCGCAAATGATACACAAAGGTAGGTGGCACGAGAAACCAAGAATTGTTCCATGCAACGAGTTGGCTGATCATCTCGATTCTAGTGGACTTGTGGTGTCGATGTTCACCACAGGTGCCTTTTTTGGAGCCGCCTTAGCTGGACCGGCTGGTGACTATCTGGGCCGACGACGGACGATCTCCCTCGGGTGCCTTATATTCTGTCTGGGAGGAGGCCTGCAGACCGGAGCACAGACCCTTGCGTATCTGTATAGTGGTAGATTCTTTGCCGGATTTGCGTGAGTTACCACGTGAGAAGGGCGAGAACTGAAGGCACAGAGTCTAACCAACTGATATCGCAGTGCTGGAATTCTCACAATGATTATCCCGCCCTACCAAGCCGAATTGTAAGTACCGAGCTTCCAAAATAAGCAGTCACATTTCTAGGTATGTCATAAAAGGCAGCGTCCCGCTGACTTTGATTCAGGTGCCACCCCAGCATCCGAGGACGGGTGACTGCGCTGCAGCAGTTTATGCTAGGAGTTGGCTCGCTGTGTGCCGCCTGGATCAGCTACGGCACCTACATTGGCTTCGACCCGACCAACAGCGCTCAGTGGCGGGTATCGCTGGGGATTCAGATCATTCCAGCAGTTTTCCTGGGTCTCCTGATTTTGTTGTTCCCCGAGGTAAAGCATGTCCCCAGGACCAAGCTTAGCTTCGGTCGAGATGAGGTGAAATCTTTCAAACAGTTCGGGTACTGACAGTGGATATCCAGTCTCCCCGTTGGCTGATCGATCATGGCCGTGAAGCAGAGGGCCTCCGGGTTCTTGCGAAGCTGCACACTCATGGAGACGAAAATGATCCTTGGGTTCGAGCCGAATTCAATCAGATCCAAGAAAGTATCACGTACGAGCATGAGCACGAGGCCAAGTCCTACACCGAATTGTTCACTTCTTGGCCGGCATTCCGGCGGCTTTTCCTATGCTGCGCCCTGCAGGCATCAGTCCAGCTGACCGGCGTGTCTGCTATCCAGTAAGAGCCCGACTCCCAGAAGCTCTTTAGAACGGAGCGAAAGAGAGGGCACACGATGCCGCGTTCGGAGAATCAACGAAGCTAATTCTTCCACCCATCGCACAGGTATTACTCTGTCGAGATCTTTAATCAAATTGGCATCAAGGGCGACGACACGCTTCGATATCAGGCCATCAACACCGTGATTGCCTTAGTGGGAGAGTTCTGCTGCATGATGCTCATCGATCGTTTCGGCCGCCGGTGGCCTCTCATCATCGGCAATCTGGGTAACATGGTCACCTTCATCATCGCATGTATCCTGTTGGCGCTGTTCCCGCCAGAGGCCAACAATACTGGAGCCCACTGGGGTTTTATTATCATGACTTGGCTGTACAACTTCTCCTTCTCCGCCACGTGCGGACCTCTTTCATGGATCATTCCTGCCGAAGTGTTTGACACGCGGACTCGCGCCAAGGGCGTCTCCATCGCCACCATGACTTCATTTGCGTTCAACACCATGATCGGCCAGGTGACACCGATCGCCATGACCAATGTCCGGTATCGATATTACTTCCTATTCATCATCTGTAATTTCACCAACGCATTGTTTTTCTGGCTGTTCCTCCCGGAGACGTCCAAATTGCCCCTCGAGGAGATGAACTACCTCTTTTCCAACGCGCCATGGGTGGTCGTCGGACTCAAGAAGGAGGACTACAGTTCTCGGGACCTGGAGCGTAGACTGGCTGCAGAGGAAGGGAAGCGCGAAGGAGTGGCCGTTCACTATGAATGAGAGCCTACCTATGCGTTGATCGTGTGAAAGCATGACGTGGCAGAGGAAGAATTGGAGAAGGATGTCGATGTGAGCCACAAATGGTGATGACAAAATTGGAGAATGCGCCTTTCAAGTTTTGGTATATCCTGTCAAGCGATTAACAGGATTTGATCATATCTCCATCTTCAAGGGCCCCATGCACAAAAGGATAATGCAAACTTCTGTGAAATCTGCAGATTTCCAAAAATTCTCGATTATATATACTGCCCCTGTACTGTACACCAGACTCCGGAAGGATGGTCAGATATCCTGGATTTGACGAACCTGAATTTATGACACCCATTATGCCACTGGGCGAGAGTTATATTTTGGACTGTCCCTGTAGAGAAATACATAGATGTTGCGGCAAACTGAATGACCTGCTGTTAACAGGAAACCCTAGCGTCTAGGTGATAAGGAAGGATTGGTCCTGTCACTCTTCATCGGAACTATAGGCAACCAGCCCAAGTGATGGCGCAGGATGTGCGGCTTTTACTTCCGATTCCTTGCTGTCTGCTGGGTTTTTACCTTGTTCAGGTGACACGGGATGATCCTCTTCACGCTTTGGAGGGGCTGGTGAAGTGTCTCCCAAAGGCTTGGGATCCGTACGAATCTTCGATGGCGGGGAAGTAGATGTTGGAGGATGTGCAAGCTTTTCCTCCTGTTCGCCAGCCCTTGCTGGAGGGCTCGTGGCATCCGAGCTCACCTTCCGTTCCGATGAAGGGTTTGCCGCATCGGTAGCGGAAGACCTGCTCACCTTGGCGGGAAATAACAGGTCTTTCTTGTTGCGCTTCCTCTTCCGTCCTGAGATGGTCCACTGCTCTTCTTCGACCATGGATCTGGAGGGCCCGCCAGAGGAATTTGGATGCTCACCGGTCGTGGAGCTTTCCAGCAGGGCGCGGTCTGCCTCCTCGCGCTGACGACGAAACGCGGCCAGCTGCTCGGCAGTCTCCTTCTTGAGAGCGGCTTCCTTCGCTCTGGTGGACTCAAGCAAAGAGTCGAGGAACTCGACTTCATCCTCGTCCAGGGCTCGGAACTGGTTCTTCAGGCGCATCTTCTCCTCAAAGGCCTCCTGCTTGGCCACTGCACCCCCAGAAAGGTTTCACCCTGACACGTTAGCCAACAGGTTACCGAGACATGCCATTGTGTCTTGCCCTCAGTTCATCCGTCCGGTATGGGCAGGGGCGTCGAGACACACTCACTCTTGTTCTGCTGCAGAACTTCGTACAGACTCTTTCCGCCCTCCTGCCTGCCCATCTCCGCCTTCCGCCTCCGCTCCTCCTCGAGCTCCTGCTGGACCCGGCGCCACTCATCGTCACGCTCCACCGGCTCGTCGATGGTCCCTCCCGAGACAAAGCCGGACGACATGGCTGCAGGTGGAAGCGATAGTCCGTACCTGCGAGATATTTCCAGGAGCAGGAAACTTGGGTCTAGCAGACACGCATGGAGCCAATGCGAAGTACGGAAGAGGTAGGCCACTCGTAGGGACGCAATTTAGCCGAGTGGAGATGGGAAGGATGCGATGCAGTTTGGTGTTGATCGCTGGTCACTTTGTTGCCTGTGCCGCGAGGTTTGCCAGTTCGCGATGGCCCCGTGAGCGGCAGAATCAGGCGGTGACGTCAGCCGTAGCATCGCCCATAAACGGCAAGCGCCGGGAAGGAAGGTCAACCCGCGGACAGAGTTGGACTTAACATGTTGATTAATAATGCAAATAATGCAAGTTTAAGCGTTCTATGCATTGATTCGTGAAATTAAACGGCAAAACACGCCTGCCAGGGGACATGCAAGCCTTATCAGATAATGGCTGCTTACCCACTCTTGATCCATCTTGTCCCGCTGCACGCAAAACTGCTAACAAAGAATAGCGCCGGCAGATGCAAGACTGTGCTCTAAGGTGGGTGATGCGCTTGCTTAGCCTCTGATCAGCTAAGTCGCCATGGCTTTTCAAGATTCCAATGCGAGCGATCAACTACATGCAGCATTCGAAATGATGCAAGCAGCGCTTGTACTCGTTCCTTCTTACTGTTAGAGGCCGAGAATCCGCAGCAGTCTGGCCCAAGTGGACGAATGATATAACTTTGTTGTTCACTGCAGTCGAAAACTAATCTGGTGCGCAGTCTATCCACCTGTCGCCTCTAGGTATCTCTTGTCCCCGCCATGCGGAATCTCGCGCGGGTAAGAATCCCCTCATTTATAGGGGGTCCCCCTTCTGCCTTTCGCATCTCTCAGTCTGCAGCTTGCATTGTCCCTTCTGTCTACTTGCGATCTCCCACGACTGTCCTTCCTGCAGTTCAATTTCGCAAGATGTCGAACCTGCAATACACCAAGTATGTTCACCTGTTGCGTGACACCCGTTCCTTCAGTTACATAGGAGTCTGACAGTGGTCTCGTAGGAAGACGTTCACTCTCAACACCGGGGACAAGATCCCTGCGGTCGGTCTGGGAACCTGGCAATCCAAGCCCAATGAGGTCCGGGAGGCCGTCAAGAATGCACTGCTCGCGGGCTACCGCCACATCGATACGTGAGTGCTTCCTGAAGCGGTGTTTGGCCTCAGGTGAGCTGACGGAGAGTCCACAGTGCTCTTGCGTACGGCAACGAGGCGGAGGTAGGCCAGGGTATTCGGGACTCGGGTATTCCGCGCGAGGAGATCTGGATCACCACCAAGCTCGACAACACCTGGCATCACCGCGTCCAGGAGGGAATCGACGCCTCTCTCAAGGCCCTGGGTGTAGACTATGTCGACCTCTACCTGATGCACTGGCCCAGCTCCACTGACCCCAATGACAAGAAGAAGCACCTTCCGGATTGGGATTTCATCAAGACTTGGTAAGCCAACTCCTTTTTCTCGTACTTTGAGGCCACCGACAGCAGCTGATTTAAAATAAAATGAAAGGCAAGAGATGCAGAAGCTGCCAGCCACCGGCAAGGTGCGAAACATTGGGGTGTCCAATTTTGGCATTAGGAACTTGGAACGCCTCCTCAATGATCCTAGCACCAAGATTGTGCCCGCCGTCAACCAGATCGAACTGCACCCGTGCAATCCATCGCCCAAGCTGGTCGCCTATAACACTTCTAAGGGCATTCACAGCACGGGTTACTCGTGCTTGGGTTCCACCAACTCGCCTCTCTACAAGAACCCTACCCTTCTCCAGATCGCTGAGAAGAAGGGCAAAACTCCTCAGCAGGTTCTCCTGATGTGGGGGCTGCAGAAGGGCTGGAGTGTCATTCCCAAGTCCGTCAACAAGGACCGCATCGAGAAGAACTTCCAACTCGATGGCTGGGAGCTTACACCGGAGGAGGTCGATCAGCTGAGCAACTTGAAGGAACGCTTCAAGGTTTGCGGTGATAGTTGGCTGCCCATCAAGGTCTTCTTTGGCGATGACGAATAAAAAGCGATGATGGTACAAAGTAAACCTATGCGGAGTAAAGCAAGCTGGAAATGTGTCGGACGCATCGATTAAAGGCTCCCGGATATGGACATTGAACTTGTAGATTCCCACGCATCAATATAGACAATATTAAATATGTTAAGATATGTTAAGATATGGTTTTTATTTATTTTATTCCCCTTGTCTCCTCAAACATGAGGAATTCTGTACCTACTAATCGGCTGATGGGATGAAAGCGTTAAGGCTGGATACATGTGGTTGGTTGGATTGGGCGGATACCTCAGGCCAGCACAGCCACCACCGTCCGCCGACCGAGACCCCTCATAGATCAGGCATCCCCATTCTGCTCATCTCTACTTCTCTTCATCACCTTCCATCATCACCAACTACATCGAGAACTGAAGGCCTATCGGGTCTTTCGCAGCAATGGCTCCATCAAGTGGGCATCTGCTGCTCCCGAAACTCTGGCGGGCAGCCAGGTAAGGAATCCCTCCGCTCTCTGCTAGGTACGGCGTTTCTGACCTTGGTTCCAAGGTTCGCCTATGAGAAGACAGCCAAGGCCATCAAGGCCAGATTACCGGAATCCTCGCAACCGCTACAACTACGACTTCAGCCCGCATACGCTCGTATAACCCCTCGCCAGCCCATCAGTCGCGCCGCGGCCATCCGACAAGCCCGAAGCCGCCATTTCACGACACGTGCTAGCGGCACTGTTGGCTCCTACATCCGGTCCGGATCGCGGTCGTCTGCGTCATTTCAGACTTCTCGCATCGGCTCTGCTGTCGCGCGCTTCACCTCACATTCCCCCTTTGCGTCGACTCTCCGTCCCAACCTGACGGGAGGTACCCTGGGCCGCACGGCAGGCGGCTATGCCATCGGCGCTGGACGTATTGGGGGCGTGAGATATTTCTCTCACGCTCCAGCTGCCCCTGCGGAGGTCATCAATAATGTTTCTGCAGCGCTGCGCGGATTCCTGCTCTCAGGGAAGAGAGCTCGTTTCGATGGCATTGATCCCCTCACAGGCGAGAAACGCTTCAAGACGGTGACGGCTCTGCAGGACAAGGTGGAGCGCCGAATGGCAGAAGTTCCCCGTACCGCTCCTGGTTCCTACATCGATTTCCAGCTCTCTCCCACCATCACAGCTTTTGGTGCTCTTAAGGGGTTTGGAAAGAACGAGAGTGGCGAGGCTCCCCAGCCTGTCACCCTCAACTCGGACGGTCTCATGGAGATGCTGTCGATGGACTTTGCACGCGCTCTAAAAGACTTTGCGGCGGTGATGAACGACTTGAAACGCCTTGCAACGCTGGGTGATCTGCCAGTATCGCTGCATGACAAGTCCACGATCAGAGTCCGATTTCCAGGCTGTGACGCCGAGCAGGTGGAGCGGCTTTGCGATGAGGTCGGAGTAGAACGGGGACGGATCTTCCAAGATGAAGAGTTTGACGCCCGAAATGGCACCGAACTCGCTCTTCTCTTCCCGTTTGCCCCGAGCATGGCGCCGTCACCGGAGACAGAGTTGTTTACTATCCACGAACAACCGCGGACTGACCATCACCACGATCTCGATTGGCGTATGATGATGTCTGGTGAAGATAACATGCAAACGTCGCCGGGACTGTCCAAGGAAACCAATGAGATCAGTTTTGAGGACATTGAGATTTTTGGGAAGAACCCCTGGACCTCGTCTCCGTCGGGGTATTCCAGCTTGGAAATCAGCGAGCTCGGTGATCGAGTATTCTTCCCAGAGCTATCAGAACTAGGCAGTCCGCAGTCGGTTTCAGACTATGAAGGAGTACAGGGGATCTATAAATTCCTGGAGCAGTGTGATAGGGCGGCGGAACATCGTCAGCATTGATACCGGCTTCGACAGCCATTCCATTCCTTTTCTTTTCCTATGTGTCTGTCCTGTGTCTTGTCTATTCTCTATGTATACTTTTGATATCCTTTAAACAATTTCAGACCAGTCAATGTTGGTACTTGTCTCCAGGGTCCATTAGCGTATCGAACCCTGGACATCTCTTGACGCAGTCTCCACTCTAATGAACTAAGGTTGGAATTGTGATTCACACATACCTACAGTAGAATGTCTCATCTTCAGCAGAAGAAAAAAATAAATTAGGAATTGTAGACAATGACATTCTAGGCGGAGGGAAGAAAAAGTTTTGTCTAGACTTAGCGGGGTTCTGTGATTGCCGTATCAGCTAGCGCTCGCTGCAAACATGTGGAGAGTCTTTCACCGCCTTGCCCCGCTAGACTATATTCACCATAGGGGACGCGCTCGATATCAGTTACTTCACTCTCATCGCGAACTCTTTGTTGACAGCCATCGATCCCCTCCTCTTAGACCGTTTGCCTCCTAAGTGGGATCATCACATTTTTACTCTTGATATCTGTGCTGTTAACAGAGAAAAACATCTGGAAGCTCGCTCAGCAGTGCTCTACGCCTTTCTCCGCCCAGTCGCACAACGTCGTCTGGAGAAGTCGACAGCGACATAGGAGGCATAGGAGTAAGGGAGTGAGCAAGTCTCTTCGCTGAAGAAGTTTTCCTTTCAGCCAGAGAAGATGGAGGACTTCAACAGTGAGACTGATAGCGACTACACGAGCTACTGGCGGGATTGGGTGAGTTCCTCTTATCTTGTCCTTTTGCTTGCTCTTGTCTCCCTATTTCTTCTCGGCAATTATGATGCGTTTGATGCGTTGTCAAAGATGCCCTTGCGGTCATGGAGTTAGTCAGCGAGGTGAAATGGCGTCCTGCAGGCATGAAGAGGAGCAGGCGGGGTGATGAGATGCCTGGGTGCAAAAATTCCTACGTCTTGCATGAGTCCCGACGTTACACTGTCACGCTACGAGCATTCCTCTTCCTCTGAGACTCTGTTTCTAGAGTTATCAAGCTCAGGAATCCATCATGGACTTTACAGCTGCTCCTCGAAGCATCTTCGACGCTTTTTACCAGGCTCCGTCTGGAAACACCCCTGACTGCTTTGCTGGAAAACTCCAAGAGGCATCTTTGGCTTTTCATTCCTCATAAAGTGAACAAGAGTGGTGCTAATCTTTCTTTCTTTCAACAGTTCATTTCCTCTAGGGGAAACGAATACTTCTGTGAGATCGACGAAGATTATCTCACTGATCGCTTCAACCTGACTGGTCTCAATACCGAGGTGCAGTATTATCAGTATGCGCTGGACCTCATCACCGATGTCTTCGATCTCGACGCGGATGACGAGCTGCGCGAGCAGATCGAGAAATCGGCTCGTCATCTCTATGGCCTAGTGCATGCGCGTTATATTGTTACCACTCGTGGATTGGCGAAAATGGTAAATAGTTTTCCCTTCTCTCTCTTTCTTTTGATTTAAGATTTCTAAAACCATGTTCCTTTGTCTTTTAAACAGGTCGAGAAGTACAAGAAAGCAGACTTCGGCAGATGCCCTCGCGTATTGTGTGACTCGCACCCACTGCTCCCCATGGGACTGTCCGATGTTCCCAACCAAAAGACCGTCAAACTCTACTGTGCCAAATGCGAGGATATATACAATCCCAAATCGTCGCGTCATGCCTCGATCGATGGAGCCTACTTTGGCACCTCTTTCCACAACATCCTTTTCCAAGTTTATCCTTCGCTTGTTCCGGAAAAGAGCATTCGTCGCTACGAGCCTAAAATTTACGGCTTCAAAGTGCATGCTTGCGCCGCCCTTGCTCGCTGGCAGGATGCCCGTCGCGAAGAGATGAAGGAGCGCCTTCGCGCCGCCAACGTCGATCCTGGCTTCGTCGAGGACAGCGAAGGTGAAGATGACGAGTTTGAAGACGATGACGACGATAAGGAATCCGTCTCCAAGGAAGCCGCGGCCACCGGTGACGCTGCCTCTGGCCGCATGGACTTGGGCGCCTGATCTCGCAGCCTGTTAGCGCGAAGATGAATTGGAATCCCGGTCCTGGCTACAGTAAATCTCCCCATTATCTCATCATCCTTTCCACTTTGTTGCATTATATGATGGCGATTACGGAGAATGGGCGTTGAGGACGGACTGGGAATTAAATCTTCTTTTTTTTTTCTTTTCTGACATTCGGTGTTGGTTTTAACTTCTGGAGAACAAAAAAAACTTTCCATTTCCCATTTCCTCGATTTTTTGTCTTTGCTCCTTTTTTTTTTCAAGTTGAACGCTGTATGCAATGCATTGGCAACGGAAATGGAAAGAAAATGGATTTAGATCGAATATTCCTCAGGGAAGCAACAAAAAAAATTGCAAAAAAAAATAGTTTTCCTTCATTTCGTACTTTCCAGTGGAGAATTCATGAGTAGTGCCAGAATTGAGTACATAAAATAATTACTGTGTCGTATTTGGATACATTACAACGAAAAGGTATGCCGTAGGTAGTAGATATATAAGACAACGATTTCCCCATTATCACTCCGTTCGCATTCATCCATCATCATCTTTCGTTTCTATGAATCTATTTTCGCTAGTTCTCGTATTGCAGTCACAATGACCGCGGCAAGCTCCTCGCCATTGCTCCAGACGTCGTCGTGCGGCTGTTGCAGATCCTGCAGGAGAACAACCTGCCTGGTCGACCTGTCATCCTTAGCGGTGGCTGCCTCTTTCCACGGCACAAGCGCATCCTTCATGGCCAGGAACTGGCGCAGGTTCACGAGCTCGTCGCCCGCCGAGTGGGCTAGCAGAGCCAGTTTGCCGTTGAGCCATCCGGCCTCGATACCGTCCTTGGCCGGGGAGACCCGATCCCACAGGTCTTCATCGGGACCGAAAGCGCCCTCCAGGAACTGGTGGTAGATCGGCTCCTGCTTGAAGTCGTCTCGAAGGAGCCTGAGATCGTATATCCCGCAGACCCCGGCCACGGCTCTCGGCTTCGTGATCGTCGTCGTCGTCTCAGCGCCTGCAACCTTGCCCATCACGGTCTGGAAGGCCAGCGTCGCCCCGCAGCTGTGGCCAACGAGGATGTATCGATCCCCGAAGCCATATCTCTCCTGCAGGAAGGCGATCGCAGCCAGCACGTCGTGCAGGTGGTCCGGATGTTTCGCATCACGCAGCTGAGTCGCCGCATCCGTGGTGCTGCGGTCCTGCGGGAAATTTGGATGCGCGCTCAAGCGGTAGTCGATGGATGCAAAGGCGACGACATGTTCGCGTGTTATTATTTCGGCGTACCGGCTGCTCTGCAGCAAAGTTTCGGTTGGGCCGAAAGACTCTGCCAGGACCCTGGGATCGCGCCAGGCTCCGCCGTGGATGTAGCTACAGTCATCAGTATAATAATTAATAATAATTTTAAAAGGCTTATTGATGATCGAGAAGATCGCACATCACCCAGTAACCTTGATTGGGGCTCTTCGACGAGAGGTCTGCCTGCTTCTGCACGTTGTATACGTGCACTTTCTGCAGATCATGGGGCCCGTAGGAATATGTCTCCGGTGTTGTTGCTCGCGTAGTCGAAGCCATGACTCAAACAAGAATCGATCGATCAAGAAAAGAGATGTAATAATCCTGGTATTGTCGTTTGAATAATGGTATGCGGTTCAATGTTGTATGACTGGTCTTTCGTTGCGAAGGGCCAGTGCAGGTAGTAAGTAGCTGGTATCACTGCATAGGATCCGGTCCTGTCTAAGCACAATACCCGTACTTTTGCAACAAACGGCAGGCCTGCAAGAGGTTTGGGAAGAGAAAGTAATCAATGAGATGTTTCAAGAGACCGTGCTGATGTGAGACAGAGTACTCAGACCATCCGCGGAATTAGGTTGGCTATTCCCGTCAGGCCCATGCAGAGTGCATACACAGAAATGAAATTCAGGAACGTGCCGCAAAAACTGGATAAATTGCTGCCATTATCTTTTCGACTCGATTTTATACACGTACGAAGATCCATGTTCTGGGTGGTTGACTCGATTTCTACTAGGTAGCTTTTATATGAGTGGTAACCGGACTGCCACAACAACCCCTTCAGGCAAACTTGAATCAAGCCCTGCATGCATCTGTCTTTTTCTGACGCTCCAAAAACTCTGCCTCAAAAATCTGCAACGTATTATTCCATTTATTGACGACTGTTCTTCCAAAATCCTGAGTGCATGACATGCCTCATCTCTTGGCACGCTAGTCCCGATCGGGCACTAGGCGGTGGGAAATTGTTCGCGATGCCCACACAAAACGGAGCAGACGGCCTTCAAGGCGACAGAGACTCACCAACCCGCGATTCTTTGCCCCCCCAGACACGCCCTGGCCTGCTGTATCCAAAATGGCCGAGTAAGTATTGTTTCAGATTTCTGCAGGACTGTCGCGCTGATCATGATTACAGGAAAGAAACGCCCCTCACGGCCGTCCAGGTCGAGGCCCTGGTATGACCTCCGAAATTTCCTTTGCCCCTCATCGTCTCATGTCAAGTCGCGCCTGTATAGACTGACAAGATGCGGCGAACAGGTGGTCATGAAGATTATCAAGCACTGCTCTCAGAGCTTCCCTACGACCGCGACCGGATCCCTCGTCGGTATGGACGTCGGAAGCACCCTGGAGGTCACCAATTGCTTCCCTTTCCCCGTCGTTGAAATGCCTCCGGAATCCCACTTTGACACCTCGCCTCAAAATGCGGCCGCGGCGGCTCCTCGGGCCAAGGCCAACACGGTCTATCAGGCGGAGATGATTCGCATGCTGCGGGAGGTCAACATCGATGCTCAGAACGTCGGGTGGTACACGAGCGCGAACATGGGCAACTTTGTCAACATCAACGTGATCGAGAACCAGTACTTCTACCAGAAGGAGATGAACGAGCGCACTGTCACCCTCGTCCACGACGTCAGTCGCAGCTCCCAGGGTAGCCTGAGTCTGCGCGCGTTCCGCCTGTCGCCGCAGTTCATGGCCGCTTTCAAGGAGAACAAATTCACCTCGGAGCAGTACGCCTTCCTTCCTGGTGTCCGTCGCAGGAGAGTACATGCTGACTTGTTATAAATAGACTGCAGAAATCGGGTCTGCGATACCAGGATATTTTCGTTGAACTGCCCGTTAAGATTCACAACTCCCACCTCCTCACGTCCTTCCTTCACCAGCTGCCGTCGCCACTTCCATCGACGCCATTGGATTTCCCTCAATCTCTCTCCGCGCTGAAGAACGGGCCTCTTGCGAAGTCGTCGGTTCTGACGCCCAACTTTGACAACCTGTCGTTGAGCATCGATCCGTTCCTGGAAAAGAACTGCGACCTGCTCCTCGACGCCATCGAAACGCACCACACGGAGAACAACAACTTCCAGTACTACCAGCGCTCGCTGGCGCGTGAACAGGCCAAGATCGCGCAATGGCAGGCGAAGCGCAAGGCTGAGAACATCAGCCGGGCGGCGCTCAAGCAGCCTCTGCTGCCTGAGGATGAGTGGCAGCGACTGTTCAAGCTTCCTCAGGAGCCGAGTCGGCTGGAGAGCATGCTGAACAGCAGACAAGTGGAGCAGTACTCGCGCCAGATCGACGGCTTCGTGTCTGCGACCACCGGCAAGATGTTTGCGGTCAAGGGCAACTTGCTTCCTGGCGAGACGGCCCAGTAGTCCGCATGTGTTTATACTTTTTTCTTTCTTTCTTTCTTTTATTTCTACGTTTTATTGTCGATCTGATGATTCTTGTGGGCATTGCATGACTCTATACGGCGTAGGGAGGGAAAAATGTGTCTCTTGGCTGTTCATACCTCGATAGCCATTTCTCCTGTTTTTATTCCAGTGACGAATAGAGTTAACGGGGTACGATGAGATTGAAGCAATCCATCCATTGCACCGAATAATTCCCGGAAAAACCTTCTGTAGATAGGTAGTCATTATTATTATTATTCATGACGTCTACACCCGTTGGTCTGGATCGATTTAGGCAGTTCTATCGCAGCCCTAGACCTACCGTTTGCGGCCTAGAACGCTAGGGCACAGCCATCAGGTGACTTCACTCTTCCGACAATCGGCCTCTCTTCTAGATCGTTGGCCACCGTCGGCGACTGCTCGGAGGCCCACCGCCTCTTTTTTATCAGATCCGCATCAGATAAGATTTGCCTCTTCTCCCCGCCATAGCCCATCTCAACTGCAACCTGATTCTGACGCTTCACAACTGCTTATTTACTACCGTTCGCTGGCAACAGGGACATTGCCAGGCCAGGAGTCTTTTCCGATGTATAACAGCAACACTGATATCTGGATTGTATGTTTGTTCCTTTTAATTTATAGCTCTGATTTTTGCGGGGTGGATGGAGCTCGTGCCAACCGGTGACGTCGGCATGATGAACAGTGGCATCCTCACCAGCTCACACCTCACAGCTATGAGGCCATTGCTAACGTCTGCGATGCCAGGCTGGAGCTGTAGCCGCGTTCACGGTCGACTTTGTCGTCTATCCCCTCGATACCCTAAAAACCCGGATTCAATCGCCGCACTATGCCAAGCTCTACACCAATCTGGCCACCGGCCGGGTGAACCGCGCGCTGCTGTTCCGGGGCTTGTACCAGGGGATCTGGAGTGTGGTGTTGGCTACGATACCGTCATGTAAGTGAGAGCGAGCCAACGGCTGAGGAGTCATTGGCAGTAGCTAATGATCTATCCAACAGCCGGAGCCTTCTTCACGACATATGAAGGGATCAAATACGCCCTCAATTCCGCCTCCTCGTCGTCTCCGAACCCGGAGAACAATCTCCTGCCATTCACGCATTCGCTACCAGCCCCCGTCGTCCACGCCATTGCGTCCTCAGCCGCAGAGTCGGTGTCGTGCTTCATCCTCACGCCAGCCGAGGTCCTGAAGCAGAATGCGCAGATGCTCACGGCACGAACGCCCGGCATGCGGGGACACAATGCCACATTGCAGGTCCTCGCGCAGTTCCGCCACCATCCGACACGCCTCTGGAGGGGGTACACTGCCCTGGTAGCGCGGAATCTGCCCTTTACAGGGCTCCAATTCCCTCTTTTCGAGCACCTACGGACACGGATAGTCGAGTGGAGGAAGAAAAGAAAGGCTGGTGTTGATTCTACGCAGAAGACAGAGGACATATTCGAGCGAGCGGGGATCACGGCCATCAGCGCAGGACTCGCAGGGAGCGTCGCTGCCGTCGTCACGACCCCCGTCGACGTGGTGAAGACGAGAATCATGCTCGCCGCAGGTCGCGGGGGCGATGAATCATCATCCTCACCAACTGCCCAAAGAAGAAGACGACCAGGCGCGCTGGCCGTCGGTCGCGACATCTACCTCCAGGAAGGGCTCAAGGGTCTCTTCCGCGGCGGTGCTCTTCGCGCGGGGTGGACCGCTCTGGGACTGGGTTTGTATCTCAGCGCGTATGAGAGCGGACGCCTCTACCTCGAAAACAGACGGAAGAGCCAGAGCCAGACCCAGAGCGAGCTGAGCTTCAAGAGGAAGACCGAGGAAGGCGAAGTAGTCATTTAAACTGCATTCCTCTGTCGTCAGCCTTCTGTTTTCTCTCTATATACATAATTTTTATTGACGGGTCGGCGATGTGCGTTGTATACCGTTTTTTTTTTTCGATTTCTTTCCGGGGATACAAAAGTCTGGCTTTCTCGGGGGAATATTTCCGGTTGTATCGGATCTAATAATCATTTTTATAGATAGATAGAAAGGGCGGGTGGCTTGTGTCTTTTTTTTTCAAGATCAGTTTCATTTATTTACTTGCCTGTACCTGTGACGGTGACAGTGACGGTGACAAATGCATGCATGTACTGTATGTACTGTACGATGTATTTGGTGTACGACGGAAAAGAAGGTCTTTCCTGGTGAAAGAAAAAAAAGTCAACGTTGCATTTTTCTCTTTCTCTCTCTTCTTTGCTCTCCTCTCCATTTCTGTACTCCTTTCAAGTTTTTTTTTTTTTGAGAGAAAAGCGCATACGATTTGCTGCTAGCAAGCTTCCCTTTAGCTAAATCCCCGACGCAACGCACGCACAACGTCAAGTACTACATACATACAATCCTCTCAGGTCTCGCTTTGCGCCTTTGCGCGACTGATTTGAAGAAAAGATATTATTACCTACTTACATACCCACCTGGTCTATGCCAAGGCTACTAAGTACATACCTATGGACTTTTATTTTAAAGGTAAGTGTATGTACATACTTTCTAGGTGGGCTGCGCAACCATATTCTATGTCATTTATTCTTTTGATCTTACCCCCCTCCCCGTCTCCCCCGGCCGGCCCTACCACTATTCTAGATTTCACCTTTTGCAAGTCCCCTCTTCATGAGGGATAAATTTCCTACAAGCAGGACAGAAACACTTCAACTCTCGAGTAAACACCGTCCTGAAGCGGAACCTGCACCGGTGACACTCACGCACCGTCGTCCCCCCAACCAGCGCGTGGATGAGATCGGCTCCAAACCCGCCGACGTCTTCCAGGGCGTTGACGAACTCGTCCATCTCCATCAGGGACTCGATGTGCTCCTTGGCGACCTCGACGATCACTTTGCGCAGTATGCTCTTTTTATCGGTCGCGGCGCTCGTTTTGGTGTATGCTTCGACGATGGCGTGCGCGAACTCGTCCTGCTTCCAGCCCGTCCGGATGGCGGCAGCGAACTTCTCCTGCGCGCGCAGCTGTAATGTCTCGATGCCGTATTTGTCCGCGATTCCGTACACCTTCACGTTGAACAGTGGGGACGATTGGCTGCTGTCCTCGCTGCTGCTGCTGTTGCTGCTGCTGCCGCTGTCGTCGTAGTCGATGCCGTATAGGAAGTGGATCATCGCTTCGACCACACGGGGATCATCGTCGTGTAGTTTGATCGTGTTGGTGGTTGATTCCTAATAATAATATATGAGATCAACTATGTACCTTCTTTTTATTTTTTTTTATTTGGACACGTATGCGACCTTACCTTCCACTCACGATTGAACATCCCCGCAAAAACCTCCGACTGACCGCATATCACGAGCTTGTGCACTTTGAACACCTGGTTATCGCTGGTCTCGATAACGAGATCGGAATACTCGGACGAATGAAAGAAGCTGGTACTCGCTCAGATTGATTCAATTAGCACTGTACTGCACTGTACTGTGGTAATATATATACTGTTTGTATGACTGAATGCAGTGGTCATACATACTCCTTCAGACGGACAGAAAATTCCTTCATTTGTCTGCTCAGTATCATATCTATCGTATTATCATTATCATCATTATCGTTGCTTCTTTCTCACTTGTCTGGATTCATTCTTTTCTTACCTTCAGCTTTCCCGTTGTCTGTCTCGTCGATTTCCCATTTGTTCGCCATCTCCGCTTTCGCTCTGTTGCTGTTGTCGCTTCTCTGACCAGGAGTCTTCTTCTCTTTCACTCTTGATTCAATGTCAATGAGGAATGAGGCAAAGATCTGGAGGGAGGAAGAAGAATCTACATAGGGAGAGAAGGAAGGAGGGTGGGAAGGAATGACGCCTGACTGTTGCTTATTTCCAACCTAGTACCCAAGGTATCTCCAGTACTGGAATCTGCCGGTTTAGAAATACCGTAGATCAACTTTTATACTGGCAGATTCCTGCAGCTTACACGTATGTAGCTTAGCTGCATCGATCTACCTGGCAGTGAAAGAATAAACAAATAAAAAAAAAATGATAAGTTGATGGGCTTGGACATTACTTGATTTATTAGCTGCGTGAGTCTCTTCCATGTCTTGACATTCTGTTATCATTCATAGAGTACACAAGTACGTTGAACATCGACTAACAGCATCGCGTATTTCTTACATCTCATTTCTTCCTTTTCCATATCCTGTAAACTCAGGGAATAAATAGTTGTGTTCATTCTGTAGATGACGGCCCCAGCCAGCCAGCCAGCCCACCGAACCAATGCCCTTCATCCTCATATCATCTCATCTCATATCATATGCAAAAAAAAAAAAATCAAATAAAACAAGGCGATGAAGTTGCGAACATATTTTGTGCCATAAATAAGAGCCTGGAAATCCACCACCCGCCTCGTCATGCAAACAAACAGTACAGAAAAGGGGAGAAACGTAAAATCAAGAAATACATAATCGGGGTATTGGTCGTAAAGTCGTATCCAAGGAAGTTGAGGAAAGGAAAAAGAAGAGGAACAAGCTCCATGCTGAGCGTCTTGTTCGTCACCAGTTTTGTCAGATCCCAGCATGTTATCCCCGGTTGATAAGAAATCAAAGCAATGGAGATACCATCATATCGTCGTACCCTCATAAAAATCGTCATCTCATCTCATCGTTGAAGAATGCCAAACCATCATATCAAAGTAACACATAAAACAAGAAAGAACAAAACTTCAACAACTTGAACGGCAATCTTTTGCTGATATCCGTCGCGACAGACTGCATTCCAGCTCAATCAATGATTGCTTGTAGATTGGTCAGCTTTTTGAACCAGCTCGTTTTCTTTGAGCTGGTTGGGCGGGACGCGTACAGATCTCCGCGAGTTCTGCTGCTGCGGTCTCGTTCGTAATCGCCACTGCCCGAGCTGCTCTTGACCCCATCACGCTCAGCCCTGCGAGCCTCGCGACGCCTAGCACGGAGCTCCGCTATTTCTTCGTCAGTGAGGCCAGGATATTTCGCCCGCCTTCGCGCCAGACGACGCATTCTGCGTCTCGCTTCCTCATCCGAAGACAAAGAGTGCGAATTTGCAGCTTCCGGACCCCCTGGAATGTCAACTACAGTTGGCACAATCGGTGGCGCTTCAGGAGGATCAGTTATTTGTGAGTTGATCCACGAAGAAGTTTTGTCTTTTTCACCATTTGCATAGAGTGAAGGTACTTCTGCCACCTCCGGGGCGACTGACTTCCGGCGAGAGGACCGACGCTCCTCTCCGGAACGGTGAGAACGACGATGCCTTCGTTCTGCAGCGTAGTCCTCATCAGAACGCCTTTCGGAACTCTTTGCATGGTGCGAACGGCGCCGTTCTGATCTAGAAGCATGCCTGGAAACACCATTCATTTCTTCCGCCTCTCTGGTCCGTCGTCTTTCGCGCCGCTCGGCAGCTCGAGCCTCGGCCTCCCCGGCCTCCCTGGCCTCCTGCTCTACCCTGGCACGTCGCTCCTCTCGCGCAGCCCGACGCGCTCTCTTCTCTGCGCGTCGCCGCTCTTCTCTTTCTTCGTCTTCTCGACTCCGCTTCTCGCGAGTCCTTTCTCTCCTAGCCCGTCTTTCTTCGGTATCTCGGAGTTCAGCAGCCTCACGAGCCCTCTCTTCGGCAGCACGCCGACGCGCCCTGCGTTCTGCTCTGCGAGCTTCGGCCTCCTCTGCTTCAGTGGAGGCTCCCCCAACAGGACCAGCATCGGTAGTGAAGCCCTCAGCATCTGTCTCCGCTCTGTGTGACCGCCGTCTTCTCTCTTCACGTCTTGCACGTCTCTCCTCCCTTTCTGCCTCGGTCAACTCGTCACGATGGGAGCGAGATCTGCGACGCTCTAGACGCTCTGAACGCTCTGGAACTTCCGGTCGAGTCTGTTTCCGCAAAGAGCCAAACAAACTCATCAAACCACCACCTTCTGACTTCTTCGGTGGCTCCTTTGATTTCCTCGATCGACGCTCCCGACGAGGTGCTTCAACGACGAAAGCTGGGTCGTCCGGACCTGAAACAACCTCCGCATCTGGAGGGGACTCTTCATCGTCAAGTGCATACGGATCAGGAGCACCTATAGGAGCCTTGTTAGCATAAACAATTCCAACTTCTTTCAGTTCTACCGTCATACTGGAACGTCTCCTTCTAGCCCTGGAGCTTTCCCTCTTAGGTTTCGAAGCCGCGATGCCCATCAGCTTGGCCGCCTTGTCAGCTACCTCGGGCTTGTCATCCGGCGGCGGTGAGATAAGTCCGGAGTCGTCAATATCAACGGATTGACGTCTCGAGCCTGGCCGCGAGGAAGAAACCCCAGATTTTCGGACCGACTTGGTTCTGGCAGGAGGTGGTGCACCAAGGATGAAGTTCGAGAAGCTCATGCCACGACTGTGTCGTGACGATTTACCTTCCGTTTGCTTTTCCTTATCCGATGATGATTTCTCACCCTCGTTCTCAGACTCTCGATGTTTCGGACGTCTCGTTGCTGCCGATTTAGACCTCGACAATTCCGCACGAGAGCTCTCCTCCTGAGGGGCGTCGCTCTCTTCCTTAGATTTAGTCGCCTTCTTGACAGATTTCTTGGGTGGTGTGGCGCCCCAGAAGCCCCACGACGAAGCACCTGCCGTGCGTTCAACCTTTGCGCGCTCCTTCTTGACTGATTTCGGGGCGGAAGGCTCTGGCGGTGGAGTCGGAGGAGCGCCAGCCTCTGCTTCGACTTCTTCCGGTGCGGCAGCGGGTGGTTCTGGTACGGCTGGCGGTGGTTCCGGTACCGCGGGGGGAGGTTCCGGTACGGCAGGTGGCGGCTCAGGCGCGGGAGGGGGATTCTTGGTCGCAGAGTTCTTCTTCGAAGAGGAACTCTTCTTCATAGTCTTGGATGGCTTCGTGGCAGGGGGAGCTGGCTCGGCAGGAGGAGGAGGCGGCGGAGCAGCAGCAGCAGCTTCCTCCTCCTCTTCGACCGGCTCCGGGAAGCTCCCAGGGATGGAGTCCTGAGAGACCTTCTCCTGGACCGGCTCAGGTTCAGGTTCAGGTTGAGGTTCAGGTTGAGGCTCTGGCTCTGGATCTTTAGCGACCTCTTTCTTGGCACCCTCTTTCTTGGTCGAAGTCTTAGTTAGCTTCGACTTGGATGCACTGGTTGTCTTTTTGGGTGCTGGAGGATCCTCTTTCACAGGCTCAGCTGGTGGCTCGGGCGCCGGGGGCGGTGGCGGCGGGACGGGGTCGGCAGGAGGCTCTTCGGGTTTCTCCTCTTTTTCTTTTTCTTTTTCTTTTTCTTTCTCTTTCTCTCTCAGCTTCTCCTTTTCTCTCTCCTTTTTCTTCTCTTCGAGCAGCTTTATGCGCTCTGCAACAGACAGCTTGGTGGCCGGCTTCGTTGTCTTCGACGTGGCTTTCGGCGGGGGCGCGGCTGCGGCGGCTGTTTCAGCCACAGGCGTCGCGGCTGGCGCTTCCGCGGAGGCGCCCACGTCAATAAGCATGTCCTCGACAACTGGCGCAGCCTCTTTGGGTTTCTCGTCTTTAGCAGCTGTAGTCTTGGAGGTTGTCTTGGTAGTGCCGAAGCTAGCCCAGAATCCTCTGACCGTCTTGGCTGGAGTCTCCTCAACCACAGGCTCATCCTTCGGAGCTTCAACTGCGTCAGCCGGAGCCTGGTCTTTGTCTTTGCTCGTCGTCTTGGACAATTTACTATCTTCGGTTTTGGACGACTTAGACACAGACGCCTTCTTGGTTGTTTTGGAGCCCTTCGTAGTGAATCCAGCCCATGTATCGTCCTCTACCGGCTCGGGCTCCGGCGTCAGACCTTGAGCCGGGGGAGTGGGAGCTGGCGGAGGGGGTTCATCCTCAACCACAGGCTCGATTACAGGAACTGGGGCGGGGACTGAGCCACGGGGAGGTATGCCTTTCTTTTTGCCTCCTTTCCTTTTCTTGCGCTCCTTGGCTGACAGGTTCTCCCAACCAGCCCAGAAGTCATCCTTGGGCTCCTCCACCACAGGCTCAGGTCCAGGTTGAGGTTCTGGCTCTTGCTTGGGCTCAGGCTCAGGCTCAGGCTGCGGTTCCGGAGGAGGTTGTGGAGGTTCTTCGACAACAGGCGCAACCGCGGAGCCCTTCTTCTTTTTCTTGTCTTTCTTCGATACGCCCCAAAGGCCGCCCGTGTCTTCTGCCTTGGTCTCGACGGGTGCTGGAGGCTCCGGCTCTGGCTCCGGAGGTGGTGGTGCAGGAGTCGGCTCATCCAGGAGAGATCCTTTCGTAGCCTTTTTGTCTTTCTTCTTGGAGGTGGCCCAGCCCCATCCGTCATCATCGGCAGCCGCATCTTTCTCAGCATCTTTTGTGTCTTTCGTCTCGAATGCAGCCCAAGTGTCATCAGTCTTGGGCTTCTCCGGCTCAGGTGCGGGCGCAGGTTCCGGTTCCGTCTTTAAGAGACCCTTCTTTGCCTTTTTCTTGTCTTTCTTGGACATTGGCACAGCCCAGACATTGTCGATGACGGGCTCGGGCTCTGCAGCAGGAGCCGGAGCCGGGGCAGGCTCAGGCTCAGGTTCAGGCTCAGGAGCAGGAGCAGGCTCTGGCTCAGGCTGGGCTGGCGGTTCCTCCGCCGCTGGAGGTTCCTCAGCGCCCTTTTTGCCTTTCTTCTTCTTATCCTTTTTGGTCGAGAACCCGGCCCAGACATCATCCTCCGCAGGCTTCGGCTCAGGATCAGCGGGCGGAGGATCGGGTTCTTTGGGCGGATCTGGTGGAGGAGGCTCCTCTACCGCCGCGCCCTTCTTCTTCTTGTCTTTTTTGTTGAACGCGGCCCAGATATCATCCGCGGGGTCGGGTTGGGAAGGCGGAACTGGCGCCGGAGCAGGCTCAGCATCTGCTTGTCCCTTCTTTTTCTTGTCCTTTTTTCCCCAGATGCCCCAGTCATCGACTGGTTCTGGCTCTTGCGCGGCAGGTGCAGGTTCCGGCTCTTTGGGGGGTTCCTCGACGGCTCCCTTCTTCTTCTTTTTATCCTTTTTGCCGACGGAAGCGAATCCGGCCCAGGGATCATCTTCCTCTTTCTCCTCAGCGGCCGCGTTATTGTTACCAGGGCCAGCATCCGCAGGGGCAGAGTTTGCAAAGTTCCCAAAATCGAATCCATTCGTCAGGTTCTTCTTGTTCTTCTTTCCGGTGCCCCAAGACCACGGGTTGTCATCCTTGTTCTCATCTTCTGCGTTCTTTGTGGCGTGATTATTTGCATCCAGAGAGTCGAAGCCCCATTTGCTTCCAGTATTCCAATCCTTTCCCCACCCGCCAAAGCTAAATCCGGTCCCTGCGGTCTTTGTGGCTGGGGCATCAAAGCTCAAGTCAAGCTGAGTAGCACCGCCACCACCACCACCACCATCATTGAGGTTGATCTCCTGGAAGGTGTTTGCGGGCGGGTCTGCTGCGGGAGCCGGGGTCGGGTCGGCCTGTTGAAATCAGCAAACTCTTGCTCAATATACATAGCTGCAAACAGCCTCTCACCTTTCCTTTCTTGTTTTTCTTCTTCTTGCCTGCTGTCGTAAATCCAGCCCATTCATCATCCGGATTTGCGTCATTCACTTCGTCGGCCCAACTAAGGTTGTTGTTTGTGGTGGCCGCCGCCGCTGCCGCCGCCGCTTCCTCCGCAGCTTTCTTTTCCTCCTCTTCCTTTTGTTTTCTCTCCTCCTCCTCCTCCTCCTCCTGTCTCCTCTTCTCCTCCTCTTCTTCCTCCTTCTTTTTCTTCTTCTTGTTCTTTTTCTTATTGCCGCCCGTGGGCCAATCGTCCCAGTCATCGCCGCCACCATCACCCCCTCCGTCCCCTGCACCGTCTCCTCCTCCATTTCCCCCATCAGCCCCGCCGTCGCCGGCACCACCGTCACCATTTTGACCTTCCTCAGTCCCCTTCTTTTCGCCGTCGTCATCATTAGCCGATTTGTCTTGAGCAGCAGCTTTTTTGGCGGCGTTCTTCTTCTTTTTGCCCGCGTGCTGCCGGATCCCAGACGTGCTTTCGAAGTCGATTAAGACGTCGGGCGAACTTTTCTCAAGGGAATTTGGCTGGTCTTGGTGGACTTTGGGCGCCGATTTTGACGGAGCTGAATCATGGAGCGAGATTTTCGCCTTGGCCAGGGCCGGGGCAACAGAGTAGTCGGGCGGAAGATCATTGACCGCCTCATCATAGGACGGGGGCGGTGCGCCGTAAGCAGCGGGCTCGGCGCATTGCAGAATCAATTCGGTAATCAAAGCCATAGCTTTGAAGTAGGGTAGTCGAGGCGATGTAGAAGGAAACGGCGACTACACCAGTTAGTACCACCATCAGATGGGGAATGAGAGGAAAGAAGGGTCATGAAGCGACGTCATGATAACCAAGACCACGATGCAGAATCGCCGTAAACCGCAGCCGGAGCTGGCCAGTCAATGGCGACCTCGGGGGCAGCCTCGAGATGGTGCATGGCAACGCACATGACCGCAGTAATTTGCACAGAAAACAATTCGACAGGACAGCGGCGTACCATGCTTGACGTCTTCGATTTTCGTCTGTCCGCAAGCATTCCTTCACTTGTCGGCAGCCGAGCGTCCGTCTCGTTCCACAGCATGCTTCCGCATGTCGCATCACTCGCATTGTACTGCTCTGCGCATCGGGTCCAGCCCGCATTCGTAGCCGATCGGATAGAATTGGAGCTCAAGAGGTGGGTAGGGCATACAGCCTCCATGTCGGCGGGGAATACCAGCATCCGGAAACTCGCTTGCCAGAAACGAGGCCACGGTCATGGATGGCGGCGGTGCGTGGCGTGCGCCGATGTAATCTGCCTGGGATTCGGTAGAGGGGAATTTAAGCATGCATCAAACTCGACGTAGATTCAGTGAACCAACTCGACACATGAGATTGCGACAAGGCGACCAAGCGCTGGTAGGAGAGAACTGCATCAAAAATAAGCACGAGCAAGAGCGGATGTGACGAGGATGGAGGGCGGAAGTCGACGAGATCGAGTCTGGGACAATGTCAATAAAGGGCCGCGGCTAGCGATCTGTAGGCCGTCAACTGGAATGTGAGCAACCCGTACGGGGATCACAGGGATGAAGATTTCTCAATTGGATTTTTTTTCCCTTTTGTCTGGTCGCACTGCAGTGCTGAGGCGATTAGCTTGTAGGGAGAGCAGGTAAGGGGTGGCTGGGAAGCGGCGGCCAACCACAAAGACGGCAAGGGCGATGGAGGGCGGGCAGCGCGATGGGTGGTCCGCGCGAGGAAGCAGCGATCACGCAGGCACACGCCACCAGCGGGATTCGCGAATAGCCTCACGGAATCTGGCTTTGTTTGTGTATCGCCTCTATCGGGTGGGTTGGCTGTATCGACAGCACGGTATCCTGCCACCTGCTGGGCCTTCGGCACGCGATCTTGGCGGAAAAACAATCCTTGGAAAAACCCAGCACTGGGCAGACACTCGATATCCAGATCTCTGGTGAGAATCAATAAATCAGATTACCTTTGATCGCTCGCCTCGCAGAATTGCAATGCAATCAATCCAGCACAGCCGGGAAGCGTCAGTGTTGCGGGAGGTGGGGTGATCTGCGATAGATGGAGCTAGGATTAGCCGTCGGGAGAGAGGAAAAGAAAGAGGCTCCCTCTTCCGTTGCTGAGCGTAGTAGACAGTAGAAAGAGAGACAAAAAGAGTAGTAGTTTAAAAAAAAAATCGATCGTAAATTCAAGCAAAACTCGTTGATGTAGGGGAGATAAGGGAAGGAGCCCAGCATAAAACCGGAAACCGGTCAAATAGCCCCCAGACCGAATTGATAGACGCTGTTTGCTCACGCCCGCATCGGAATAATAATGGACAGACAGACACTAGAGTGATCAGCAACACGCACTCCAACTCCCTCTCGAGATGAATCCCTCTGAGATCATGGTTGACGATGACTCTAGTAAACAGACGACGGAGCAACGCGTTTATTTACACCGGAATTTTTTTTCGCTTCACCGCATCGAGGCAACACGGCCTATTGCGCGACGTCCTGGGATGCTCAGATTCCCGTACCGGGCGAACGGCCACTCACGACGTCCGTCCATGGTGCTCGCGCGCGATTCGCAACCGGCTGGGCACACTTTCTCCAGGGCGAGCGACCGGAGGGGGGTGGTACGACTGCAAGACACTCCATTCGTGGGGCTGCATCGACTTGTTTTGCTGCTCCGCTGGCCCACCTTGCAAAGCCCGTCGTGCTCGTCGCTCAGCCTGGGGGCCGTCGAGGTCTGACGGGCATGTCGCGTGAAGTGAGACAGTCCAGGATAGGCAAATCAGGATATGGACGATCGTCCAGATGCGTCAGACGCGTTGGGATCGTCATTGGGCATGACGAACCACGGAACAGCCGTCTCTGCGGGGCTTCAGCCAACCTCTGTGTTGTTCCTGAGAGACAGCGCAGCGAGAGGCCATACAGAGAGAGCTTCTGCGGATGACTGCTGCACCGCCAGTCCATTGTTCAATCGCGATTGTTTAATTACTGATGCAGGTCTCTCTACAGCATGGAATTCTCGAATGACAGTCACCAGTATCCAGAGCTGTTCAGCAAGGCTGCCTACCACGAGCTTCGTTCAAGCCACGCCGTTTGCTGTCCAGCGCTTGCCATGCATTTCATTTCGCGTCTGCAGTGCATACGCCATGTGGAGTCAACAGACAGTGCTCATTTACTTCTTGCAGCATTCACCCGGCCAGAATCTTTTTCTCTCTCTTTCTTCGAGGCGACGGAATATTCCGTAGCTATGACCGTGACAACTCAGCAGACATCTCGTAAGTGGGGACAGCAGCAGCGGCACTCAAGAAGGTAAGCAGAAAACAAATGAAAGTATCTACAGTGCAATTAAAATAAAGGGATTAGCAGCATATTTCTCAGTGAAAGACAGACATCACGATACCCACTATAATCAACTTGCAAGTTGGACAAAAGAACAATTTCAAATAATCGATTGCTATTTACCCCGCCTGGGCACGGGAAAGCAGTACATGCAGTACTCCAGAGGACCCGCAGACAACAAACCACTGCAACCTCGGAACCTGATTTTCTTTCCAAATCGAGTACAGGGTACAGAGGCGTATATCCACTGTTCCACCGCTAGCTAAGTACCTTTCCGATGAAGGTACAGCTAAGCATGTACTTACTGTACCTAGTACAAAAAGAAACAAACCCGAACAAACCCCCAGAAAAGGCAAAAATAATATTATTAATGTTATTGTATTTCATGCAGGCATCAATGCATACTCCAGAGTACATATCTGCCTAAATTAATTCCTCTATTACCAATCATTTGACCTGTTCCTGTACCTAGGAATGGAGTCCCTTGGTATGTATGTACAGTACATACAGAACCTGGGTACATAACCTTCGATCGATCATTGTATCATCACCCAAGACAAACAAAAAAGTTACATAATTGCAAACAAATAAGAAAGCAGGCAAAGAAACAAGCAGAATCCATGACCATAATCCCCAAGAAAAATACAAAAAAAAAAAAAAAAGTAGGGTCAATTGGTTGGTTTGGAATAGAGGAATATATAACCTTCTCCTCTTTCTCCTCCTATTATGAGTCATAGATCATGAATCATGAATCACAATTTATCTATTAATAATATGTATGTCTAACCTAGGTTAAATAATTAAGTAAATAATTAATTACTTAATTACTCTATAGGTATATATACCTCTATTATAGATCTTCATGTTTAAACTCTCTTCTTTAACTGCTGCTTTACTTAACCTTCATCAAGGATCCAACCAACATGGGTATTAAGGTTGATTGATTGATGGACTCCTACTCGGATCTGTCACCAGTATTGGTCGATTGCCGGGTTTCTCCTCTGTTCTTTGCAGCCTTTCGTTTCCTCTCCCTTTCCTCCCTTTCTGTACTTGTTAATGATCCTGCAGAAATCTTTCTGTATTTCTATGCCTATATCTATAGATTTCCTTTGCTTCTTTTCTCATTTTTTTCTTCTCTTCTCTTTACTTCTTTTTTTCTGCCGCAGATTAGTGGTTGGAATTTTCCAAAATGCTGAAGACAAAGGTGGATAGACTTGCTCATGCCAAAGCAAATGGCTATAAGAGAGGGGCACATCGAGAGAAGGACAATGTAAGAGCGGAAAACAAATATTCAGAGGACTCAATCCAACCTCAGAACAGGGTTTTGGAAGATTATAAGATGTATGCATACTGTGATCCACTGTCTTTTTTGATGGTAACTAATTATGTTGAAGATGGGCATCACAGGATAGTGATATAAACAAAGAAGATTGTCTTCACGAAGGCCAACCTGCACCAGACTTGGCCACTATTAAGGACTTCATTCGTTATTACATATTCTCCACCCAAGGATGCTCTCTGTCGGCCAACCATGTCTTCTGTGTTGTACCTTGCTGAACGATTTTTTTGCCAGGTTTACTTGTGTTATGAAGACCACTTTTGACAAGAAGGATACAGAAGATGTTTGCTATATAGGTTGTTGTGGTTGAGGTGTTTCATGCTATATTCTGATAACAAAAAGTGGATTAGGAAGACCCTCATTAAGGAGGATATTATTGAGAACAAGAAACGCGCCAAGCACATGTTTACACATTGTGATTTAACCAATATCATTGTTTCCATGTGGACTGACGATGACCTGGTCTTTATTCATGAGCGACACAGGATTCAAATGACCTTTGCTATCCTAATATACTGCTACTCCAGAGCAAGAATTGGGGCCTTTATTCCTGATACATCAAAAGCAGATGATTGGGGACTCCAATATGAGGTATAGATTATTATCCTATGTTATTGGACATGTCTCTGAATGGCTTTAGGACATTGAATTATACCTATATCATAGGCCTGATGGAGAAAAGGAAATTTTCTTCTGTCTTAGTCAAAAATGGGTCAAAAACAATCATGACCCCAAAAATACAGTGTAAGACATGCTCTTTCTTGACCCCAAGCCAACATCCCAACTGGCCTTTCTAGGTTCTGTGTGGCAATGAGAGAACATGGGAAGCTTCGCTTCAATCTGGTCCCTTATCTACTGATGCTAGCATTTGCAGATAACGCGCTTTTTGGCTTAGATAACATTGAGGTGCTGGACAACATGGAACCTGATGGAACTGAGCCCATTTGGCTGCTGTGGAAGCCATGTGTTTGAGGTGAACCAGTTTTTTGAATGGTCACTAGAGCCAGTGGTGTTTCAAGACGTGCTTTAACTCGTGAGACATTCTGTTGACTTTTCAGAGCAATAGTCTGCAATGCTGGATACTATAAGATTATTACAATCCATAGTTTACAGTGCAGTCTTGCAAATAAAATTGACAGTATGGATATGCAAACTTCGCATATGGCCATATGCGAGACTGAGACTGAACCCTATTCAGAGATTGCCACTGAAGCCAAAAGAGGCCAGCTGCTGAACCAAACTGATCCTCATATCTATGGGTGCAGCTATATTGCAAACACTTTAGCTCTGAGTAGTATGGACGCCTTTCTTGAAGAACAGATGCATTAGGACCATATCAAATATCTCCAAGGGGTTGGGAAATATTATAAGAAAGGGTATCCAACACGCCTTCCAGCAGAAAGGCAGGATATTATTCTATATGACCCAGTCCTTCTTAATCTTGAGCAGCAGCTGCAGAAATTGACCCTAGAGAAGGCAGATCCTTTTGAGGTTTCTATGACCAAGAAAAGGATATAAATGCAGAAGCACCAACTCCACATGCAGGCACTTAAAGATTATTGGGATGTCTGGGTTCAGAAGCAATTGGAAAGAAAAATTCTATCTGGTGGAAAGTCCGTGCCAGATAATATCATACAGAAAGATATCATCTGTGGCATCTTCCTGGTTTTGCCAGAACGCCAGCGACTGCCTTAGATGATATCCTCAGATAAACTTCTCACTCATTCTGAAATGCTCTCAGCGGTCAAGGACTTGCTTACTCTATGTACTTGGGACTATGATGTTGTATCTTGTCCTGGGGAAGAGCTGTTATGTGGTATATGTCCTGCAAGAGGCTGCAATTTCTCATTACAAACATGAGTCAACTTATGTGCTTGGGCTTATGACAAATACTCATCAATGACTTTAGACTCCCTTGTCTGCAACAAAATAACCACACTCATTTATGCAGACGGCAAGAATTGTCACTTGTTCTTGGATGCTGGCCACAGGACCTAGAGTACTGCTATGAATGCATCCAGTTTGTTACTAAAGATAAGTAGGAAGAGTATTGTAAAGGACATCTTGAGTCTATCAGCTCCCAACAGTGTGAGATCATCACTTACTGCCATACCCTTATCCGACCAGGGTTCTGCCTTTTTTGCCTTGGAGATAGTACCAAGTTACCTTTCAGGCACATGGAACCCTGGACGTGCAGTAATGAGTTGAGGGATCATATAAAAAGGGATCATCTGATGGATGCACATTGGCCACAGCAGTGCCAACATCTAATATGTAATTAGCAAGACCTGGATGACATGGCCCTCTGTTATCATCTTAGTAATATATATGACCTAACTATATAGTGCTATTTAGAATAAGACCAACAGACCTGCATTTAAAGTTGAGGACACAAATTCAGAGGTTGATGCAGAGCTGAAAAAACCCAGAAATAAGAGACAGTCTGGCAAAACCAACATGAGGGAGGTGGAAAAAAAAGCAACCAAGAGGACAGAAAAGAGCACGAACAAGAGATCTTGGTTAAGATAAAGGGCTCTGCATCATTGAGTGGCAACATCTAAGCATAGACCATTATTTAAGCAAAGAGAAGCAGGACGACTCCTGTGTTGAAAATGTCAAAATATAGTGGAGCCCTCGTCTTGCTAACTGGACACCATCCGAGAATCAGTATATTAATATCAACAAAAACAATAGTCATGACCCTCCTAGCCTTATATCCTTCCAGTCTACAACTCCTTCAGAACCATCACTAGATGGACTTATCGATCCATGCTTAGTGAATGATACCCCAATAATAGAGATTGTCGACTGACATCTCAATGCGAGCCATCACTTTTATGTTTATTTCTGCTAACTGCAGCTTGCAAAGTTGAGACTTATGCCATATAAGATCGTTGTTTAATTTTTTCTGATTGGAGAAGGAGGTGGATGTGGCTACATGGGCTTATAGACATTATACATCAAATAAAGTATTTGCATTGGTATAAGTAAGCAAATGCATTTTAGTTTATTTAGTCTTATAATGTATTTCTTAGCCTCTGAGCAGATACATCCAGGTGAATTCAGCAAATTAACTATCCTGTCCTTAGAAACTGCTTCCTTTCATCTTTGACCGCCACAAGTCCATGGTTGCCTTTGATATGCTGGCCTCCTTTTCAGTGTCTATAATGCCGCTATTGGTCCCTCTGATTCTGTTGAGAGATGTTTCGCTCAAGGTTACTTTCAAGAACTTTTAATCCCGACAGTCTCTTGCTAGGATTCAATTTAAAACTCTCCGACCCAATTCGACTACTGAGCGCCGACGACCATTATCGAGAGTGGTATTCTTTCCCCTTGTAGAGGAGCTAGAGTCGGAATTCAGGCAGCAATGACGATGGTGTTTGATTCAACGCTAGGGTGGTGTCAGTTGTTTGAACCATGACAACTGCAACTTTCTCTACTTGCAGATTGTTAACTCACTTGGTCCAGATGACAAGGTCGGCAGTACTGTCTATAACACAGTTTGGTCAACATGGTCTTAAGAAGCAAAAAAAAAACTCAAATATAAAAGAGCCTTACAGGTAAAATTAGACTGGTCGGCAAGGCCTGGCAGGCGTGTGCAGTTATAAATGGCGACAATGCAGGCGCTGTAGACCACAACTATGTCATTAGCCAATTTTGCGACAATAGAACCCGTTATGCGGAAGGTTGGATCTCCTACACACAACCAAGGCTCAGTAATCAGACCCAATTTCTTCTTCTACAGTACTGTACAATACATCAGATCTCGAAACAGAGGTAATCAGGACATTCATGATGCGTTTACATGGGATCTATAATTGCCCCATTTTTATCTCTCTTGGCTCTCTCTGCTTATTCCTTCATTTCCTTCTGGCTAGGCATAGTGCAGAAGCTGTGCCTATAGGATCCTAAAATCCTCCATGTACCTTCGAACGATGTGTTCGAGCTCTTTGAACTGACCCAAAACTGGTATTACAATCTGTGCACTACCAGTGAGCATCTGTATCATGCTGACGAAGAGCAGATCTGTCAACAAAGGATCTTTTACAGACGCCACAATAATTTTTTCGAGTAGGCCGACTGCGACTCTTATGACTCGAAGCTAATGGGGAAAGGAATATGCCCGTTGTAGCTATAACTGTCACCTGATTGGCAGCTTGTTCGTCACTAAAGTGAATTCGACTCAGGTTGATGCTCAAATTGGACATTGAAAAAAAGGACCTGTCTTTACTTACCATCGTTGTTGAAACCAAAGCACTTTCTCCATAGTCAGCACCAAGAAATCGTATGCAAAATCCGGATAAGCCTTTAATACAGTATGAAATTGCTGCTGAGCTTTGAGAACAGGAATGTGTTGAAGGGCGAATTTGGTTACTACACCCCGTAGGTCTGAATTTGTAGGGCTGGTAGGACCATAAACAAATTCAATCACTGAAATGAATGTCAAATCCTGCCAATCACTTTCAAGAGCTAGTTCGAACTTTTCCTTTGCGAGTTCCTTCAGTCCCGGTATGCCATATTTGTCGGCAATGACATACATCTGGGCATTTATATGTGCGCGGTTCCCCTGCTCAAATGTGTTCGAGTCTTTTTGGATGGAGGAGGTGCGACACTCTGTCGTGCTTTCTTCTTGCCTCAAAATCTCATCTTGATTGTCTTCGCAGGTGATCTCAAAAGGGCTCAACGCTGAGTCATCTTTATAGTTTGCTTCATATAGGTGATGCAACATCTTCTCGACAATTGACAGATCGTCATCGTGAAGAGTGATTGTTTGCGAAGCGGCTTCCTATCAATGATAAGCGGGAAACTCAGATCCATAATAAAACATACAATGGTCCATCTAGGGCCTTACAAAAGAACTTCGACTGAGGACAGATAATACAGCAATGGACCCTGAAGATCTTTGGCCCGCAAATTAACGTGGGATCAAAGAATGAACCGCTTTCGAGAATACTGGAACGTATATTAGCACTTGAAAGGGGTGGGAACCTATCCAAACATACTTAGAAAGCACTTTTTGAGTGAGTCCATGTTGGATATCATTTTCCCCAACGCTGGTAGATGGGCCACATACCTGTGTCGTTTACGATGCAGATGGAGCTAATGAGACATCAAATCCAGAACCTATCCATGACTAGATCTCCTGCTTATTGCATCCACCCGAGGTCGAGTGAACTTATGTAATGTCTTGTGATTGATCCGCTACATTCTGCTGTCTGACTTTAGACTCCAATGTTTTGTCTCAAGGAAACACCGTCTGTTGATCGCCCCGGCTCTGTCACCAATCCACTTATCAAGGATGGCTTCCACAAAGGTTCTGAGCGGGTTATACTGCTTCCATCCATTATCTTCTGATGTTCTCTCTCATCCTTGAGTTTCTCCTGTCCTGGGAATGCTATCCACGTGTCGCTTGCTGTTATGCACCTCAACTGACGTGGCACCAGCGGTTTCTTCATGCGGGTTTTGTTATCCTTATGCAGCTTTCCAGCACCGGTATACAATCATGTCCCCTACTGCATATTCCCTCCACACCTTACAAAGATGCATACCGGATAGGCCTAAATGCCCTGCATTGACTCTTCATGGATTCTTGAGGGCTAGACTTAAAGGCTGCAATGTTGATTTTTACTCTTTTATTTCCGCCCAACTGTCACTCCCTATCATGAATGCTCCCCCGACGTCCGGGAGAACCCACCGCCAGTGCATGGGCCGTCATGCTTGTTCAATTCCCAGCGCGCCTCTCGCAGATTCACCAATTGCTTAATCAATTAGCGAACTTGCCCAGTGTTCTTCGTCTCTGCTTAAATATGACGTCAGAACCGGATAGTCTACGGGAAAGACTCCAGCAGGCGGAGCAACGAGCTGAAGAGGAGCAACGACTACACCAAAGTGCTGAAGCGCGTATCGAACAAGCTGAAAAGATAATGCAAAAAACTTAATTACTTGATGGTCTTCATGTCCATTTATTCCTTGGTCTGGCAGTCTAGGAGGACACAATACAGACAACGCAAGGTGACATAGCCAATGCAAATGACAAGGTCCGACCTAATAAGCTTTGATTATGGGCAACCTACCCATTTCTCCTGCGACACCATCGCTTTGCAGATCCATAGACGCCAGCCGGGATTCTCTTCCAGTTGTCATACATCACTGTCGTCGCCTTCTGTCTTGGGTTTTCGGGAACCCTCTATCTTGACCACTGTATCTGGGAACCCCATTAATACGATAGAGTAAGCTTCGGTATTTGAAACGATTGCCATGGGATTGCTCCTCTTCGTATCACCAAAGCGCTCGCGATCCCACTCCTCCACAGCATCGGTGTAGGCCAATCCAAGAATCTTGAGCTGGTCGTCGGTAGGATCATCATACCCATACTCACGCCCAATATCGTCCTCAATACTGCTCCAGTGCAGGTTGAGGTTAAGGATCAACCGGTGTAGGTCATTGTGATCCTTCTCCAGCTCCTCCTTGAGCTCCCGGATCATGTTGGCCACCCCATCGTTCATGTTCGCAACCCTGTCCAGCTTCTTCAGCAGCTTGGCCTTCAGATCCTCCGCTTTCTTCGCTACAGCGCGCTGACGGCGTTTGCCCTTGTAGATGGGGTCGATGAGGCCACGGGGGTCCCACTGGCGCATGGGCTCCGCAGGCTCTAGGTCTCGGTCAGCAGAATGCCCTTATAAAGAGGGGAGGGTGAAAGGAGGGATGGGAAAGTTGGCCTACCTCCGGCTCGCCCGTCGGCTTGAAGCACGAACACACCATGGTCTGGCGTCCTGGGTGGGTGCTGCTCCATCAGTCGACGCAGGCGGCACTCCTCGGCAGCGGTCTTGTTGAGCTGCTGCTCGCGCTGCTGGTCAATGGCGGCCTGCTGCTCACAGCGACGCGCCAAGGAGGAGGAGCCGGCAGCAACAGCACCGCGGGAACCAGTGGGGGTAGACATGTTCCTGCCAGCCCGAGAAATTCAGCAATGACACGGTCCTGCCGAGGGGATGAGAAGAGAGGGTTCGTCATGGAGTTAGGTGGAAGATTGCTAGATTGTTGCGCATGGACACTATGTGGGGCGACAGTGACAGAAGAGGGAAGGATCACTTACCACGAGGTCGCTGTAAGGTGGAGAGAGAAGAGGCGAGAAGAAGGCTGGAGCGAGAAATCACCCCTGATCAGTAACCAGACTGGGTGGAAGCACAGAGGATGGCCAAGGAAGGGGGGGAGGGGGACCTACCAGTTCAAGCCAGAGAGAGTGATAAGAGAGGGTGAGAGATGGAGCGTTTTCTGTTAAACCACGAGGGGCAGCGCACGCGACAGGACGATATGAGGAACAATGTCAAGAGCACCCAATTCTCATGCAGTTGATGGCCATGGAGCCTCCATATCAGCAGAGAGACTTGAGAAAAGCGTCAGGGACAGCTAGGAAAGGGAAGAGACCTACCAGTTCTGCAGTGAAGCGTGGTTGAAGGGAGAAGAGAAAGAAGAAATGGAGGAAGAAGAGGAGGTGGAGGTGGTCAAGTCGTCGAGGTCATGCCCACACGCGCTAGTGCAGCGGTGATGGGTGAATATAGAAGACCTCACACGCGGTGGTGAAGGTGAACTGGGCAAAAAAAAGGCGATGAAGCGCGAGATAAGAGAGATCACCACCTACTTTGCCAGGCCTCCGGGAGCTTGATTCCAACTAGGATTGGTTATTGCGATGGCAAACTAATCATGTGGGACAACATCTGTTCCACGTTCTGCATTGATATAGGAGAACCATCTGCAGAGACGTGCTATCTTGCATTTGATCTGTTTAACCAAAGAGTCGCTTAAGACCTGAATTCAAGGAACACCTGGTCAAAAGAAGGTCAGGTGTTTGGGTGCAGAATTCGATCAGTTCTGATCAAAGAAATACAGATTATGACAAGAAAGCGAGTAATCATCATGACCATTGAGATCAGTCGGGTCACCAGCGTCCACATCAAGCTGGTCGGAGTTTTGCCATTTTTCTGCTTATATTTCTCTTCCTGGTCCTCCCACTATGGAAGAGGAACCACCTGTCGATATTGATAGAATCTGCTGGATATAGCTTGCCATCTTCTTCATAGGAAATACTATAAGGACCCTTCTTTGCTCAGGGTCATTGTGCTTTTTTTATTCCCTTAAGACTTAGACTTGGAACTCTTTCTATTTCAACAAGGTAAGCAAGGACCAATTATGAGGTAATGAGCTAAACTCCATAGCTAGTACTCACTTGGCTAGGACTATGTACATGAGGCCCAGAAACTGCTGAGAAAGATGTGAGAATATGCAATGCTAAAACTTGAAGCTTGATTGAAGGGGTTGACCCCAGGCACCCGATAGTGGCGGAACGGTTTTGTTTATTATTGCGATGCAAAGATCACATGCAAAGTCAGGTATCCGATTCAAGAGATCATCAGATAGGGCTCCTGAGTTTCTCAGTGTTGTCAAGTGATCCAGGGTGATGTTGACCACCAAGTCCCGCAGTCCCCGTTCATGAGGCGGTGTTGAACAATATACTTCTTCGACTGCACGGCAGAAAGAACCATAGTCCAGCTGATGTAGAAATGTCTCATGAAAGTATCTCTTTGCAAGGACTTTTAGCCCGTCAATGAGGAGGCGGTCAGCAAGGGCATACATCCATATATGAAAGAAAAGAGGATCGGAGACCGGGGCCTCAGCCTGATTTTCGGCTACCTGATTGAGGGGCACTTCTGAACTTTCAGCAATGTTTCCATCTTCTGGAAAATCTGCTATGTTCTGAAGTGTATCCTCGGCATTCCTCTCAGCTGCTTCATCCACAGTACCGTCCATAGGTATCTCATCATCCTTTGCATCGGCAGCCGTGCTCTTGGTGTCCAATTCATCTGTCACAGAATAGTCAAGAGTGTACAGGTATTGTATCATCTTCTTAACGACAATTGGATTGTCATCAGGCAGCTGAATCTCTCTGGAGGATGTCTCCTTTCCGGGTGCAAACTCAACATCAGCTTGTATCTGTGGTTTTATTGTTTGATGGAAGATCATACCTGAAATCCACCATCGCATGCTTTGGCAAAGAATACTGAACGAGGGCAGATTATACATCGATGAACTGCAAATGTCTTGGTGCCACAAACGATTGTCAAATCACTGTACTTTGGATCGCGGTAAAGGCTGCTTCCACGTAAGTATGTAGAGAGAGCAAACATATAGACATTGATAAGTACCTTGCCAGCGACCTAAGGAGCACCTTTGTGTCTTCATTTCGCGTGTCTGATTGAAGAGGTTGCTCTTCTATATCTGACAACTCCCTCACCACCTTCTTGCAATTTTTTTTTGGCATACTACCGAAATTCAGTTGATACATGAGATCCTATAGAGTAAGCAAAGCTGTAAAATGGTAAAGAGAGACAAGAACTTCAGGTGCTGTGGAATTGTGGTTGATCCTGGTGCTGCATCTGTAAACAGGCAGGTGACGTGGCAGTTGTCATGTGCTAGGGTCCGACCAGTCAAGGAACTAGGCTAGCGAGTAGAGGGTTTCTAGATAGCAAGATTCACTTGGACAAGATAACATAACTCAATGAACAAGACAAGATAACAGAACGACTGGTAGGAAGCAGCGCCAACTGAAGCAATAGCTACAAGACAGCAGCTGCAGGGTCTTGCTGACCAACCAAGAAGACTCAGTAACAAAGGTTGTGATGTTGGATTGAGCACAGGGAACTAGGACGTGATGGCGATCAAGCCAGCATACTTGACTATGTAAATATGACTGCCGTAGAACATGCTTATCATATCAGTATATCTAACCTCCCAGTAACACACTTCACCTTGTATACTGGTTGATCTGCACTTCTCAGTATCTTAGCATCCTCCCTTTCATCACGTGACATATTCCTTCGTGATTGGTTGTCAATTCTTCCCAGTTTTTCAGCTGAGATAGTATGTTGCTTCAGTGGCCTCGGGTAGGGTTGTTGGAGAGGATGAGGAGGGCAAGTCTGGTAGATTCAGGACATGCCAGCTTCTATATATAGTTAACCATAAGCAGCAGGTTCTCGATCCTTGGAAAGTTGCGGGCTTTTACTCCGTACTCCCTGTCATATCATTGCTTTTTTTTGGCTATCACGTATATCAAAAAAGCTCCATGCAATCAGTTATGAGCGGCTACGTACAAACTTCTTGCACTAGGGAGGAAAGAAGCAAGGAACAACCAGCGAATCGAGTAGACAAAACAAACATGCTAAACTAGTTATCTATCCACAAGCCATGGCCACTCTCAACCGCTTCTAATAGGTGAAATTCTTCCGGAGAATTTGAAGAAGCTACAGAGATGAGGTTTTTCTCCCCACTCAAGTCATCCTGTTTTCCCCTTCTGAACTGATTTTCCGGCCTAGTTTCTCAATCTCTCTCCGTAGATTTTTATTTTCAACAGCCATGCTTCGGTTGTTGTCTTCCAAAACGTCAAGTTTTCTCGCTATGTATTGAAGGTGGATGAGGCGACTTTTTGCCTTTTGAAGAGGCAACCATCTCCAATAGATCAGCCCCCAAGGGGAAGGAAGGTGAGTTTCTATTTGATATACATAGAGAGAACAAGACACTGACAGAGATTGAATTTACTTTTTATCTCCTAGACTGATCTCTAAAGAGAAGAAACTGATCTGTAGAAATTTGCTGTCAAAAGGAATACCCTCCTTCTCCATATCCTGAGTTAACTGATTGCTTGCAGTTATCCTTGGGTGATGGACGCCGCCGAAACAGATATCAACGAACATTTCACAAATATAACGGATATCGTAAAGTATGCAAGATATATATTTAATGATATTGTACATTGAAGTCGTGCGTAACGTTAATACCGTCCGGAGGCAATGCATGATCCCGAAGCTGCGGGTTCAATTCCCTTGATTCTTCGTCAATACTCACGGATTCATTCTTTCCCAGGGAGCGGCCGCCTGAGACTTCCGTTTTCAGGGGATCATTGCCCATTCGGTTGAGAGGATAGATGGCATGCTCTGGGAGACGTTCGAAAGCGTACGGGTCGGAGACGCCATAGGATTTGTTGCGACTCGAACTAGGGAACAATTTGGGAAACATGCGGGACAACATTGGTTTCAATGGCGGCATGTTAGCACAAATGATGGCAAGTTCCGGTTCCAGGACAGTCCATAGCACTCCCATCTGGACTGAATAGGTGATGTCCGTGAAATCGATCGCCATCAGGGAGTTTAAACGGATGATGCTGATAATTGAGACTCTACATAGCACCGAAGTATAGCCCAGTCAGTATGAAGACTGAGAGTCGGAAGGGGATGAATGGAAATCACTCACAGAAGACCCATGGAGAAAACGAGGCACAGGGCCAATTTCTTCGCGACATTGAGTTGCAGCTTCCAGATATGCGGAATCGGTAGCGCCATGACCATCAAGTCGGTGACCAGATTCAGGGTCCCTGCGACGACGTAAGTCGCGTTTCTCTGACCACACGTACCCTTGATCGAAGTGTCCCAGTTATATGCTAGCGGACGGCAGAGCAGCAAGGTTTCCAAGACGATACTGATAGCCCACAGCCAAACGATAGTCATCACAACCGTCACGCTCACTCGAAACGATCGCTTGCTCCCGAAGATTCGGGAAAAAAAAGCATGATCGAGGTTTTAATGAGTGACATGACAATTCCATACAGGGCCTCAAGCGGCAGGATTGTCTGCTCATTAAGAAGCAGTTAGTCCCGATCTGGGACCAGAACGCAATTGCAGTGTACACGCAGGCCAGCAACCAACCTTTAGGGTAATAACCACGGACGCAGGATCCACGTCGGAAACATGTCGGCCACAACCACCCAGAATAGATACTAGACGAACAACGTCAGTTGGTTTTTAAGGAGTAGCAAGCCAGAAGCGATCAGCGCCATACAGATGTATTGAATCGCAATGTCAATATACACGATGAACTGTGAAAGAGCTCAGCATACTGTATCTGGAAGACGTCGATGCTTCCCCACCGAGACTTACCAAGGCGCCAATAATCATATACTCCGGAAGCCCGGGCTTCAATTTTCTCATTCTCAATGCCCACAATCTGAGAAAGGTTGTGAGAGTGGCCAGGGCCCCAAACACGGTGACCGCAATGACCGGATTCCGAGCCAGCGGAACACTCAGGTCGTACGTTCTCGGCGGCATCGCTACAGTACGGGTTGAGTATTGAACCGAAAGCAAGAAAGAGAGTAACAAATTAAAGACGGCATGCATAAAGTGAACTTATAGCCTGCCCTGTAAGACGGACACTCAACAAATGAACGGGACAATCCAGGGGCGTACCCGAGAGTCCATTTCGTCTGAGGGGTTGGTTATGGGAAACTTGCGCCGGTGTTTCTGGCAAGCGACTAAGAGTACTAGGGTGACCGGATGATCAGTTCCCGGTTGTTAGGAGTTTGTCCGGCTTTCATGTCGATCTTTACTCTGAGCTAATCAGTTTATAAAAGAATATACTCCGTAGTAGGTCCCTCTGCAAAAAAAACTATAAATATATAGACTAATTACGGTCACGGCTCGGCCAAAATGAATCAACACATTAAGGCTTGTAAGTTCACGCCACCCTGGGCTAACGTGCCTTAGTGAGGCCTGAAGGATGGCTAAGTGATGCGGGCCGTCGGCCCGGAAAACGGCTTGGCCCGGTCTCTCAACGGCTCTGTTATACCTACGGATCAACACTTCACTCCTGAGAAACAAGGATATCGTCTCCCCCCCCGCCCCGGCCGACAAGCATCTCTGGTTTAGCCTTGCCGGCCTTGAGAAACAGAATGTGTTTACCTAACAGCTTGGTTGCCTGGCAGTCTACACTCTCTCCAGGATTATTATGACAATTTCCGCTCACTATTCTCTGCAAGAGTGGAAGAGATGCTGGTCTCAAGTTAGGGTGCAAAGTGGATCATGTCCATACGACGGAGTATCCCCACTGATACCACCAAGTGTCTTAGTCTACTACCGGTACTGTTGTGCCGCTCCCTCGCGCTTCCCGTCTTCTCCCTTATCCACGCTTTGGCTTGTCTGGAGCCTGCAGACAGCTAATCACGGTCTAAGCATGTTGTCTGTCTTGCATTTTAGCCCGCTCCTGGACCGGAATCTAGGCCTAGCCGACCAGCATGAGTTTTCCACATGGTGGGCCCACTGCAGTCACTGCCATGCATGGCAATTCAATGGGTCTTCACTATCAACGACGCAGGATCCGCGCTAAGAGCGGTTCAGTCTAGAAGAAATATGAGAGCGATCCCTCCGAAGTGCGGCGGAATATTAATGAACTGAATCTCCAGATAGCCGGGAGGTTATTCATCGTTGCCCACCATCAGTGACGGAAAGCTACCCCTCAGACTCCTGACAGCTACCGTAGTCAATCATGGCTTCTTCCCCAGTAGACACATCCTCGACTGTTGGCCTGGAGTTGCAGTCCTTCGATTTCGTGGTAGTTGGGGGTGGAACGGCAGGATTGGTTGTCGCCAGTCGTCTGACAGAAGACCCGAATGTCAAAGTTCTCGTCCTCGAAGCTGGTAGCAACCGCGTTGATGACCCTCGAATTGCGGTGCCGGGCCTTGCTGCCAGCACTTACTTTGACCCTGATTTCGACTGGTGCATCACCAGCCCACCTCAGGTAGGCCGCCTTCAACTTGACCATTCATGGAACGATTGATCTCTAAGTAGCGCGGCATTGAAGGAACATCTCAACGGACGTCAAATTGCGGAACCCAGAGGCCGTACACTGGGAGGCTCATCAGCCATTAACCTGGGCATGGTCATCTATCCCAGCAAGAAAGACATTGACGCTTGGGAACAATTAGGGAACCCTGGCTGGAACTGGGACTCCATATCACACTATCTTCGGAAATCTCAGAAATTCACACCCCCGACTCCTGCAATCCGCGAACAACTCTCTCTGGATTACCTAGATGAGACACTCCAGGGGACTAGTGGCCCCATTCAGGTCTCATTCGGAGAAGGCCCGTTTCCTGCCTTCAATGCTGCCTGGCCAAAGGTCTTCGAGAATCTTAACCACAAGATCACCAGTGACCCAATCTCCGGAATAGCCAAGGGAGCATTCTGCAACCCAGGAACGATCGATCCAAAGACCAGGTCACGAAGCCATGCTGGCGTTACCTACTATAACCCCGAAGTCGCAAAACGTCCCAATCTTCGCGTGGTTACCGATGCAACAGTCGAGAAGATAATCCTGAAGGAAGCTGATGGAACAGTCATCGCCACAGGCGTCCAATTCAAAGCAAATGATGGAGTCCAAAGGATTGTTTCTGCTGGAGAGGAGGTTATCCTTGCTGCAGGAGCTATCAAGACGCCTCAACTGCTGGAACTATCCGGGATTGGAGGATCGGAATTGCTCAAGTCACATGGCATTGAAGTTGTGATTGATAACCCCAATGTGGGAGAAAATCTTCAAGAACACGGCTTCGTGCCATTTAGCTGGGAGATCGCCGATGGCCAGCAGTCTGGTGATGCCCTCCGCATCCCTGAAGTAGCACAAGCCGCAATGGCTGCCTGGCAGGAACATTCTGGCGCTGGACCACTTGGTCTCTGTGCCATTGCATCTGCCTTCATGCCACTCCCCGAGCTCCAGGACGGCGAGCTCAAAGGACTGATCAAGAAATATCTTGAGGACTACAAGTACCCCAGCTTCCCCGGACAGGAGGCTCAATATCGCATCTTACGCCAGATTTTGGAGGACGAATCCGAACCCACCGGTCAATACACTCTGGCACCCTTCCAAATCACCCCCGAAAAGGGCCCCAGCCCAAAGGGCATATATGGAATGTCAGAGCCAGAGAGCTTCATTAGTATCGTTTCAGTGCTTAACCGCCCCTTCTCTCGCGGCAATGTCCACCTGGCTTCCAATGACCCCTATGCCTCTCCTGTGTTTGATCCGAAGTTCTTCTCACACCCTCTCGATCTTGAACTCCACGCTCGACACACGAAATGGTTAGAGACGCTGGCTTTCACAGAGCCAATGGGCTCCTTACTCAAGAAGAATGGCCGTCGTCTTCACAGCGACAAGCCTGTCAATGATCTGGACAGAGCACGGGAGCTCACCAGGGATCGTATCATTGCTCATTACCACGTCTGCGGAACAGCCGCCATGATGCCCCGTGAGCAGGGAGGTGTCGTCGATGACCGATTGAAAGTCTACGGCACGAGCAACGTTAGAGTTGTCGACGCCAGTGTCATGCCGCTGATTCCCAGAGGCAACATCCAGGCCATCGTTTACGCCGTCGCTGAGAAAGCAGCCGATATCATCAAGGAACAACTGCAGAAGAGGAAGTCTGGTTGATGCTTGTACTGTCGTCCGCGCGAAAGAAGCCCGTGAACTTGTTCGGCGTTGCCATAACCTCTTCACCACTCAACCAGAGGACATGAAACGACGTATGAAGGGATGGCGTCGCGACCGTCTATAGGTTATAAGTTTTTAGAGTACTTACCTACCTTTGGTTGCAGTGGAGGTCAACTTTGTTCAATAGAAGTGAGCTTGGTGTTGTTGAGAGGTGGCAGGTGTAGTGGAGGTGAGATGGAGATCAGAGAGAGAGAGATATATATATATCCTTCCACTTCGTGCTTTAGAGAGCCTTTAGGAAGTGAAAACCTTTTCTGCCTATTGTACTCCAAGCGCTTTGGGGCCGTTTCAAGAGCTCAAACCACTGTAGTACGCCCGGTGTTCTGAAGTCGGTCAATCCACTTCACTCAGGTTGGTTCTTCCAATCAAACTGCAACGTCACTTCAGCAGCGTAGCCAGAATCTACGACGATCAAATTACCTCTTTTCTTCCTGCCACAAATTCTCTCCGACTATGAGCCGTCTCCACACGCTCAGGGATGGTGATCGCAGGGGATCGAGATCGGAATTCTGGACGACCCAGCCGCAGGAAAAAAATTAGCAACAACGGGCGCCCCGTTCCGCCTATCAGGCCGACCTCGTCGACCATGAGGACAGTCCATCCGACGATTCCTCAATGGAAGATGATGTCCAGTTGGACGATCCATCGTCTAACGGAGAAAGCGACGAGGAGGACGGAGTCGAGGCGAACGCCATTGAATCGTTGAACTCCAACGCTCAAGTTGACACAGGCTCAGGTCGCGACTATTCGGCGTCGCCATAACCTCTTCACCACATGAAACGACGTATGAAGGAGTGGCGTCGCCACCGTCGACAGTGTTCGAGAGTTTGAACTCGGGAAGCTCCACATTTTCGTCGCGGCTTTTGTCGTGAAGACGTCGAGGATGCGGAGAAGCAAATCCTGCGCGATCAGGAGGCAGAAGAACAAGATCGTTTCTCCGTGTGATATATTGGACGGCCTCCCCGAGTCGAGGATAATGAGGATAGAAACATCAGTCTGAGTTGGTATATAAGATCTGATTACGTTACCATTCCGATTTCAAACAAGACCAGTATTCAAGCTTATAATCACAAGGCCAATAATAAGCGAGGGGAAAAAAAGGTATCTATCATCCGAATATATGAACAGAAAATACACTTCATAGGTGCTGCACTGCCTTATGGCTGGAGACTGCTATTTCGCAGATTATCAAGCCAATTTTCTATGTTAGACATAGGTGTATTCTGCTTTATGCTGCCCAGCTCATCAAACTGGCACTCGACAGAATTGAAAAAGTTGTAAGGATTTCTGTGTTGATACAGTCCTGCAGTAATTAGAGCACCGGATCTTGGGCATCGTAGATTGACACCAACCACCAAGATATCTCTCTTAGATTGAGAAACAACCCGGATAACACAGCGATAGTATCTGTAAAATAATACATCTTCAACCCTTATGCAGGTCATTCAGTTCAGATATCAAGAAGGCAAGCGCAGCAGTTGACTGTAAAGCTGGATTATTTATTGCAGGAGGGGTAGCCAGTGGATTCAATTTGCAGACCATTGTTACCCTTTACAAATCTTCAAGAATAAGATTTAGTACACCGATAAAACTTGATCTGGTGGAACTAACAGGCAAACAGATCACTAGATCAACCAGTTTGATCTTACCATTTAAGACTCAAACCTGCGAGCCTGATGTCAAATGCAAATACCTCGGTCGCCTAGAGCATTAAAAGAGTTAAGATATAAAGTTTACTACTCTATCAGAGACCTGGAGTAACAACTGAGTAAATGAACATAAAGAAGGGTACGAATAAAAATCAACCAGCAAAAGCATACTGGGGTTTCCAAGTGTCAGTAAAGCCCCAAAGGTTGAGGCCAATAATGGCTTTAGACTCGCATCAATAGCTCCAGACGCTTCTAGATTAGATACCACGCCCAGGGTGTCCTAGGCCAGACAAGTTTATTACATTGTACCTCTCCTTAGTTTCATCTAATGCTTATTTGCTATCCCTAACAGCATATTTTTGACAATTAGCTTCTATATTATAGTTTTAGCTTGCATAAAGCACACTGTGCTTTTGCTAGTACTAGATTATTTCATCAGAAGATTGGACAAGGAGTTCATCTCTGCTGGAAAGACTTGCGACATAGACAATTGGCTGCAATTATTCTATGTCCACCCTGCTTAACCTTCTATTGCCAGATACAGCAGGATTGATGAATAGACAGTCTCCCTCAATGTTTTAGGCGAGTTTACAATCAGTCGTCATCTTGACGGCGCTATCTTGGTGCGCTCATGAGAGATGAAGAAGCTTGATTCTCTAGACCTGAGAGGCGCTGGGACTGACTAACTACTAGGCTCGCTAAGCGGCTGACCCACTAGGCGGCTGACTCATGTTGGTGACGGCCTTAGACCACCACCAACACGTCATTTTGGCTTCTTAGATGCAGGTCACGATATTGAGAATATGTTGAAAGGATTGAATGAGGAATGGGACTACAGTGCGACTGTGAGCCCCACCAGTAGCCGTGGAGAGATTGTAGCTCATCCATCAAGTCGGCAATGCACCATGGTTAGACCGAAAGAACCCAATACGCTTGTAGCTTACAAGCCCAACGCACGAGTTTGTGACTCAATCGCAAAAGCTACTACAAGCCCAGACGAGGGAAGAAATACCTTTCCACAAGCCTGACTTTGTCGACCGCTTTCTCGAGGACTCAAAAAGCACACCCGGATGTTGTGTCTGATGAGATTCTTTCCGTTTATGTTTCCTCAAACATCCTTGCTGGTTCTGACACCACAGCCGTAGTTCTCCGGGCCATCGTTTACTACATCACCAAAACTGATGGAGTCCTCGCTCGCCTTGTCAGAGAGCTGGACGAAAGTCGGGTTGAATACCCGGTCTCTTACAAAGCTGCGAAATCCCTCGGCTACCTAGACGCTGTTATCAGAGAAGCCATGTGCATTCATTGTTGCAAATATCGTCCACGAGCGTGTTGTACCTGAAGGTGGTCTTCGATTTTCTAGTGAACAAATTATACCCTGTGGCACATTGTCTCCTCGTCACCATGGGTGGTTCACTTCGATGAAGATATCTTTGGTCGTGACATAGATAAATATATTCCAGAACAATGGCTTCAGCGGGCAGAGGAGACAGTGGAAGATGCTTGAGAATGCTTTAACACAAATACAGTGCAATGAATTCTCCTTCAGCTAGGATCCAGGAATGTGCATCGGCAAAAACATTGCGATCATAGAGATCTGCGTGGCGATTCCAATATTGTTTGGACAACTGGATGTGAGTGTTCAGCAATGCACTCAAAGGACCGTCACTATTGCTGACATCATTACTGATCTACTTGGCGCACCCAAAAGGGATTGGACTGCAAAGGGCTCTTTCTTTTCAAGACAGCACGATATGGATATCAAAGTTTCATGGAGGATTAAGGTACCCAAGCAGAAAGATGCTTAATGTCTTGAGTCAAAACCTCAAGATTAACTTAGGACACCACAACAGATGGTGCAATGAAAATCTGATTTATTTGTCTGGCCTGTTATTTTCCAAGCATACCGTCTTATATACCACGCCGGAATGCTAATACCTTATCATTCTTCACGGTAACTTTAATCTCACAGAAAGTTTCTATACATTCTGGGTCCTCGAGACCTTGATAGAGTTAACGGGGTCTATATTTATGACAAATAGACACTGCCTCATTTGAGTGTTGGAGCTTTGCTGTGCAATGTTGCTATCCGATTTAAGTTCTGTTCCTAGAATATATCATGCGATTTCCAAGAATTAAAAATGTCTTCTGCAGACACCGAAAATTAAATGCTCTCCCTATCCACCAAACAATTTGTTCGTATCCCTAGAAGATAGCAATGGTCATTCCATCGGTCACTTGCTCGCTCCCGGAGACCAGAATAACTACATAATGTAGAAATTAAAAAAGCTTTTAAGCTAACATTATACACAATGGTCCTAACAGGTAGTCTCATAAATCGACATGCCTCTACTAACTCATACATTACAAAGCAGTCTTGCAGGAGCTTCATGTCGAATTGAGTTTACGATATCTTGAGAACAGGATCCCATGACCTGCTAACATTTCCAACAGGATCAATCGAGTGCTCGTTATCACCACAAGCGCTTGTCTCCGCACACTGAGTTCTATTACCTATGATACAATGGGCAAAATGGCCAAACAGCCAAACAAACTGCAACTGATGTGACACTATCTCGTAATATTTTGCTAATATTTTGGCAGGACGGCTGGAACGTGAATTCTCGGAGATTGCCGGTTGCCAGGCCTGACCCTGACCATATAGGGTTTAGGGCCTAGGGCTAAGTAAGGCTTGGTGACCAGCAGGTAACCTCGGTGAACTCATCCACAGATCTTAGATAGTTCCTAGTATGAAGAACGCATTACTACAAGTCCCTAAAGCTCTATGAGGTCTTTTCCCGAATGGATTGCGAAAGCGCGATGTAAATATGAATTTTCTCCAGTTTTTCATTTCGAGGTGTGCAACCATGGTTCTACGGCGAGATATAATGTGTCGACAGCCGTTTCGTACCGAAGTCCCGATTCACAGCAAACTGCACTTGTGGCTAAATATGTCATCCAGAACAATGAACGATAAGGCCGATGTTCTATCTGGTTAAAGAACATGATTTATACGGGTATCAAGAACACGGCACCTCGAAGACAGCTGGGAAAATTCCTCTAACGGCCTCGATTGTCACTTATTCCACGGAAGACAAACTATCCCTAACCGCGAAAGTGCAGAAGTCTCAACACGATCAACAGATTGCTAATTAGATTCACCGTTCTACCAGGCTGTTAAGACTGCCGTGGCATAGCCTGGGATGTTGAACCTTGACCCGATGACGGGTACGGTACGCCAGTGACCGCCTCCTGATATGGAATGGCATAGATGCATAGACCAATGGTCAGGAAGTATGGATAACATGTGCGTTCAGGACTAACTGTTGAGTACTGTGGTGAAGTTTGGCTGAGGGAGGATTAGTCCGTCTGAAATACCTGTGATTTTTCTCTTTTTGTTTTATTTAGAGATCCCTTTCATATTCTATCCGTATCGAAATGCCAGTTATTAGCTTAGTAATTTCACTATTCTTTCGTTACTATCTAACTAGGATCCAGAGTCAAGGGAGAAAAGAGACTCGTCGGTGATGTATTGGGAAATTCTGCCGGCAGACTATAACAGGTTCCTGTTTTATCTAAGATAATGCCGCTTGAAAATGGTTGGCTAAGGAGCCTTCCCAGGCAAAAGAGAAGCCTGCTGGCCACAGCAAAGGCGGTTATCTAAAACAGTCATCTGCAAGAAAAGTACGCCTTTGCTGGCAGGCAGCGGGCCTTTCTATGCTTGCGCTCGAGGGCAATCATTCCCTCGTAATCGTTCTCAATCCTCAGGGACAGACAGACGGAACGGCATCGTCTCCGCACATACCTCTTCTTACTTTTATATCCTGATATTCCTCCCATTCGAGATTAATCTTTCTCGTCTCCTGCTCCTGCAAAACCCCTAAAAGAAGCTCACCATGGCTGAGACATACGACCTCCGCGACTACGACTCCCAGGAGGATGCACAAGACGTTCCGTACTCTAACTTGGTGTCTGCTGCTTGTCTCATTGCTGATCTCTTTGAGAAGGCTGGTATTCTATACGCTGTGATGGGGGGCTTCGCGCTCAAGTTGATGGGATCTACACGTGATACCAACGATGTTGATATCGCCTTTCAGGCGCCGGGAAAAATGAGGGAATTGTGGAGCATTGTGGAAAAGGAGCCTCGGTTGGTGGTTGCAAATGGTCTTAGACGCATTTATTTGTATGTACATACTTACAGGAATCTTGGTTTGATTATTCCTAATACTCGGCTAATCAGCGGTATCATGAGAGTATTTGTCAAGACTGGTACTGGTTATGTGAATTAATTGATGTGGAGGTCGACCTCATTCAAAATGGTATGCAAATCCCATATATTCTCGCTTCTTAAATCCAAATAACTCGATGACGCGACCAGGCTTTCAGAACAGTCCACTGGATCTTGAGTCTCGTCGCCGAAGGCTTGTCATCACCGCCAACGGAACGACGAGGCCAATCTATATACATTGGACATCCACGCTCTGGCACGAGGCAAACTGTCTGCCTTCCTGGGTCGCAGGACTGATTCTGATTTTAAGGATATCCAGTTTCTAGTGGAGAATCTTCCAGACGAGGTCCATGCAGTCCATGACCGCCTTGACCCGGAAGCCGTTGACTGCTTCTCGAGGCTGCTATGATGGAATACGAGCAGGACTATTCGCATGTCTTTGGCCGCTGATTTCGGTCAGGAGACGATATATCTTCAATCTCCTGCTAGTTGCCTGTTTGAACAATGTCAAGATCTATATCGTTTCTATTAACTGCTTTCCTGGCGGACTTCCTACCTATATTTCTCGCCATGAGCTTTATAGTACTGTTTACAAATGTGTTCTATCTACTGAGTCCTTATTTAATAAAATTGATAAACTAAATAGACAGGACACCTTGTTGCGTCCTACCTACTATATCGCGTGGCTAGACTGCCTGCCCGCAGTCGCATGAAAACTGCCACTTCTGCATCTATCTCAGTAGACGTAGCCATTAGCAATTTCCCAAGTCGCCACCATCTTGTTGACATTCCTGCTGCGTGCACTCAGCTTTAGCAGCAAGATCCTTCTTCATTCCACGCAACCTCGGGTCTTTCGAGCCATGCCTACGAAACCTCGTCGCATAGATCTCGGGGGAATATTTCCACCCCAGACGCCTCCGTTTGCTCCCAATGCTCGCCCGTTCTTGCCAAAACTCCCGCCGAGGAAAAGGCTTGGGATCAAGGAAGGTAGCCCTCTGTTCAGGCGTAGGAGCGGCTGCTCGGAGAGCCTCGACCCGTTTCTGGGCCCATTGTAAGTCGCAGTCACCTTCCAGATCGAGACTCTCTTCTCCCCATTCCTCAGAAAGGTCCATCCCGTCGATGAGATCTGATAGATCGACCCCATTTCGGGTGTCAATCATACTCTGAGCGTAAACATTGAGCTTCGGATATGGCAATGAAGCGCCTGGAAATAAACAATCAGTGCGAATTTATTTTTATTTCTTTAACACTCATAGGGGGTTTGTTTCCTACTTTTCCCCCATTGCCCCCACTCGATGTTCTCCGGTTTACAGTCAATATGACAGTAACTCGCCGGCAGGATCAACAAGAAATCCGTCCTGCCGATAGCCTTGAATCGAGGATACAGGTGATGCAGGGAATGCACGCCTTTAACAGGTGAAGGGCCGACTGGTTCGAAAATAGTATTGTGTGAGGCAAAGCATTTTGTTGCCTGTTCATGCTGTTCATCGGGGACACAGAGGACATAATCCTATTAATAATAAGTAAGACATTATGTGCAGCACTCTTCGAAGGCCTAAATAAAGAAAATAGAGAGAGATAAGGTAGCACATACATTACGGACCCGTTTTGCCCCATAATAATTCAGAGCAACCTCATCAACAAAACAACAGCATATACCAGCATCCTTCAAGATGTTTATAACTGCGACAATATCTTCATGAGATGGGGGCTTGTCGCCTGGGTTCCCAATTGCCAGAGGATGGAAAGCCGGAGAGAGAATCGGCTGCTCATCATCATTATTATTACCAGATGTAGCTGCTGCTTCTGCCATTTTCCCATGTATGTATGTACATGGAACTCCCGAGAAGGGGTTAATCCCCCCTCCCAACGGAATTCAGGAGTTTCAAATCAGCAAAACGATAGCAGCAAGATGGTACCTTTTTTCAGCTTGGAACATGAGGCTTGTCGCGGGGTAGTTAATGTAAACCCCTCTGTTTTTTCCATAAATATAGTACAGAGTACGGAATCGAGTCTTCACACCGCCTTTTTCGCCGCCATATTTATGCATTATGCCATACAATCACGCTTTGCTTAATCAAATACAAGTTATAAAAACCAAACGAATCAAAAAAGAGCTGTAGAAATTGGATATCATTACAGTAAAATCTTTAACGTTAATCTAGGATTGGATGTAGTGAGAATCCACTTATCTCCACCTATCACGCTGCTTATTTCTCAGACGTCTGGGACAATCCACCCTGCTCACTCTCAGAAGATTCTTCGAAATCGACATCCAGCAAATAATGCTTGATCAACGCCAGTTCTTCTGGACCCGGTGGCCAGCATGCTTTACCGGTGATGTAGAACCCGGGCTGACCGTCTGCAAGCTGTGTAACACAAATAAGCAATCACTTCCGTGATAATGACGATAATGATTGATAACCTACCTCTGGAAAGACGATCCAGCCCAATTTCATGAACATATGCATGTCCTTGTAGAATATTTTCTTTGCTTCATCCGTTCGCGATTCGTGCATGTACTCCATGAAACCCTGTCCAAAGCGGTGACGAGAACACAAGCGGTAATATGCTGACAACCCGGAACATGCAAACGCGAGGAAAGGTTTCTCTGCAACTTCCAACACCAGATTTCCCAGAGTAGATTCGACAATGTTGCCGTAATTGTCTTGGAGGAGAGCCTCAAAGCTCGAGGCTTCAAGCAAAGCTTTTGCTGTCTTGTCATCAAGTGCTTGCTTCAAGACTCGTTCGAGAAGTGCCGCCCCATCATCCAGCCTTCTTAGGACCTCCTATCTTGAGAGCACTTTCCTTTTGCTTTCTGGGACAATAACCTCTGGAATAAAATGGCATATAGCTGCGAAAGTATTCATATTCAGGAAAAGCTTACTTTCAGGGCCGAGCATCTGCTCAAACTGAGCAAGGCGTGTGCGCCAGAACTCTAGAATCTCAGTTTCCGACAAGTCTGGATACTGTAACCGTATCGAGTGTCCAAATATTGTCCAGTCGAAATTGTTCCACATCCCCGTCTTTTTGCAGAGATCCGAAAAGATCTGCATCCCCGCGTCTTTGAGTCCAAGCTGGTGGCACTTGCCTATGAGATCTAAGCGAGTTCGAATGTCCTCATCAGAGACCGGTGAGCGTTGAGGCTGTCTGCCATGAGAAGAATACACTTCACCTCTTAATAAACCAACGACTGCAGCTACAATATCATGCAGTAACCATTCTTCGAGTGTTGAGTTTTCCTTTGTCGCATGCAGACTCGGATCAGGCGCACTTTCGCGAGCTCTGGAGCTGTCTGGCATAGGCAGGGGTGGTGGGAAAGGGTCTGGAATAGACTCAGGACTCGGCACACCCTCATTGTTCAAGGCCGCGAAGAGTCGTTCAAACTCGGAGGAGCTCGGACTCGGAGCCTGGAACAGCGCTGCAAAGTCGAGAGAGCCGACTTCAGACGGAAGGGTGCTTGCTGGTGTTGTAGCAATGATGGATAATGCCGAGGCTGTTTAGGCCAATTAGAAACAGGTGCAGACTCTCCCCAGTTATACAACACTCACCTTGAGTTGTAGATGCACTGCTGTCGCCTTCGGGTCTATGTATTCGAGCCTTTCTCCTGTTCCAACGTGCCGGGTCCACGTTCCTGCCATGCAAACTAAATGTTGTGCGCTTGCCAGCCTTCCTCCTTTCCTCCTCAATCCTTACCATCAGGGTTGCATCTTCATTTCGAATATTCTTTTTGAATCCCCATTTGGCGATCTGGTTCATAAATGTTCTTCTACTACAACAAAAGAAAGTCAGGGCCCACCTCTCTGGATCTTAGTGCTGTCACGCTTACCTCGCATGGATCCCATAGACCTTCAAACTTTCCATGACGTCCTTGATCGGCATGCCTTGGTCGACATATAGCTGACGGATCACCTCTTTGAATTGTTCCCAATCGATTCGCTTCCTGTGAGAAACAGGCGGAACCTCTGACGGAACATCCGTGGTTAGCGGCGAAGCTGGATTCATTGTGACAGGTGACTGCGGTAAGTGAACAGCAATATAGTGGGATGTCTGGCAGGGAGAGGGAATAAGAGCTTTAGCATCAATCTCTTTTAGCGTAGCTCATTTAACGTAAAAGGACTGGAGAAACAGATGAGCTGAATTGAAGTCTTTAAGTAGCTTTGAACTAATGATAGTCTCATCGCCAGAGCTGAGCCTCACTTGCCAAAGTTAGAGAAGCTTGCCGCAAAGCAACGTTATGCAGCGCCCTACTCATGATCAGCCTAAAGTGCAATTGCCAAAGGTGCAATTACCGAAAGTGCAGTTACGAAAGTGCAATTACAAAAATGCAAACTACCCAAAGTGCAAACCCAGAGCCATGTTTAAATAGCCCTGAGAAGACGTCGATTGGGCTATAAGCTGTGGATATTGGGATAAGTCGCAGCCAGCTTTTATTCCCTAATTAACTCAATGTAAAGGAGATCTTTTAACCTTCTACCACAATACAATCCAAATTGTTGTAGCAAGGTAGGTCACTGAATGAGTTGAATTTCAGTTCTTCATTTAGACCTCTTCAGAATTTCCTGGAGTAAGAGGAGGGCGATATCTGAAAATTATTGCAAGATATTGCGTTGATTGCTAACTGCGTACCGGATAATGGAATAGGAACCCAGCAGACGCAACTTCAGCAATGGCATCTTTTATCTCTGACTTTCCTGTGTCAACTAGCAGTGCTGGAACCTCAGCACACTCGTTGAGCAAAAGAACATTTTCGGTTCCAGGAGGCGTCAGCCGAAACCTCGACCTGCTTGGCACGCTTTGTCCTCCGAGTACGATGACCGTGTATGCGAGTCCTTTGGATGTGACACACGAGCATCCTACGAGTCCCGCAGCATTCCGGCACGAAATGGGCAATGGCTATGCGCTCGATGACCAAGCCCTGCAAGACTGTGCAATAGGTTCTGTGCGTGACGGAGGCTGCTTCGAGCAGCAAAAAATGGCCCCTGATATAAACGCCAGTTTTGGAACGCATAGCTAAGATGCTGGTCTGATCACCGTTGCTCCAGCTGGCGATCAAACCAGGGCAACTTCTTCTGAAACCCAGCCATCAAGAAGAAGCCCCGTCCAAGGTGTTGTTTTGAAGTGCAAATGGGAAGGTTGCAAATCTTCCGGCTCCTTTGGTCAGGCGCCTGACTTGGTGAGACATGTGAAAAGTGCCCACATTGCTCCGGGTTCATATCTGTGTCCAGCAGCAAGATGCTAGAAATCATTCAACAGGAAAGATAACCTAGAGGCTCACTTCCAGCGGCGGCATAAAGTGGTCGAAGATGGGCGCAAGAGGGGTGTGGGGAACAGGAGAGGAAGAAGAGGAAAGGAAGGAGTGCTACATCAGCGTATGTTTTGATGATGATGAGAAAGGATGGCTCAGAGAGTATCTTGCAGTCAAGATAGATTAGTTTCATGGTCGCCAATAAACCTTCCATCCCAGCATGTATGACGGATTGGGAACTGAGGCCCCTGGATAGGAGATTTCCAGTATGATGTATTTCAGGGCCAAAATCTTGCTGCATTATTATCAATGTTGGCAATACTTCCTGTTGTTCGTTAAAATATAGTATAGATTACAATGCCTAAGATAAGAAACTCACTAACACTGCTTATATTAGGCTCTTGGATTTGAGATGATATTCTGCTATTCATAGCCAGGTAGAGCAGACTAGGCTATAAAAAGGAACAATCATAGTACTACTGCTTTTATAAAGGCCCTTCTTCTTTTGGTTCTAAGGCAGAATCTCCTTACTCCTTATTAGGGTACTCTCGTTACTCCTGGTATTCTTGTCGTAGGTGTAATATAAATAAATCTGCAGACTAAAGCGCACACACATCACAGTACATTATCAATGTCAGTAAGAAATACATTAACGAGTACCAACCCGAGCCTAGACTATAAATAAGTACAGTACACGAGTAATCCCTGCAAGGACGTAGACAGGCCCCCAGACAAACCCGATCAAACAGACATGGATATCACGGATATCGACCCCAAACTAACATTCGTCACGGTGATATTGTTCGACCTCTTCAGACGGAGGCTTGGCTGGATTCCTTCACCACGTCGGGATCCTCGCCGTACGCCGACCGATATTCTTGCACGTACCGCTCGCTATCCGCTTCCTGGAGTCTCTTGTATTTCTGTGTTGTCCGCTCGTCAGTTTCAGCCCCGGACCAGGAAAATTGATAGATGGACAATCTCACCTCTTTCTCTTGCTCGGTCAGACCCCTCCACTCGTCGGCAATGCGCTTGGTAGCTTCGCGGATCGACATGTGCTTCAGATCGCCGCTCTTGAATCGCTCTTCGACGAAGAAGAGGAACGACGATTGCACCCCCTTGACCTGTCGGTCGTCTCGGATCGGGTTCATCCTGATGGGATGTTTGAAGGACTCGGTGAGCTTGGCCAATCGTCTCCGGGCAAGATTGGCCTGTCGAATCTCGAGAGGCGTGTGAGACTTCACCCAGGACTCGTACGCCGCGGCATTAGCCGCCTTATTCGACTCTGCCTGGCGCTTATAGGGCTGCAACGGACACATGTGAGTTAGACAAGCACGAACTCCCGGGAACGAACTGTGCTGCTACAAACCTCCAGTTCCTCAGGCGACAGAGTCTTGTACGCAGAGGTCAGCTCGCGGAATCCCTCCAGCCCGCCTTTGGTCTCCTTCATCTTTTCCTGAATCCAGAGGACATAGCCCGATGTCGGGAGACCCTTGGGCTCCTTCAATGCGACCTTCTTAAGCGCTCGGATCTCTGCTGCCCGTTTCCGGGCCTCCAATCTCTCCACCTGCTCTGGCGTCAACTCCTTCTTCGCTTTGGCAGTCTTGGCCTTGCTGGCGGTCCTCTTCTTGGCCGATTTCGCCTTCGCCCTTCCTGTCTTCTTCTTGGGACGACCGACAGTCGCGTAGGAATTGGCCAATGCCCGGGTGGGCGTCCTCTTTGGCAAGCCCGCAGCTGCGATCAGGTGCGAGGGGCGGGTGCTTGCGGTTTGGGCGACGCGTCGAACATGGCTAGGGGCGAGAGAGATACGAGTAGAGACGGGCAGGGTCTCGCGCAGGTTGAGCTGGCGGAAGATGCACCGCGCCCGGCGGGCTAGGATCAACGGCATGGTGAGCCCTCAAGCTGCGATGGACGTTGCAAGAATTGGAGGGGTTGATTCAGGGTTGAAGCACGGTCGTATATATCAACGCGGAGCTTGATGAAACAGGAGGCTGGGTTACCAAGGTTCGCTTCGTTTGGAATCTGCCGAATCGGGCTAGTCTGCACGTGACAGGAATGCTGTGGTCCACTTCCCGTTTTCGATGACGTAATTGCTTAGTCATGGGATAACTGAAGTACAGCACGTACTACCATTTTGACCAAAATTATTATGATTATTATTCTTCTTATTGTCATTTTAATAGAGTGGAAGGGGAGTAGGTGGTAAAAAGAACAATAGAATAAGAAGTATCGTGTTAGGGGGTTCTACCTGAAGAGTACGGTGCAATCCTACTAAGCATCTAGCATTGTACCCATCTTCCACAACGCACAGAAGAAAAACTGACTGACAGTGCTCGACTATTCATGGCTGACTGTTAATATGACTTTCTTCAGTTTCAAGGAATTTCGATCAAAGAGGTGTATGTTAGAGTGAAAGATTGATTTCTCTCTTTACAGTTGTATATATAGTTAGGGTTATTCAGCACACAGTATGATTTAGCTAAGAACTCCTCAACTACTGCACCAGAGGGCCCGTTAAATCGATATCAATTGCTGGGTCGACTGATTTATACTGTTCTTTCATAAGTAGTTCGTATCTGTTTACATTTTGAATGTTTTCTATGACTAGAACTGATATTTTTAGCTTCACAAAGCTGAAAACAAAGGAAAAGAAGATAATAAAAAAGAAGTAAAAGGAAAAGAAGTATCGACTTCGTATCCCCATACTCATCCTCGTGGTATCTACCAACGCCAGGCTAAAAGTCTTGCAAGCATTGAACCAGTTCGATCCTTAGGTACAGTACCTATATAGTCAGACAGTCAACAGTCATTACCGGTCAGTAAACGCGTCTAGTCAGCATGCTGTGAAGAGAAATGGTAGTATGAGCTCGGAATTGCCTGGCTCGCTGGTTGGTTATCGCTGGTCGTCACGTTGAACTGCGTGCTGACCATGATATCACCATTCTTGCACAGTTCCTCCTCGGAGCCGTGATCGCCACCCTGCGACCCCAGGATCACGCTGCCCTTGCCGGGCTTGCGACCCGTCCGCACCTGCGACACGGTCCCCAGCTCGTACCGCGACGGTTTCCCTTTACCGCTGGTCTCCGCCGTGTCCGAGATGTGTGTCTTCCAGACGGACCGAAGGGACGGCGCGTTGGCCGTCAGGATGGCGGTGCACAGCTCCATCGTCGTCACGATGTCGACCGATCCGTAGACGTAGGTTGTGCGCGAGCCGCTGCCGAGTTGCACGAGCACGATGAACCGGAGTAGAGACACCACGATGGTACTCCCGCCGAGGGTGAAGCAGAACATTAAGCCGATCCGACGCCTGACGGTCGTGTGGAGAACCCACAGAGGATAGATAGGGAGGATATAGATCAACAGGTCCGTCAGGACGTTCTACTTCGTCTCTTACGTTAGTGGACGACTGCTGCGTATATGAGTGCGAGCTGGAGCAGAGACGACTTACAAGACTCGCGGGAATGTACAATGTGATTGGGGTCGGGATGCATTTCGCATTAGGGTACGCGCTGGGGTTGAAGAAGGCACCCAAGGGGATACACTGCAGCCCGTAGAATAACCAGACTGCAACGGTCTGGCAGGTGGTGAAGGCCATGACGGCAAACACCATCGTCCGGTACAAGGGGGTGCTGCTCAAGACGCGGAGATAGAAGGTCAAGAACGACATCTTGATCAGCCACTGGCACAGGATGTAAACGAATTCGATGATGAAGAGTAACTGTATTTGTCCTCTATTAATAAAAAAAAAGCATTTACGCCTGCGCGGGGATGATACGACGAACCAAGGTGATTTTCGCGATGTTTTCTTGTGGAACACCATATAGTCTAGAAATCAGTCATGTCAGTTCATCGTCTTGTCAGTCGCTCGAGTCTGCTTCCAGACGTGGCAACTTACTTTCCTCCCCCATCGACGATCATCTGTCCCAGGATGCCTTGCGTGACGAGCCATGCGATCTAGATAACGAACACACAAAATCAGAGGCCTTATGAGATCTGGAAATGATAGGAACAGGTGCACCCACAGACGCAGCGACCATAAACCAGTCATCCATTCCAAAGGACTTGGAGATGTAGAGACGCGAGTAGAACCGGAGCAGACATGACAGTCCCGTGATCACGACAAAGGGCATCGTGATGCCCCATGCTGCGGGCTGCAAATTGTCTGTGATGGCCATTACGCTATCGAGGCATTGATGTCGCCGACTCTGGGGTTGAAGGGGGGAAAAAAGGCCCGAGCACAGCAGGAATCGTTGTGTTGCTGTACAAACAGAACTATATATGGCCTCTGCCCAAGAGGGTGGAGGCGGACGTTGAAGAACATGAAACATGAAGCACGGAGATCGTCTCAGGAGGACGCTGGTTGAGGTGTAGTTCGACATGTCAGTCGAATTTAGCTACCTAGGTACTACCTATGGCGCCTGTTCGGCACATCAGGCCAATTCCGATGGTAGGGTCGAGAGTCGAGACCCTTGTTCCTCAGTCTTCAACGGCAGACTAACGTTAATTGCAGAATTCCTCAGGTGACGATGCTAATTATCATAGATTTATGACCGGGAAGTGTGCTTACTGCCGGAGAGATGCTAATCTGACTTGGCAGCTGGCGTACCTAGGGCATCTCTAGCTGTTCGGCTTGGTCTTAGATTCCTTCCAAACACAAGAATTGGAAGCAAGGACAGGATTTCTACTCTGAGACTCTCGAGTCAACGAGAGAACAAGTTGTGGCCAGGCAAAGAGTAGGTCGGAGTCTAGAGTCTAGGACCCTGGCAATGACTTGCGCCTCCCTACCAGGTCACTAGTGATTGTTGGCGTCTCCCGACGGGGCGTTCCATCAAGCGCGGCGATCCAAGGCGAATTGATTATCTTAGGTAGATAATAAAGCCCTCCTAATTCTTCCCCAGAAGAGTGAGAGCTACAGAAGACTCAGGATCTGAGGGACTAGAAAACTGGTCTCTGGCATCAATTCCACAGATGCAGCAGCTGGAATGATTTCGCAGACAAGAAAAATAAATATATCTCTTTGCGATGCCGATCTGCTGTCATCGCCCAAGCAGGCCGCGTAGGCGATACTGCGTACTGTTTGCTGTTTGCTGTTTCGGTACAAGGCCGGTGGATCAATTAGGTAACCTGCTAGACGGCCGTCTATAATGGGAGATCTTATGCCTTTGGTGGAGCATTCTGCATTTTTTTTTGTCAGAATGACTCGAATGAGACCGTCTGCGGGAGGATCAATAAAAATGAGTACTCTGTAAACTGCAAGGCAAGCTGCTAGCTCGTCGATTTCTGCAGTCGGGACCGTCGTAGATCATCAACGGCGACGTCCGGATTAGGGCAACGCCGTTCCGATATTATTATTAACGGCTGCTGCGAGGAAAATCTCCACGAGCCCAAGTGGATCCAGCGCTGCAATGGCAAAGGGGGATTTCCGGAGTTATTCTTTGCCCTACGGAACCCTGCCGCGGGTGACAGCTGTCAAAAGACGCCTTCTTCCCTTCATCCGGCCCTTAACAGCGCCGTGTTAAGATTTAAAATTGTAGACGATCTTCCCGCCCCGTTTAGCTGCCGCGCCAGCTCACCAGGCCAACCCCACTGCAGCGAAGCAGCCAACGACAGAGGCTGGTAAGGACCCTTCTTTGATGCTAAAAGATGCTAATAACGCACAATAGGAATTGGCGTGAATGTTACGGAGTCCATCCGTTGTCCAGACTTCACCCACAACGTTGAGCCGTCTGCCGGCACTGCACGGAGGACTGATCCCTCCTCTTGATTTCCAACCGGCATGCAGTAGTTTGGATCTATGCAGAGAATTGACAGGGATGTTTTATCAGGATCCAGGAGTCATATTATCAATCATGAGGTTGAGGTAGTCGGATATATTTCAAGGAAGCAACCATCTTCGACATATCATTTCTTCCAACGTTCACCGTCGAACCATCCCATTCCCATCCATCAAGCTTTCACAGGAGTCATACCTTCGACAAACACATCGTTTACACCCGTTACCACTCCAAGGTTGCCGTCCCGGTTGACCCCCAGCCACTCCCGCAGCTGCGGGCTCAACGTGGCTTTCGTCTCCTCCGACAGACCCACGGCCCAATTGACCTGGCCGCGCAGGAAAGGCGCGTTGTATGCCCCGAACAGGAGCGCTCGATCGACGTCCTTGGTGATGTTGCACCCGGAGGTGTGCCAGAGGCGGCCGTCCATCACCACGATGGAACCGGCCTTGGCCTCGAACGGCACCAGCATCTTCTTCGCTTCTTCGTCCGGCGGGACGTCCGCCCTGGTTTTCCAGTGATGGCTGCCTGGGATGTACAGCGTCGCTCCGTTCTCGTAGTAGATGTCCGTCAGGCACCAGATGACATTCAGACCCCACGTCGACAGCCACGGGTCGGGGCACTGCAGCGAGAGATCCGAGTGCAGGCCCATGGACTTGGACCCGGGGCGCGCAATGTTGGCGGTGAAGTTGGAGACGAGGAAGTTCTTTCCCAGCGCCGACTGCACCATCTCAATGGCCACCGGATGCTGGATCAATTCCCGGAAGATGGGGTCCAGTTCCATCAGGTAGAAAACACGGACGTTGCTCTCGTTGGGGTCGAGCCATTCCAGGCGCGTAGGGTCGCCTCGACGCTCACTCTCCTCCTTGGCCTTCCAGAGGCGATCCAGCACCTCCTTGGTCTTCTCCGCGTCAATCACGTTGGGGATTACCGCCCATCCATCCTCCTTGAACTTGGCTTTTGCCTCTTCGAGCTGTTGGGGGGTGACAGTCCCGTTGGCAGCCATGATGACTGGTTGATATCTGCGAGGAGACTGTAAAGAGTAGAATTTCTGGGATTCTTGGTTTGGGAGGAAAGGAAGAAGGGACGGGAGTGCGGTCTGGGGTGTACACCGTAGAAATACTTGTCCAACTCTATCAGATCAGTTCAGATGATAGACAGGCCGGGTAATTCCCGGTTTCGCTGGTCGGGATAGTCATGCAACTCAGTTGGAGGGTCCCACGACGATTCATTTCTTCACGGCATTACTCCGTAAAGAGTCTGACTAGTGGACTATTAGTTAGCTGCTTGAGGTGGTCTACTCCGTATGGAGCAAGGTGCGGTCCGCTGCGTCCGCAAGGGTTCAGCTGCAGAAGCCAGAACCTTATTGCGATTCTGCAGCCAGGATGTCCTGCTGGGTTGATATTAGCTGTTTTGATGGTCCCTACTACGCGTAAGATGGATGTGATAGGCTGGTTGGCAGAAGGAAAATGGCCGACAAGAGGAATCGTGTACGGAGTATTTGCAGTCTAACCACGTATCTCTGCCTGCCGAGAGAATGCCGTAGGCCTAGGCCGTGTCTTGCTGACAACGTGCTCCATACGGAGTATCTCCTGTCGTTTTCTCGTGTCTGATGCTCAGACAACCTGGAGGCCTTCCATCCACCCGTAATGTGTGGAGCCTTAACTGGTCCTTAATAACGACGGTCTTTCAAAATCCCTTCATAGCACGAAGACCATTGCAAAGCGCAATAGAGTTTGCGACAGGACATCAAAGCTACCTGTATTGGCCTTATTGTTGCTGAAGACTGCTGGCAATGATTGAGGTCAGCTCTGTGGTATACGAAGTAGACACGCTATAAAAAAAAAGAGTAAACAAACCGCATCATCTGAGCCAACCTAGGACGGCATTTTTGATGCAGCTAGGAAGTAGCTACAGAGCGTGTCTGCAGACTCAAAACTTAAAATCGCAAACCTTGCGGTATTAGCAATGGTATTTAACCATCCCGCAGTTGTCGAAGCAGATGAGTTAAGTGGGGAGAAGCTTTTCTACGACGGAAAGGCACCATTGAGAGCCAATGCGTAAAGAACAGACAGATCTATCTAAATAATACATGTTGTGTTGTGAGTACAAATGAAAATACACCATCATATGTTTATTTATTTATGCTCTATGACAACAATACTGCCAAATATGTGATTTCGAGTATGTGTAGATACTATTATTCAGTGAAGAAAATTGTTGACATGGTTAGGAGACATAAAAATGAAGATCCTCAGAAGATAAAGAAAGCAACAGCAGTTATATGCAGATTTCTCATTTTGGAAGTACATAGCAAGACCAAAATACTGCTCACTGTAGCATTTCATTCGATGATCATATGCAGCAAAGATACAATTGGTATCGCGTGCAGCGACATCAACGAAGTTGGATCCTCACCCATCACGTGTTGAATGTCCATCTTCGATCACGTGGACTGTCCTTTCATACACTAAGGACAGTCTGTAGCTAGATTAGGTAGGTAATTTAGAAAGATTATTGCTCTTTACATACACTTGCATGACTGCGTAACGCATCAATTGGGTTGCTGAGGATGCTGAGATATGACATATCACACAGCATAACACACAGCTTACACAATAACTTTTTGCAAGCCTGCACACAGAGACGTGCGTCTTACGGAGTATTTCAGAGTCAATAATACAGCCTCGGCATAAGTTGCGTTCTGGGTTTACTTTAATCCTCGTCTCTTTGCCCCGCCGTACTGTATATTCACCCTTCCACTAGTTGATTCTCTCAACGCAATAGACCTACCACAGTCCAGGCGAGACTATGTCTAAAGGTAGGAAAGACGAACTTAAACTTGTGGCTAGCTAGCAGCCGTGACGAAACCAGTCTGTGTAGGTAAGGGAAGGGATGGAAGACCTGCATATCAAAAGGAAGAGTAGTGGCTGTAAAAGAGCCCACAAAAAACTAACTGCTCCAGCTTCTTTCACTCCCTGAGTTCTCAGACTTGATCCTTCAGAGGGAAGAAGAGGAATTAAAGGTCCATAAGTTGGTAATGTGGACAGTCAGAGTTCTTTTCTCGCATGTTCAATGGTGAGTGGAAGGTACGTGTGAAGAAGAGGCTCATGTAGGATGAGATAGTTACAGAATGCAGACGGCTGACAATGTCATACGTGGAAGCAATGGTCCACTTCATGTACGGATATGATTATGACAGCAGTGGGAGTAATTGCAGTCGTGGTTTGCCCTTACTCTTTAATATCGAGGTGTATCGAGTCGAAGACACTAAAGCAGCGAGCAAAAGAGAAATTCGAACACGCTGCCAAGACTATTGGGGAATGGATGACCTTTTGCCATTTTGGATGCTTACGCAAGCCCGGGAGCCTGAGGCCCCTAATCATGTCATATTTGGGCCTTGCGGCCTCAGGCAGAAACATCACATGACCTCGCTTACAGACCTCTCGAGGCGTCTTCCTAGAGACAAAACCGATCCATCATGGCTCCTCTTCTCCTAGCCCTTGGCACATTATGGCAGTTGATTGGAGCTTTGTAATAATATAACCCTGATTCGCCTGTTATCAGAGCGCTCTACTCCGTATATGTACGGAGTAGCCTGTAGCCGTGCTTAATCTAAGCTCGCTGCTCGTGGAGACTGGAGACCAAGCACGCTAACCCCCACACATGATCCCATCCCCAGATACCGGGGTAAGTGGAGACATGGGAAACCTAAGACTCCACCCTCGACATGACACCTCAGGTCCCGGCATCACGCTCCAGGAAACTGTGCTCGTGGGCATGGCACATTCCCATGATAAAGGTACATAATGCATGGGTCTCGTTATCTGGTGTCTCTCGAGCATAAATGGTCCTTTCCGAAGGCCATTACCCTAGTATACCCTAGTAACAGGCGAATCGTCCAGCAGGAAGCCTTTCAATCTGAAACCCCTATTTCTGTCTCGCGAGTCTATTGATCAACCCGGTCCACACAGAGTTCATGGACCGTCACAATGCAAGCACGGACCACCAATCAGAAGCGGAGAGCAGGCGAGACAAAGAAGAACCAAATTCGACTGCCATGGGTTCCTTGTCTTTAGCAAAGCAATAATAATCTCTGTGACTTGTGAAGACAGTGCCCTTTTCAGGTTCAGTCGAGGGAGTGAGATACGGCCAAGTAAACAAATATGTCTCCCACCATACTATTTGATAGAAGAAATCGACGATATCGAGCGCCACGACACCAAGGTCGTACTATCATGCCACTCGGCGCAATCAGAAATCCTACGGGACGAAACCTTGGCTGTGATTGCCTGACAACACGGCATCAGCGCTTGCCACCCTGCAGGGATGCCCAGACGTCACCCCCCGCCCTCCCCCAGTCAGGGCCATCCACATCTGCTGCTCGCAGCCTTGGCCCGAGTGACTATTTACCCCGCTTCAAGTACGACGTAATTAGCCAAGGTTGGCGCTATTATTCCCTCCCAAACCGCAGGTAGAAGTCGTATGTATATATAAGCAGCAGCAACAGCAGCACGGGACTCGGGTTCCTGAACTCGTGGGACTATGTGAGTCTGTGACCATCCACACAGACAAGACATAGACACAGACACAGCCAGAAACCCGCAGACTATTTATTCATTTATTGAAAAGAAGCAGATCCACCATCGAACATGTCATCGAGTCAGATCCTGCAAAACTTGCTATCCCTTCCTGCGCGTTCCAGACAGCAAGTCGGCACTTGGAGGAACAGGCTTTGGTCAACAGGTAACAGAACCACCTCTTCTAATATAACCCCAACAAACGCCGATAATCAGTCTACTAAAGGCAAACGGAATACTAGATAAACCGAAAAAGGAGGGACAACACTTCCTGCGAACATCACTCAATATCCATCGACCAGTCTGGATTACGGCAGGAGGCGCTACCTACACGACGCTGGCTGCTGTCTACCTCGCTCGACGCTACCTGCGCCTTGTCAGGTAGTTTACCACTGCCCCATCGAATCGAAATTTCATTAGTTTCGCCCTCCACCGTTCCTTACCGTCTGTCTCCTTTATCTATCAACATCCGACCTGCTCCTTTACGGATAGATTTCTTCACGATTCCTTCTCTGAAGGACTCCTAAGGTGATTGAGATATCTATCGATTTGGAGGATTTGCGTTTAGGCAGGGTCTTTTTTGTTGTTTTGATTTGATTATTTCGGGTGGTCTGGTTATTTTAGCCATAACATGGCAAGAAATGGAGTTTTCAAATGGTTTAGTTACAGTTGACACATGTATATATCACGATTTTCATTATGGAAATCAATCAGAATCATTATTGCCAGCCAGTTAGGAGAACATGCTGACATACTAGTGTGGTGTTAAGTTGCCTGGCAAGGCGCAATGGGGAGATGAAGCCTTCGTTGACGTCGGCGCCGTGCTGGACAAGTAGATTCACCACGTCCAGACCATCATCACCTGCATAGACCGCATACAGTAGGATTGGAATAGCTTGGCGTGAATCCTTTTCGTCCTTCGCAAGTCCTACCATTCTCCTGGTATGATGCACGTCTGCACCATGATCGAGTAATGCCTTCACCACGGTGGTAAGCTTGCCCATTTCATAACATTGACGCTTAGAAGCAGACTTCACAACTTCGAATAATGCGGAAGAGGGTAGTCCCGGACAGTTAGGGTCTACGCCATGATCAAGCAATGCTTTGACCACAGTAGTAGGTTCGAGAATTTTACGAGTTAGACTCGAAAAGGGTAGAAACGGACCATCGGGGTCTGCGCCGTCTTGGGTTAAGAAACGGATGCTGTCTACGTACGGTACTTGGCAAGCCTGCTGTAGTAGGTTGGTATTTCTTGTTGCGCCATGGTCGACAGGATAAATGCGATTGACATTGAATCCAGGTGGTTGGACAATAACGCGGAGTATTTCGAGCTTATTCTCCCTGATCACATCGAGTGCTATGCGGCTGAAATCACCCATCTGCCATCCGTACTTTGTGAGGAGATACTCGAAGAGCGCGACATTGTCCTTGCTGATGGCGTGTTCCTGCAATAGACCAATGTCCAAGCAATCTTCATTGTTCTCTGCAAGGGTCTTGATGATCTCCAGATGATTGCAATGAAGGACCTTGGGTTCAAATCACGACGAAGAAGACGCCGCACCAAGTCGCCATTACCCTCCTTGATAGCAGCATCCAGTACCATCACGCCATCTTCCTCGGCAGCTCCGGCTTCCACAAGCAATCCACACACAGCTAGGGACTTGTTCCGGTTCCAGTCGCGGGACGCCTCCCCCTCAAGTGGCACTCCTTCAACCACTGTTCCCACCGGTGTCAGGCATTTTATCCCACCAGCATCAGGTCTGATCTCCCTTTTTAATCGTGGATCAGCACCATGCTTGAGGAGGAATGCAACAACTTCCTTCTGGCCCCCGAGAATTCACTGCATCTAGTCCTTCCCTAGGATAGGATTATTATATTGCCACTCTTACGGAGACAAAGTACCTTTTTTTTCTTTGCTTATGCCGTCATTTCACGTGTAAGCTTATTGTGTGCTGATATTTGTTGCCCATACACTGATGGTGTTGACCTTGATGCTTTGAGACCACGGTCCCCTGCTCGAGCTGAGACGTGAGTTACGTTTGGCAGATTACTTGTTGAGAGGGAAGAAGGGGGAAATAAGGTAAAACTTTTCTTCCTTTGTACACACAGTTCTATATTGACCAGCTTGACTAATTTGATTCTATACCGGAGATGGTAAAATTGTCGGCCTTGATGATCGGGACTACCAGATATCTAAGCTTCGAGACGTATAAGCCTCGACAAAAATTATCACGATGGGTCAAATATATAGAATACAAGATCATAAATGAATCCATTCTCATACATAACAAGAACGATACATCCCTTCTCGACTTTCACAATATAGTCATACAGCACCACTCTGGAAATAACACTATTGCATGTTCATCACAACAAACAAGACCATCATTTTTGTCCTTCTTATCATCCTTACCGATGATTGTCCAATTCATCCATACCTAACATCCCAAATCCTCCCATCATCATCGATATGGATGGTGAGTCTAGAACAGAAAAAGAAGTTAGCTTAGTACTCAAACAAAACCGAATCACTCTGCAATAACATAAATCTACCCAAGTATATAAAGAGCAAAGAGAGAAGGACGACATACCGATCAGGCTGATAATCCAACGTCGTGACATCACCGCGTCTGAGAACGCGATGGAGAGGCGGAAGATCTCTCATGGCGAAGGACTAGCGAGCCATCACATCACATTATCAAGTCAGTCCATCATTCAGGATTTCTCCTTACGAGGTTGCTTTGGGGGGCAAGCGGAGTGGTTTGATACATTCGCATCCGTCGTCGACTCAGTCAGTTTCTTGCCCACGAGCTTGGTGATCCATTCCGACTGCTCGCTTAGGCTGGTGTTGATGCCGGGGACGAGGAGGGGCATAGTGGCGTCGTGGCGGAAACCTATCTAATAATTGCAGTGTGTTTTTGTAATTGGTAGTCTGCCAAGAGAAGATTCCAGTCAATAATCCTGTCAAGAGAAGACTGAAATCAATAATCCTGTGATAGATGGATGAAGAGGAAGCAAGGCAGCACGATTATTTCGTACTCGTACTGCATGACGTCAGTGGGGACGATGGATCCATCGGATGGATCATGGATCCACAGCACGCTATTCCGCTTCGGGCCATACTTAGGGCTCGACGAGTATACCCTATACAGTCCATTTAGGTATACAGAGACTCACTTCTATAAATGAATAACGTAGAGACTTACTGAGATAACGTATAATATACCACATTCCGTTCTTATTCATCTGATCTTCTGTATTCATCTCCATTGCGCAGTATGCAAGATACAGTACATACGTGTATGCGCGGTACAGGATAGAATTCCTCCTCCGAAATACTCTGTAAATATTGTGTACCAGAGTACTCGTGCCAGCTTCATAGTATGGAAATACCTAGTCATCGCAGGTAATATTACTGGTCGTCTAGTAGACGTCTGAAATATGTACTGTTCAGGTACCTTAGGTACCTGCTATCAATACTGCAGGCATCATCACCAACTAGTAAAATCAGGCAGACATCATGACTCCCAACCTGCGAAGCAGTCAGTCGGTTAGTAGTATGGAGTCAAAAACAGAAATCTCCATGCGTCTCCCAAGGAGGAAACAAAGAAACAACAGCAAGAAGATAATTTAAAAAAAAATACGGGGTGCCCCCCCTCCCGGAGCACCCCCTGGGATTTGTATGTAGTTAGGTAAGAAATGGGTCTTACTGGCAACCAGAGGGGTTCGAACCCGCGCCGGGGGCAATTGGTGGAGACCTAACCACTCCACCATACACGGCATCGGGTCGTAGGGGGGATGGGGGTTATGACCGCACATCTGTCTGTTTGTTCTTGGCCTTGGCTTGTCAGGGCAGTCAGGAGTTAGGTAGGTAGTTATGTTGCCTGATTTGCGGGCGGAGGGTGGTTTGTTGGTGCCTGTTTAGCATGTTGCATCGCAAGAAATAGATAAATCGATCCATGGAAAGCAGGCCGAAGCGGTTGTGATCTCTCAAATATATTCATACAGAAATACTCGAAGAGGAAAGTAGTTAGTAGAGTCTAGGGCTACGAGAGGTCCCATTTTCCAGCAAAGAAACCAAAGACAGCGCGATCGAACATGTCCTGTAAGCAGAGCTGAGGCAATAATGAAATTCTAACAGGCGAAATGGATAATAATAGCACAAACCTTAAGCCGATCACCAACTGGGCGCGACAGGCATCCACGTGGCCGCTTAGTTTCAGGCTTTCCTGCAGTGTAATCGAGATTATGCACGTCTCGACGCCTCTCTACGACCAAAACCGTCTTGAAATCATGTTCTGGACCAGGGCCTCGGCAGGTCTACGACCAGATGCCCGACCCTCAATAGGAGGTGAGCATGGGCAGCTGTGCCGATGGGGGCGGATACTACGATTACAGCTACAGCGTGGTGCGCGGCATTGATCGCTGTGGACATCTATGTGCCTGGCTGCCCACCAGCCGCAAAGGCACTGCTTTATGGCATCTTTCAGTTGCAAAGGAAGATGAGACGCACCAAGATCATTTAGGTGTGGTATCGGAAATAGATACAGGTCGAGTCAGTTACGAAGCATTTATCCGCATAAAAAGGCTTATTAAATTTACATTTAATCATTTTTATAATTAAAATATGTAAAATTTATAGAAATCTTAAAACGAAGTACTCTTAGAATATGGAAAAGTAGTTGTAATCTTTAAGGAATATTTGCTCTAGTTAGAGAGTAAACATTGGTTAAATATTATTATTCTATAAAAAAGAGTTAACGCGACATGTCATGTTAGAGTAACAATGTTCGAAAACTAGGTGATATAAATATAGAAGAATGCTAGATCTTACATGATTGTCAGCGTTTGATATCAAACAACGTGATATATCTAGAATACTTCTGTCTGTCGTTGATGGAGATATCCTGGGACAGTAAGCCATGACATCGATCTAACAGCGGAGAAGGCTGAACGCAATTTTTTTTTCTGGGCGATATTTTTAGACATCTGCCAGCCCTGTAATCTTGCGCCAGTCGCATAACTCATGTCGAGCATCTGGATAGCCAGAGATATCTTAGTGGTGGATTGCTTGACAACTCGAATTCAAAGGTATGCCAATCCCATCCTGAACCGATATCCTCGAGTACCATGAGGAGGCTGAGCAGAGGACAGCCTTGCGAAGCGTCCCAACTGATGATACTGTTTAATTAAAGTTGCAGTAACTCCCACCAGCAGCAGCCGCGTGTAATAATAGCTTGTTGGCGCAGACGTTTCCATCCAATGTTGTGCCTGTGTAAAGGCCCAGCTGTTGGTTACAAGGGTTATGAACGCTAATCGCGAACGGGGATTCTATTATTAGATATGCCGATCAACCAACGATAATTAATCCGCGTCGATACAAGGTTAGCCAAAGTAACAATATTAGCGCTGATCTCCAACTCATTTCGAGTCAATCATTCTGTCTAAAAGACAGGGTGGTTTGTTCTGCGTAAGAGTGGCATGCTCGACTGACAACAGATCGGCACTTTCGAATCGCGTCGAAGACGAGCACACGGCAAGATGAGAAGAAGTGGTTATCGAGAAGGAATTGTTGCAAGTTGGAATGAGGACGGTCACGTTGGCAGTGCACGAGACGGGCCCGAAATGGCCTAGTCTGGCATCCGTCGCTCCTACGCCATCTCAAAGTATGTACAGCAACACAATGCACATTATGTACTGCATTCCTCGCTATCCAACAAATAAGCAGCACGCCAAACCAAGCCCCGGACCCATCATGCCATGTGGGTTTGCAGAGCCTCTTGCGCCATCGCCTCTATTCACCGCGTCGGCCGTGTCAGTCAATCATTGCCCAGCTCGATGCTCTCAGCCTCACGCAGCCGCACTAGACCAAGTCTAGGGACCGAAAGCCTCATGAAGCCAGCATCGTGAATCTCATCGACATAGTCAACTAGAGGGGATGGAGGCTGTGCCTCGATCGCGCAGCCATGCTGCGGTTGATATAATGCAGACTGACCCATGCTGCTTTCCAGCAGGGAGGCTCACTCTATTGAATGCCTTGCATCAAGGACCATTCTCCATCTTCATCTCTGCATTGGGGTGGTTGGCCCCTCTGATCAACCCTTTGGATCGCGTCCGCATTCCAGTTGACGTGCCACGCATTCTCAACAGTCGTGTCTACCCCGCATGCTTTGCGGTGGTGGTGGCGTCTGTCAAAAAGGCTACAAGAGGATAATTGTGACCTATTTCCTCTATTCTTATCCTGCGCCAGGCTGTTTTGCTGGCTGTCGAACAGTTGGACGGTGAACCTTCTGCGTGTTCAGCTGCTGTACAACTCGCCATGATGATCATTGTTTCTCTTCTCACCTGGGCATGGACTGCACAGGCAGCGCCAATGTCAACAGATCGAGCAGAAAACCCCGCCAGAACGACTACTACAACATCATCCAAGAGGCTCTTAGCCATCCGATCTGAAAACGATGGAGAATCACAGGGAAGCATCATTGCTGCAGGTGTTATTTTCTCTCTCGTGGTCGTCGCTACCATAGTCGGTCTTGCCATCGTGTACTTCAGAGATCCGCAAAACTTCCTGAAGCGTCGCCAGAAGAAAAAGACGGGTCGCGATTCTACAAGCTCGACGGAGCCCTTGTCCGAAGACTATCTGAAGCGGTCGTCATCACTAATCTCGGACCGCGAGTCCATTATGTTCAGCAGAAGCCGCTCGTCGTCGTTGCAGTTTGCCGTGGTGGAGTCTGAGAAGCCACCACCACTGCCAAAAGTCTTGTACGCCCCTCTGGAGCAGATCGACACGTCGTATAACGCGGGGAATATTGTCATGACCGACCCGCACCAGCATGACCCCCACGTCTCCGAGAAAGGCACAAACACGTCGACAATCCCTGTGGTCATTACGCCTCCTCCCGACACTCCCACCTCGCAGCCGCAGACGACAGTAGCCCGTCCTGCGGATCTCAAAGCCTCAGCGCCGAGTCAGAATCCACCTACAGAGAAGCAGCAAAGCTCCAGTCGGGAAGAAGTGAGCACCCAAAGCACCACATCCGCATCCCACGCCGATGACGAGTCATCAGCCTTGCTCCCACGGTCATGACAATGACACCTCGATCAGTTTAGTGATTTCAAGTCTATTCAGTCAGCCGTTACGATTTTTGGAATGAATCTTTAGTGTCCTAGTTTTGTTCCTTTTTTTTTCCCCCTCCAAGCCGATGGAGAAAAAGGTTCGCCCTCGGACGGAGGAAGCTACAAAAAGATACCCATATCAATACTCATGCTTGTGCCCCTGATGAATGAGATTCTACCTCTTCCTCTTCTTCTTCCTCTTATCCTCTTGTAAATAGATTGATAAAAGAAAAGACTCCAAATTAGATAAACAGGAAGAGAAAAGAGAAGCAACCCCTTTTTCTTTTCGTACGAATTTACGAATCGTCCTAGTTTTTTGACTCGTTCTGACTGTAGTCTTATATACCATCCTGAATGCAAATAAGTACGTAAATAAAGTAGATAAATAAATACCTATTGACCACTAATACAAACCCAGGACTTTGTCTGCCCGGAGGATACGAATCATCTCTATCTATGATCGAGGTGAAAAAAAAGTGGGTGTGTGGTGTGTGGTTTCTTGTGTCTGGTGTCAATCAAGATGGAAAAGAAAGAAGGGGGAAAAATAAATGCGTGCATGCATAGGGACATGTCCGGCATGAATACATAGCGTAATTTTCGAAAAATCCCCAGCTTTACCCAGCTTTATTTTCTTCTTCCTTTTTTTTATTTTATTAATACGGTTTCGGCGCCTGGGTCGATAGCTCTTTGATGCTTCTCAGACACCGTTCTAGCCGCCGACCACGTTCTCGTTCTGCCACCAGGGTCGCCTTCGCGAATGACCGGATCGCGTCTCTCCCCACTTTCTCCCGCCACGACGTCCATCCGGCCAGCTCGCCGACTACGACGTCCTTGTTCCATGAGATCTCCCGCGACAGTCGCGCGGCTTGGGCTTCGGTCTCCTTGATTTTCTGCTCCAGCTCACGCACCGTCTTCTGTCTGGACTCTTCAAGCACGGGAAGGTTCAGGTTGAATTTTCGAGGCATGGACGAGGAGATCAGCGAGGATCGTGAGCGTGAAAGGTTGCGGTTGGTAGATCCCAGAGTGTAGATGAGTCTTGTGGGACGCGCGAGCGAATCCAGAATCGCCGCCGTCGTACTCTGCACCGCGTTCATAGTCGAGAGGAATTGGATGAGCGGGGACGAGTCCGAGGAAGACGTGGATAGTGCGGCCGCATAGCGAGAGAATGCATCAACATATGCTGCCGGAAGGGCATCTGTGGGCTCCTGCAGTGTCGAGACCACCGACGCGCAGAGCATCGCGGCATCCCCCAAATCCGATGCTGCATGTTGCAAGGCATGCCCCCGCCGGATCACACTTCGCGTATTGGCGTGAACGGCACGAACCATGTCTTGAGCATGCGAAACAAATTGCTCCGTATCTTTGATTCCTTCCGGAGTCACTGGTTCATAGTCGTCGTAGATGGACTCGTAAAGAACCGATGCCTTCCGACGAGATCGATCCGCCATCATCTCCGGTTGCAGTTCCGGTACGAGGAAAAATTCCCAGAGCATCTCGTGCGTCGCAAACGTCGGGTGTGCCAGGAGGATCTTCAGAAACTGGTCAAGGTTTTCTTGCATGTCATGCAGGACGGCACGCGATGGTTTCGAATGGATCTGAAACGGGTTTCGAGCCTCAGATATACTGGGCATATAAGAAGCAGGATGCTCAACTGACAGCCATTTCGCTAGATTCTCAAAGTCTTCAAAGGTACGTCGACAAGTGGTAACTGCGTAGGTGCCGTCGGACGCTGCATTTGCATCCGTAGGTGGTACGGGAGCCCCGGATTTCAATATGAAACGCACTGTGGCGTCCTCCACGAAGAAGGAACGGACAACAGTCGTAATGCGACCTGAGTGGTCATTGGGTGTTGAAGGAGGTTTCAAGAAGAGGATCAGATCGTCGATCCGGTTGCGGACTTCATCGTCTTTAGCAAGCTCGACCGCAGTCAGACCGCGGGACTCCTTGAGATGAATGTCGACCCTGGGATCGGCAAAGAGTGTTCGCATCTGATCCACACGGCCATATTTGCTTGCCATCATCAACGGCGTGAATTTCTTATCATTAGTCGCATTTGGATCGCAATCACACTCTTGGAGAATCCTGAGTGTAATCTGCGGATCACTGACAATATGAAGAAGAGTGTTGCCCTTTGCATCAACATGATCATCTAAGCGAAGAGGCTTGCCATCACCCTGGGCCTTCTGAGCTGACGTGAGAGCTTCGTTCACCATGCACTGATAGTCTGGATGATCATAAGATCTGCAAAGCGCAAAAAGAGGTGTCTGGCCGTGCTTGTCCTTTTGCCGCCAGGGTAGTAGATTGCCGAGTCTAGACATTAAGTAAGGCGCACTAAAGAGATAATGTGCCACTGTCCGTCCTCGAATGTCGGGTTTGGAAAGGTAGGCAGCAATGGTGGGTTCATCTGTTTCTCGAAAGAGAAAATCAACGATGATATCCACTATTTCAGAGTGTGCGTGCTGGACAGCAGCACTGAGTAGTGTAGTGCCATCACGGTTAGTATCTTCGATGATAGCCTCTAGTGGATAATATTCTCGGAGGCTGAGGAGATACTTTAGGGCCTCTGGTTGACGGCTTTCCACAGCCATCATAGGTACGGAATCGCCAGCAGGATCCTGCGTTTTCGTCAGAGTCTCAATTGAGCTATCACCTTCTAGCCCGCTCAAGGTTGATCCGATCGTCGTCCGAGAAAGTTGAGAAATCGCGGAGGATCCTGACAAGCTGCTAACGTCCATAGACACCTTCTTTGGCGGCCGCGGTGCAGGTTCTTGAGGCGAATTTTCTGTCCAAATTTGGAAAGGAAACACATGGGCCAAGGAAGGAGTCTCTGAAGATGGCTCGTCTGAGGCTTGTTCTGCATGCGTCTCCGGCGAATTCCCATTAACTGATGCAAATCTAAGGGACAGAGACTCAGATTCGGGCCCCTCGCTCGTATGCGGCATTGTGGCTGCTCTTTCGAGTTCGGGGGCCCCATCGTCCAGCGACTCTTCATCCCCATCCGGTTCCAAAACGGCCTTCATTTCCGAGATTTTACCGCTCTTTGTCGCGTTCCATAAACGCTTGTTACGCGCGCTGGCTTTCCTGAGTCCGGCCGAATTTCTCGCCAAATAGGTAAGAACTGCTTCGAACGTACTTAAAGCGTAGCCCATCTCGCCACTCTCGACATCGTCAACATAAATAAAATGTTGCATGTATAGGAGCCTCGCTTGAAGGTGGCGTATCTGCGATCTGATGACTACAATAAGGAGGAGTGACACCAACATATCCGCATTGACAGTCAGATTTGAGGCTTGCTTCTCAGATGTCGATGCATTCACATCATCGTTGGATTCTGGAACCGTGATAACCTTAATGGTGGCCAGCAGGACTTCCAACATATCTTGCGGGCAATTCGCGTCATTCATTTTTCGAAATTCTTCTACGCCCTTCCCAAGTCGCTGAAGAAGTTCCTGTTTGCCTTTACGGCCTCCTTCAATGGTGATGCCAACCTGGGAAACATCGACGTTCTCCATCTGCCGAATCCGCGCATCCAGTTCGGCATCTTCCGCTCGGCGAAAGTTACACAATCGTGGGAATAATAGCGACTCATGCACCTGCTCCGCGACATAGCGTTCGATAAGCCGCTCCACCACAGGACCAGTCAGGTCCGTGGTAGCACCCAGGAGAGAGAGTTGCTGTTTGTCCACTTGACGGAAGAGATCAATTGCAGCGGTAACTGCTGTCTCCAGACTTCGTCGCATGAGATCCTCATCGTCCTCAAAGTATTCCTCAGAATTAAAAGGAAGCCGTTCTTGTTGGGCAACGTCGTCTTTGAATTGCGGGTCCTCATATTTGTCTGGTGAAAACGGGAACTGAGAGGGAGGCGGCGGCAATGGTTTGCCGAGTTCTTTGCCAAACTCCCGAAAGAGTCTATCCAGACCCGGTTGCATCTGTCTCGCAATCATGGGAAAGTTGGACAGCAGCTCTCCGAACGTCTTGATGTCCCTTTTGCGAGGCGCGGTTGTCTCTCCATCAGCCTGGGTGTTGGTTTTCGACGCATTTTGGGGCGGGATTTTCCCGGGAACCGCAGCGGGCGTGATCTTTGCAGGATCGAAGGAACCCACCAGGGGCTTGGAAATATAGTAGATGAGCCATGGTTGTGATTCATTATTTGGTGTGTAATAGAGAACATCGGAGAGGAGCTGGGCTTGGCTCAGCGACTTAAAGCCTACAGACAAGATGATACGTTAGCATCAGTAAGGTCGACGTCCTCCTGGCCGCGGTCTACCTTTGTTGCTGTACACCGAATTCTCCTTGATTATGACGGTTCGCCCATTGGCAGTGGTAACCTGCTTGGCCTTCCCCCGGGTGTCGCGAACATTTGAGGTGTCCTTCTTGTTCGCAGGGCCCGTAGTATTCGGTATTCGCAGCACATGGCTCCCCAGGAACTCTTCGGAAGAGACGAGGTCGGTATAGTAAAGGTTGGACTCGCGATCGCGGGATCCGATCAGCGACTCGGTGGTGGGGACCAGCAGAACCTAGCAGCAGACAGTCAAAAAGATGGATTCGTGCTCATACGATGAGGGAATACAGCGCATACATGATTCTCGACGGGCAGGCACTGCCCCGGGACAGTGCTTCGGAAGAAGGCACGGAGAAAAGGATTTAATGGGTGCATCCACACAGCATTGGACGGCCCGGCGCAAAAGCACAAGACTCATCAAGCCGCGCCTAGCCAGGGAGAAAGAGATTCGCGCTGCTCCTTGCTGCCCGCAAGCTGGGAGAGCAGCTCCGCCGCATACACGGTCGGTACAAGCCGGATGAGCGTAAAGCAGATCGGAACCAGCGGCGATGGCAATCGGAAAGGAATTCAGACACCGAGCGGTAAAGAGCGCATGGGTCTAAGAGGCCGCCGAGGGTCCAAAAAAGAAATACCGTGAGCCGCAGAGCGATGATGGAGAGCAGAACGATGCAATAATAATTAATATCGATCGCTGCTCTCTGCAGGCAGCCCTTGAGCTCACATGTCGCGCTAGTCCGCATTAGGAAGGGCCCTCACCCTCAGAGCCATCGCCAGAACGATCAATACAGCGAATCTACAGATGCACGCACCAGTTTTCTGCATATCCTTGGAATTGAAACCGCATCTATTCAATCAACCGGTATATTACAGGAAAAGGAGCTAATTGACACAGGCATAGAAGTAGACTGCACAGGGAGGCTGTTGATGCTTTCCATCCCGAGATATCCCATAGCCATCACGAGAAAATAAATCACAGGTCTCAGATCCCGATTAACCAAGTCTGCGGACCTTCCTGCTCCGTGTGCCACCAAACTTGATCCTTGTCGAGTCTGTCACTCGCGTAACCAAGGGCCGGATTCTCTGGCCTTCATTGCCCAACAAGACCTTGATGAACGCATCCCGGCCCGGCCCAAAGCCACGAAAGACCAGCTCTAGTTTCTGAATATCCATGAGGAGGCCCCTTTCTTGTATCTGTGCGAACACATGGGACGATAGTTGATATGCGGGATCGTAACCGCCCCGGTGGGATTTGCGAAATCCCAGGACGCCGCACCCCATGGAGAGAATAGGATTCCCGTTCGGTCTCGTAAGAGTGATGATGGTATTGTGCTTGTGGGCGTAGATGTGCAGATGATGAGGAGGAGATCGGTCGGCATACGGTGTTTTGATCATCTCTGCTTCGAGGCTCTCGGCTATCTGGGAATAGTCACGACTGACTGACGGGGTCGTCTGGGTCTTTTCGCCCTGCATCATTCGCGTGATGGCAGACAGAGGAGAATTCTCGTCCGATGACTCCTTCTTCCCCGTCTCCAAGATCTGCCGCTCGATCTCGAGACCCTTGTCTCGCGACGACGGGTTTGATGCGTTGAGCTGCCGGAAGGATGAGAATGTTCGTCCGACCTGAAAGGGAGAGAGGCGCTGCTGGCATCCACGGCAAGGCGATGGAATCGCCATTGCCAGCGCGCTCCATAGTCGAGCCTTCATCCTGCGTAGAGGATGTTGTCGGTGGTCGACAGCGAAACGAGGATCGATTCCGGGCGAAGGGAGGTGCGAAAACTCAAGATGAGAAACAGCGGCTGAATCGAGCGAAGCAATTGCTTCTCATAGAACCCAGACAGCACACGACAAGAAACAGTGTCGTGTGAAGCCCGCCTGGATAAGACAAGACGGCGTTTAAGTCTTGTACTCTGTAAGTCTTGACGGACCCCGGACCGGAAAGGCGAGGCCGACTTTTTGGTCTTGGCGCCGCCGGCCCTGCAGGACGAACATTTTCTCCGCCACCACTCCTTCGCTCGACACGCCTGACGCCCTCACCTCCAGCTCGCTTCTTTTCTCTCTTTGACGGGTAGGGCCCGCTTGCAAAGGCTTTCCAGAGGGTCTGACTGTCTGGCACTTGTGTTCTTTCCATCCCCAGGCATCCACTCGACCGAGCATGATTTCCGCAGTAAAAATCGCTCCGTCCGGTGCGGTTCGGACAGCTGCTCTTCTCCGCAGTCAGGCCTTTGGCCCACGAACAATGTACGGCAATGCTGCTGTGCTTCAGCGATTACTGATTGAGGCTCAATCATGTTCGCCGCAAGAGGGCGTCTACCCTTCAACTGCTCTGGCGTCGACACGGCATGTCCTTTCTTTTAGGAGACCTTTCCATTCCGCGACCATTCGCCTGCAACAACAGAAACAACAGTCGCAGACCGAAGACGCGGGAAAGTCTAGTTCCTCTGGTTCGGAGTCGGATGAGGCTTCGGAGTCGCGGGAGGAACGCAGAGATGCTCCTCCCCCTCCACCCCATGGTGACAAGACGCCGTGGCAGGTCTTCACAGAGACTCTACAATCCGAATTCAAAAAGTCGAAGGAGTGGAATGAGTCGACCAAGGCCCTCGCGTCCTCTGCACATCAGTTTGCCGAGAGCGAATCAGTGAAGCGAGCCCGCGCCGCCTACGAAGCTGCTTCTGGCGTTGCTTCATCGAAGACGTCCTCCGTCTTGAAGTCAACTGGAAGAGCAATCGGTCAGGGAGCAGCCTGGACATGGGAAACTCCTGTAGTGAAGGGGATTCGAAAGGGAGTCACAGCAACTGGCAGGGGGATCGAGAGGATCACTCGGCCAGTCAGAGAGACTGAGGCTTACAAGAGCGTTAAAGAGACGATTGATGACGGCAGCAGCTACCGTTATGGCGGATGGATAGAGAAGGAGGAGCGTCGCCGACAGAGACAGCTCCGTGAACAGAATCAACTGAAGGCAGGGGTCAAGGTTGAAAAGATGGAGGCAGACCCAAAGTAAGCGTTTATTTCTCCTCAATACCAAGCTATCTACTGACTCGTTTTGTAGCGCCGGCACAAGTCTTACAGTTCACAAGGACTCAGCATGGAAGGAGTCGTGGCGCCAATTTCGGGATAACAATCCCTTGATGCAAAGGCTCTTCTCTCTGAAGGAGACATACAATGAGTCCGACAACCCCTTGATTTTAACCGCTCGCAGCATCTCAGACAAGATCGCTGGGTTCTTCGCCGAGAACGAAACCGCCAGGGTCATTAAGAAGTTCCGTGAAATGGACCCCAGCTTCCAGCTCGAGCCGTTCCTACGAGAGATGCGCGAATATATCCTCCCGGAAGTATTAGACGCTTATGTCAAGGGCGACATTGAGACCCTCAAACTCTGGCTGTCGGACGCGCAGTTCCACGTGTACTCGGCTCTGATGCAGCAATACATCAATGCCGGACTCAAGTCAGACGGCCGTATCCTGGATATTAGAAACGTTGACATTGCTCACGCTCGCATGCTGGAACCGGGTGAAATTCCCGTTTTCGTTGTCACTTGCCGTACTCAAGAGGTTCACGTCTACAGAAATGCGAAGACAAACGAGCTCGCTGCCGGAATGGAAGACAGGGTGCAGCAAGTCACCTACGCAATTGGCGTCACCAGAATCCCAGAGGATGTCAACAACCCTGAGACTAGGGGATGGAGAATGATTGAGCTCCAAAAATCCGGAAGAGACTATATTTAAAGGGCCACAGAGCAGCTTCGTCTGCCGTGTCGCCGGTGGTGTGTGTCGTGATTCACCAGCGCCTTTTTTTCTCTTCTATCTGATTGTTTTAATTATACGGTTGTACAATATCCGATATGCATATTAGACCTAGGTGGGACGGAGTATCTTGTCACAGCTGTTCCTATATTTTTTAGTCTCTTATCTTGTTTTCCTGGTTAGTCGGATATTCCCTTCTCATGTATGTTATGGCCCACTATTGTTGTTGTGATGGCAATGCCAGCGCCTTTCCTCGTGGGAAGAGATCATGACAGCCTTATTTAAACTCGAAACGCTTGCTTGCGGCATTGGCTGAGGGCAGCAGGATCTCTTACGTGGACACTCAAATATGACGTGCCACACCTGTACATTTCCTTGTCCGGTATATTCCGGGGTTTGCGCTGTCAGGAGGACGGCTCATGGGATTTTCAAGGGTTTATCATTATCATTTTTTTCGCCGTTTGTTGGTCTACGCTAATCTCCCCTCATGTTTTTGGAATTGTAGCGGGCGTTCTAAGAATATCACCCATGTGTATGTTGGGGGATAAAACCTGCCAGCAAATTTTTTTCTGTCAAACAGCCAGCCACGGGATGGCCTGTTTTCCTGTCTTGGAAAGGTGGCAGCTGTAAATAATAATGATCGTTGCAATGAAACGGGCAAAAAAAATACATTCAACGACCGCAGGATCTTTCTAAAGCTTTAGTAGGTAACGTGTACCACTCGTGTTCGCTGGAATATATATAAAAACACTTCCCCGAATTGTGCTTTACGTAGTAATAATCTTCATCAATTTTAGTTTCTATTTCTGACTATTATTAAAGCTGAAGTCTGACATAACATCGACATAGTAAAATAAAAAAAAGAAGTTTCTCCTAAAGCTTCAAAAATTCATAGGAGATACGTTGTATTCTTCTTCGTCCAGAATGATAGCCAAAGATCGAAAATCACCGTCCTCGGCCGGCGCCACCGCCCATCATGTTGCGAGCCCTGTTTGCGATTTTCAGTTAGTCACGACGAACTGGATTTTCCCTGGCAAGAAAAAAGGGATCAAAACTCACATCTCAGCAATCGAGGGGTCACTCATGAGGGTCGACATGTCTGGCAAACCACCCCCCTTGCTAAAGTTCTCTGCCATTTCCCGCAAGCGAGGGTTGCTCATGAGGTTGTTGAGCATCTCCGGGTTCTTCATCAGGTTTTGGGCCATGCTCGCAAACATGGGGTTGTTCATGAGCGAGCTCAGATCTGGCATACCACCGCCGCCGCCGCCGCGTCCGCCACCCAACATACTGGCCAGAGAAGACAGGTCGGGCATGCCACCCGCACCGCCTCGAGACGATCCAGAAGCGTTACCAACCTCTTCCACAGGCGATCCGGACTCTGCACGCTTCATCTCTTCCACCTTTCTCCGGGCCGTCTCAAGACCTCTCTTCATGGCGTCGCTACCGCCATTGCCTTCGGCCTCGATACCCCTTTCATACGCCTCGACAGCTCCCTTGGCATCTCCCAGTTCATACCTGGCAAGACCCAGTCGGCTCCACGCCCTCGCATATTTCGGATCCACGGACACGGCCTGCTCTGCATCTGCGGCAGCCTTGGCATGTTGACCCGAAGCGGAGTACGCAGCGGCGCGGTTGGAGAGGTAGATAGGATTCGAAGGAGCGATTTCGAGTGCCTGCGTGTATAGCTTGATAGCGGCGGCATAGTCCTTGCGGCCCATGGCTGCGTTGCCTTCTGACTTCAGTCTGTCCGACTCCGGAGTGGCGTTCGACTTGGGCGACTTCGTCTCTTCGCCTGCCTTGGAGGCAGATGTTTCAGCTGCCGCACCAGCAGCGCCGCCTGTCTTGCCCTTGAGTTTCTCGTACACGCTGTAGATATTGGCAAGAGACTGTCCGCCGAGGGCATCCTGCATGGCGGCACTGTCGGATGGGTCGACCTTGAAAGTCTCCGCGATGCAGTTCTGCGCAATCTCGATGGATTCCGCATCATCAGCTGTCAAGGTGCCATCCTTCAGACTGGAGCCCAAAAAGTCTATGATAGCAAGCGCCAAGCGCTTCTTCGACTCTGATGGCGCCTAACAGTACAAGAACAATTAGCCTGTAGAAGCGTAAAAAAAGGAGCGAAATAAAATCAACGAACAAATAACATACCATGAGAGCTCACAAATGTACCAGTATACTGTTTCCGACGATTACCGTGCCAGGCCGGATTCACAATTGCTGTAACTTGTCCTCTCAGCGAAACAATGCGGGGAGCGGAGAACTTTCAGGCGGGAGACCATCTAGACGCTTCGGCGGGCGGTATCAACACGTGATTCCTGCAGCGGCCTCGCGTCCCTCAGCTGCAGCTCCTCGACCACCAACACGACGTCAACGTTGGCGCCTCTCCTCAAGTGTCTATGAGCATGGCAGGCTGCCGGATTGTGCCTGCCTCATGTTCCACCCGATAACGTCTCCCGCCCCATGGAGATGACCCAATGTGAGCTTCGTGCCTGATCTCAGTGACATCCACAGCTGCGTCGAGCCATGTACTGGCCCAATGGGGTACCCCGGGTCTACGCGGTCAATGGTCCTGGAATTCCGTTCTCCTCATCCGGCGAGGATGAAGCGTTCGAAGATGAGGTCTCTCAAGGCAGAGAGCCCCCTTCAGATGAGCCCGCGCAGAGACCACGTGTAGACAACAGGCCCACGGCGTGGGCGGACGAGGCCATCAATGGCCTCTGCGTTTCGCGCAGTGGTCATCTATTTGCGACAATGACAGAGTCCTCTATAGCGGTTTGGCAGACTAAAGTAAATGCCCTTGTGCCGTTGACGATCTTCTTTATATTGACTGATTGTTATAGCCTACAGCTGTCGTGGCCGCCGTCGCTCGCTCGCCAACATCCCTTAGAACCTATGGCCCCAATACGTCTCTTCTCATGCACCCCGACTCCACCATCCTTGTCGCCCAGACCCTTCACGGATATCTTCTTACATACACTGTCGCTTCAGACCCAAATTCCCGAGTCTACCAGCAGCGCTTTGATCACTCGAACCCTCATCGCCGTCAGCAGATGGCTCGTCATTTTGGTGGCGAGGAGTACAATGGCATCCGGGATGTTAGCATACGATTCAGGATGGCCATCAAGGTGGAGTCTGGTATTGGGAAGGCTTTGGCTCTGGATAATGAGCTCATTGTGGCCACCGTGAAACCAGCTGCTCTGCAGTGTATACGGTGGACCCCTGATAAGAATGGGACCCAAACAACGTCAGAGCTATTGAATCGTATCTTGGATGTGTCAAAGAAGACGACTGTTGTCGAGATGGTCTACGATCGTGCGATGAGCCTTTTGATTTGGGTGACTAGTGACGGATATGCGTACTCTGTGCAGAGAGTTCCCGAAGGCGCTCGCGAACCGGAGGATTCGGGGAAATTGTTTAAAGGTTATTGCTTTCACACTCCTGCAAACGACGATCAGAAAGCGATTAAGGCTGCAGTCAACGCGCGGTTTTCTCTGCTTGCCGTCAGCTGTGCTAACGGCGATATTCTTGTCTACACAGCCAAGGACTATGCGGGGAACGTTGTCCTTTCGCATAAAGTCCAGCCACCGGCTTCTACTGCTGCTACCGGTCATTTGACATTCATAAGTTATTCGCCGGATGGATATTGCCTTTTCGCGGGTTATGAGCGGGGTTGGGCGAACTGGAGTGTTTTCGGCAAGCCCGGAGGCAGCAGCTTTTCCGTAGACCGTTCTCTCGCTGTATCCAATGCGGAGAATTGGTTGACAGGGGTCTCAATGGGCTGCTGGATAGGAGGGGGATCCGACATCATCCTCGCTCGTCAGAACGATCGCCGTTTATGGGTTTTGGAAACAGCACGCACTGCATTGACGGGCTGCTACTCATCTGCCAACCTCGCAAGGGCTCTCTTGCAGACTGGTACAGAAATTATCCTGTATCGCGGGCATGACTTGCCTGATCTTATGACGATTTCAGGCAAGGACTCCCTATGGCATCATGCGCAGTATCCACCTGCATACCTCCATGCACAGTGGCCAATCCGGTCTTGTGTTGTCTCTCAGGATGGACGATATGTCGCCATTGCGGGACGACGTGGCCTTGCGCATTACAGCGTCAGCAGCGGACGTTGGAAGACATTTGAAGATCCGAAGGCGGAAAATTCATTCACTGTACGTGGTGGCATGTGCTGGTATGGGCATATTTTGATTGCAGCTATTGATAGCAACGGATCCTATGAGGTATTCCCCACACCCTTTTCTCTGATTTTCCGGTTTGATTGACAATACTGACGACCGCTGCAGCTCCGTTTATACTCCCGAGAATTGCCTCTCAACAACAACAGCATCCTCCATATTGAATATCTTCCTTCCCCTGCGGTTTTCGTTGGCCCTTCTGGCGAAGATTCCCTGCTTGTCTATACCTACGATAATATACTATATCACTATGTTATCAACTCTACGCAGTCCAAAGTGTACCTGGTACCGGTTGGTCAGATAGCTTTCCATGGCATTGTCCGTGCACCTACCAGGGTCCGCGCCATCAGTTGGATTCTGCCGGAAGAACAGCTACGTAAGTAAGGTATTCCCCTGTGCCCACTGCATGCTTTTAACATATTACAGGAAATGGAGACCCGTCACAGGACGTGAAGGTGGCTTCTGTACTTCTCTTAGTCGATGGAAACCTTGTCCTGCTGCAACCGACAGTGTCTGACAGCGGCGAGTTGAGATATGATATGCGCATAATCGCGCAGGATGTCGAGTACTATATTCTGATGCGAGACCAGCTTGCATTCAATTTTGCGCCACCGGCCGATGAACCTGCGAGTCCATCGGCCGACGTCGCCTTGAGTGCATCACAAAATAACTTATCCCTGAGAGATTCGCTCTGGATGTTTTGCGGAAAGGACCTCCTCGCATGGAGCGATGTGCAGGATATTCTGCAGCGAGAGGAGGTCCCGAAACCTCTTCCTGTTCCGGTTGACTTTTATCCCTTGTCGGTCCTCCTCAATAAGGGGATAATCCTTGGAGTCGAGTCAGAGATGATCCAGCGACGTGATGTTACGTTTACTATCCTGAAATTCGCCATTAGGGTGAGTCGACCGCAACCGGGAGTTTTGACATGCAGGCTGACATGAAACTCTTTTTCGTCCTGCAGACACATCTCTTCCTGCCATATTTCCTCCGACATAGTCTTGCTAATCTTGACATGCCGTCTGCTCTTTCCCTCTCGCATCATTATTCACATCTCTCATACTTTGCCCATGCTCTGGAGATCCTCCTTCATCATGTTTTAGATGATGCAGTAGACGGCCAAAACGAGCCACCGGTCGATTCATCAGAAGCGCCGCCATCACTTCTCCCATCCGTGATCTCATTTCTGCAGGCTTGCCTGCCAGCTGACGTGTTTCTCGATATTGTTGTTCAATGCACGCGGAAGAACGAGATCCGGTCATGGCGGACCTTGTTCGCCCATCTCCCACCTCCCAAAGACCTCTTCGAGCAGGCATTGCGGCTCAAGTCCCTCAAGACTGCGGCTGGCTACCTCCTCGTTCTTCAAGCACTGGAGGAAGAGGAGGAAGGCAGCGAGAGCAGAATTGAGGACTACGCCGTACGCCTGCTTGGGATGGCATCACAGAAGGGGGATTGGGATCTTTGCGCGGAACTGGCGCGGTTCTTGATCGCTCTCGATAGTTCCGGAGACTTGCTACGGCGGACGATTGAACGAGTCGGCGTCCGACGTACTGCCCAGAATAGTGAAACAGGTGACGTCAAGGGGCTGGGTCTGTCTCTGCCCATACCGCCCTCTTCGACCCCGTCGTCGCTTTCTCCGCACCGCATTCACCATCGACGGCGGAAGGGCAGCGATATTTCTTCATATGCCACAAGCGGGGGCAATACCGGGGGAACATCACCGGTCAGGTCCAGGACAGACGACGAAGCTGCCACGACTTCAGAAGGACTGAGTCCTGGTGGAAGCAGCGGAGCTGAGGAGTACTCTTCTGCAACATTTTCTCCAGCGCCTTAAATTAAACCAGTGGGGACGTATGACTCTTGCCTTGTTCTGTACTGTACTGTACATAGACAGTTATTTGCGTGTTTGTTTGTGTGATCGTGGTCGGGATATATAGTAACAGTACGTTATTTGCTAGTTGAATCTAAAGGGGTCATGAGCGGGATAATCTCATCTATCTTAAGGTATTGGATCCTGTTACCAGTGGTCTAATTGCAAGTCATGTCGGTATCCGTTCTGTTTTTGTTTGTTTGCCTGCAGTTATAAAGTCTGTCACTCGATTTCTCCTGTCCCAAGTCCTCATTCTCTGGTGTATTACACTTATAACAATTTCCTCTGCAGTCTACGCCATATCTTGATATGTTTGTCTATTACTCTGTCTCGAGCATCTACCTCCACTCATCATCCATTTAAGCACTTTGCTGAAGAGATCTAGTACATGCGGCCATAGGGTATGGAAAACAGGGCTTCCCGTCCGCTCAGCCGTACTTAAGCCACATAATAAGCGCGATCAATTATCGATACCGCCCTGAATTCATCGCTGCTTCAAGTGTAGCAGTCGCGCGAGCAATGGGTGAGTGTAGGCAAGCACAGGTGAGCAAGGTGATGCCTTAGAAACATGAGGGTAAGCAGGGTGAGTTAGGGTGTGAGCAAGGTGATTTAGGGGCAGGGCTGAAGGCACTATGACTAAGAACACAGGGCCTCAAATAGGATAAAAGGGCATGCAATTGCTTGACCGTTCCTTTTCTTGATCCTTTTCTCCTGTGTTTATAGAGGGTACGATCTTGATTGACTTCTATACTGAAATCATGTGCTTACTCACATGACTATGTCTGACAAGGAGGAGCAGAGACGGCGGAAAGTTAAGGAGCAACAAAAACTTGCTGAATCCTGTGGCTTTACTGCAGCCTATCAACAAGAATAAGAGAACTGTGAGAATGTGGTGTCCCGGCCAAAACGGGCTCCAGCAACTGATGTCACCTATGCTAGGGCTGTTGAAAATTGGTACTTGTAAGTGATGATGTCATATGATTTAGAGTGATCGCCCTGCTAACATGTTGAAGATGGAGAATTTTAAGGGGGGAGCCCGAGGAAAAGAACTTTGCCAAGGAGGAGCCAGACCCATCTGCCCAGACTCTCAAGTTATTTGCAGAGGACTACATAGTAACTTACAAGGAGTACCCTTCTCAGAGATTGGTGCTACATACCCTTTCATGTTTCATTGCCAAGTGGGAAGTGAAGACCTGCAGAAAGCTTCCAGATAACCTAAAGAAAGATGTATACAGTGTCTGTCATCCTCCCTGAGAATGCATATCAAACCTGCTGACTGCCTGCAAGAAACAGTATATTAGGAATGAGTTGACCAAAAAATATGGGCTCAGAACAGAACACAGAGAGGGATATCTGGTCATGAAAAAGGATCTTGATTTCTATTATATCGACTTTTTGGTGCTGATGATCATGATTATCCTCATGAACAGAGCAGGTGTCAAAATGGTTTTGCACTTTCTCTTTTCTCTGGTTCCGCGGCTAGAGCTGGAGCTATTGTAGAGGTGAGCAGTTACCCAGGCTCAAATAAGGCTCTCTATTATGAGGTTTGTCCTTCTGTTTCTGAGGTGTTCAGGTTGACTAATTTTTATAAGCACCTTGTACTCAATATGAAATGGACCTCTAAAGGGCGCATTAAATACTGGGTCACAATAGATCAAAAGTTCTTAAAGGGTCGGCAGTATACTGATGATGGGAACAGGGAAATTCTTTACTACTTCCTTTTTCCTGACCTTTATAACTAAGGTATCTATAGTCCAAAAAATTGGATTTGTGAACATCCAGTACTTGGGAAAAACTTCATCTTTTATTTGATTGTCCTTAGCATTACAGATAAAGCATTCAAGGGGATCTATACAGTCAATGAACTACTGGACATGAGACCGCCTGCTGGGCGGGAGTCATGGTCACTTGAATAGGAAGACCATGCCAAGAAATTACCAGTGCTTTGCATAGTAACATGTAATGGGCCAGATGAAAAGTGGGCATTGATATTTTTATCTCTCTGGCATCAGTTACTTGGGTTGTCTCAGTAGGAGGGTGCCACAAAGTCTACGGCAAGAAGTGATCAAAATGCATCATGATCTACCAGCTCATGGGCACATGGGAACTGAGAAAATAACAGAGCAAATCTGGAGGAATTACTACTTTCCAAACATGAGGCGAGCAGTGGAGCGATATATCAAAAATTGCGACAGTTGCCAGAGAAACAAGCCAGCACGACATTAATCATATGGAAAGCTTCAACCACTGGAAGCGCTAAAAAGACCATGGGAATGGATCACCATCGACTTCATCACGCAGTTACCAAAATCGCCTGACATAGCGACCAGGAAGTACTATGATGCCATCATGGTGATTGTTGACAGATTGACAAAATATACATATTTCAAACTGGTGGAATCGACAGCGAACACAACACAAATTGCAGCAGTGTTACTACAGATGGTCACAGCAAATCATGGAATGCCACAATTTATCACAACCGATAGAGACAAGATATTCATTTCGAAATTATGGCGTTCATGGATGGATTTGATAGGGGTAGAGCATAGACTCAGCACCTCATACCATCCTCAAACCGATGGACAAACTGAACGAACCAACCAGACAATCAAACAATACCTCCGACATTATCTTGATTATGACCAGGATAATTGGGTTGATATTCTACCAATTGCGTAATTTGCATATAATAATGTGATCAGCTCAACAACCAGAGAAACACCTTTCTATGTGAATTACGGATATCATCCTCAACTGGCCTGTGAACCTCTGAATCAACAAGAAGAAGCGCTCTGGCAAGAAAATGGACAGACAACCTACAGCATATGCACACAATGATGCAACGAGATATCGAATTCGTGAACCTCAGAATGGCAACATACTATGATAAGAAGAGATCTGAGGGACCAGATCTCAAGGAGGGGGAGAAAGTTTACCTTCTACAACGAAACATCAAAACTAAACAACCGAGTGCAAAATTGGATCACATTCGACTGGGACCATTTACTATTGAGAAGAAAACTGGACCAGTGAACTACAAACTCAAACTGCCAGAAAGCATGAAGATACATCCAGTTTTCCATATTTCATTGTTGGAACAAGCACCAGAAAATGCCAAAGAACCTGGAAACATCGAACTTGACGACACTACAGAAGAGGAATACAAGGTTGAAAAGATCCTAGCAAGAAGAAAAGTCAACGGCCAAACCTACTACTTGGTTAAATGGAAAGGATACGATACCTCAGAAAACACTTGGGAACCAATCAAGAACTTGACAAATTGCCATGAGAAGATTCGAGAATTTCATCAACGGCGACAAGCTCAGATGGACCCGGAGACCAGCGAAGAATCTCACTCATCTGACTCTCAGATAAATCAGGGGATTCAGAAGAGACAGTCAAAGAAACAGAATGCTCAGAAGCGGAGCTCTTGATAACCGACGAATCGTGGAGCAACATCTGGCGACTGCACTCTTTCAAGAACTAATGATGCTTCTGCAATTAAGCATGTTCCGCTAGTGAAAGAGATAATTCTCGCTACAAAGAGGACAATCGACTTTGAAGAGCATTAATTTCTTGGGAAAGGATACTGATTCGATAGTCGACAGCGACTAAGGAAGATGAAATCTTTTGCTCATTCTTTTGTTGTTCATTCCACTCTCGGGAACTGAAGACACGACCGTTGCACCTTTGATCATGACGAACACATTTGGAGCAACAACAATTAGAAGAATCCATGATACACAAGGACGAACAGAGGAAACAAGGGTCACAAGGAAATTCAACTGGAAAACCATATCGGACAATCAAGTCAGCTAGACGAAGATGCTCCTTATGACGATTTTGAGAAAAGGAAGGAAGCAGATTCTGTTTGCGCGGCATGATGAGGAGACTTACTGAGGAAAGTTCAACACTTAAGGAATGAGAGAATGACAGGGTTAAAATACTTTCGAGGACGAAAGTCTTGAAGAGGGGGAGTGATGTTACGAACCAACAGAACAGAGCGCTATCCAACACAGCGACACAGGATGAAACATTACCCCGCAAGGCTGGCAGAATTAGGCATGCAAGGTCACGTGATTTAGGAAGGTCCATTGATAAGATAAGCAGAGGAGTCCAACAAGGACCGTGGAAGAAAAGTCCAATATGGACCACAGGGAAAGGTCCAACAGGGACCGACAGGAGGAAGGAGATAAAGGACTGAAACAGAAGATATAAAAGAGAGCTCAACCTCATGTATCTAGTCTTTCTCTACTCGCGCTTAATTTCACTCAATACCAAGCAGTTACTAAGATACTTACTTTGGGGGTCAGTAAGACTTCTTACTACTAGTGGTATACCTTGGTATAGCTCTAGTAGGCGTTGCCTCTGACCTAGTTGTTGTTATTCTTGTTTACCTGAAACACCCCTACTTGCATGTGTTCCCTGCGAGACCCCATTATATTGTGAGAGGTCGTTCGAGGAAGAGCCCTTCGCCAGTTAGGCTGTTGTCTCAAGGAGAGGAGACCCGGGTCAGCTAGACTGTCGCGTGCTCGTGAACGACATAGAGTCAGGAAGACTCCTTGATCCTTCCCTAACCACCACTGTTAAGTATCGACGACTACGGTTGGACCCAGCGCGTAACATCTTCTTCTTTGTTGTTGTTTTCACCACTTTGCTCCTTAATGTCAATTGCAATGACCAGCCCAGTGATGTTTTCGGTTCCATACAACCAGGCCTTTGCATCTTCGAGCAGATCTTTCCTGGTAGATGAGAAAGCAACTTCAAGAGCTATCAATGGAAGAAAGGATTCCTTCTCCTGGATAGAACTGTCGGGCGCCTTAAAACTGCCTCGATATTTGCCGCTGGTAAGACAGAATGCTAGTTAAATGTATTAGTAACTAGGTTAGATTAATCATATTATCATAGCATCTGCTACTTACTTTTGTCCTGATAGGTCTTTAGATTCACACTATCTTCCTCTTGAACCTTGCCTACTGCCTCTTTAAACCAGTCACTTATGACATTAACTGTCTCTCCATGCACAGGGCCTTGTCGTGCCTCAATAATGATGCTTTCAATGTGGGCATCATATTCAATGCCGCCCAGGTCGTTCTTGTTGCTCCAAGTCGTAAATTCCTCAAATTTAACCTTAAGAGTTCTATTTAGTCTGAAATTTTCCCTTGACCTGAGATTATTTGTCACATACCTTGAATTTGTCAATTACTGTAAGGAAGCTCAATTCAAAAGCTATGAACGGCTATGTACAGGAATCCAAGCATGAGAAGAAGAGGAAGAAAGCAGAAGGAGGCGTGGTGCAAGAAGATGCAAGAGGCTCCGCGCTAATCCCAATTCGTCAGTCGTCACGTGATTTCTGTTAGGGTGAGGTCCCTGACAGTTCCATACGAGGATAGCTATGTTAGGTATGTATATAGATAGCTATAGCTCCGCCGTATGTCCGACCTTATCTCCGAAACTCCCCCATTTTTGTTTCCTGAACCGGATAATCCTATACTCCGTACTCCATATTAAGACCGGGGGAGGGGGTGGGGTTCCTAAAAAAAGTCCTGGTTAGTTAATTTCTTTCATACGAGGTAGTTAAATGTAAGTAGCCAAGTTATTATTACACATTATGTACGGAGTATGGATTTCACATAGATAGTTGGGCCGGAGATAAGCTAGATGAGCGATACTTAGAAGGTACATAATGTACGGAGTACTTCGTACATACGGAGATAGATGGGAGGATACGTAGGATAGGGTATCGTACCTGGATAACCTACATAGCATAAAGTCAGGCCATTCATTCATTCCATTTCTTTTCTTTTTTTTCTTTTCTTGACTGAAGACTTGGATTCAGTATTCCTAGCAAATAATTATACATAACAAGACGGAATTAGGGTTAGGGTCTCCTTGGGCAGGCGATGGAAGACATAATGACGTAGCTATGTACTGTACATAAGCTTGTGATAACGATGCTAGATCCTACATGCTTATGGATGGAATGTTGCAGGAAAATGTCATAGTCGTAGTCATAGTCATATTTCCGTTACCTATATCATATATATATATATGATATCGGCCAGCCATTATTCGGTATAATGGTAGCTAGCCATAACTTCACTATCAACGTCGCATCACGTCTACATTCATCTCAAAATGCCGTAATATAATAATATCCTCTCCGACCTGGGGCTATATCTGACCATCAACTGGTCTCGAATTCGAGCTTATTTTTCACTTACCGTCCGGATCTTCTCCACCATGCCCGTCTCGGTCAGATACCTCTTCAGACCTTCCTCCCCATGCTGATAGGCGGCCTTGCCGCTGTGGATCTTGGCGAGCGAATCCCGCAAGAACACCTCGTAGATGGTCGTGCCAAAAATTGTGGCGGGCACGTTGACCAGGATCGCGATCCAGCAGTAGTGCCGGTACGTGAAGGCCTCGCCGCCAAAGAAGATGGCCGCCACGATCCGGCAGCCCAGGTCCCTGGCCAGGTTGGTCGAGATGGTGATGGGCGCGAAGCCCCAGACCATGACGCCGTAGGCCAGTCCGATCACGGCGGGGGCGGATCGCGGGGAGATGAAGGGGTTGGCGGGATCAAGGCAGGACCAGATGACCAAGGCCTGTTGAGTTTCAGTCGCATTGCTCAATTCTAGGAATAAATCGACGGGAAAAGGCACTTACGATGAAAGAGTCAACGAAGAATTCGATGCTGTACACAGTCGTCAGTATCGATGGACATGACATGACATGAAAGTCATCTTACAAAAAGAGGTAGCCCAGACTCTGCTTGGGACCGGGGAACGCGACGAAAATTCCCGCAGGGCCCGTGGCCGAGACCAATGGCTGGTGCGCAGCAAGAGCTGCGGCCTTTGCCTGGGTGATCTGCTCCCAGTACATCCCTGCCACCAACAGTCCCGCGATCATGGACCCGATAATCTGGGAAAAGATATCTGTGATGGCGGTTAGACAAGAATACAAAGAAAGAAAGGTCTGAATCCATACAGTGAGGAACCTTCTTCCAAGGGAACCCTTGCCTGCAACGAAAAGTCAGTAGAATCCTATTCCTTAGATTGTACTCAGCTGCAGGAAACTCACCAGATGGCAAAGCAGATTGTCACGGCAGGATTGAAGTGTCCTCCAGAGGTGGGTGCAGCCACGATGATGGCGAACATGATTCCCAGCGCAAAAGCCATTCCAATCTGGAAGAAGCTACTAAACGCTGCCGCTCCAACTGGGCTCTCGGCATTGACGATGAAGTTGGCTACGGAGGCAACTCCGGAAAACCTTTTGAAAAAAAAAGTTTATGTCAGGAGGAGACCTTTCTCTGGATTCTTGTGTCGACGCTTGGTCGAGAGACATACACGTAAAAGAATACCCCCATCGCTTCGGCGACACATTCGCGAAGGATCGTTGGGCGGTACCGCTCGAAGGTCAACCGCCGCTGAGAGACATGCTTTGATGGGAGGTGTCTGCTGACATGCTGCCGTAAAACTTCGGATAGACCGATCTCAATATCCGGTTGGGTTTTCGACTGGGTGAGCTGGTCCTGAGACGCCATTGCTCACGAGGAAGGAGAAAAGAAACCCAACAAAAAAGTCTTCAACAGTCTTCAACAAAGAAAGGTAAACAATGTGATGATGGATGGTGACGTGCAGCAAGGTCTTCAACCACGTGGAGAACAAGCAAGGGGAAAAAAGAGATGACGAGAGCCCCTATTTAAATCCAATTGGATTGACCCCCTTAGGACGGACTTAAATCGTCCTGCCGTTTTGGCTCGGGGAGGAGCAGTTGCTTAGCCTTCTCGTGGCCAAATCGGCTTTCTGCAGCTACAGTATTACGGAGTACATTGCGCTGGGAACAACCTTGGGAATTAGAACCCCGCGGTGGCGCTTTAGTTGATGCCAGCCAGAAGCGGGTTGCACAGATCTAAGCACGGTTTGTTTGACAAAAATAACAGCCGCCTAGGCAATTCTTTCTACCAAGTAAGACAAGAACGAGTCTATCATTGCCATTTCTGGCCTGACAATTTCTCTGCCGCAAGCTGTGTGTCACTTCGACCTGAAAAGGTCTCGAACGAGGTCGACCCATCTTCCTGCGAATACGGAGTCCTCCGTCCAGGAATAGGGATGACATGGGCCACGAGGTCCAATGCGTGGGTCATAGAATATTTCAACCGCTCAACAATGGCTGCGATAGGCTCTCGATTTCTTTCCCCGGATTCATAATTCATAAAGTTTTGTGGGGGTCAGCCCGCCGCGCAGAATTGCCGCTGGCTTCGGGGGTTTATGTGGTTTTCGGGTGGCAGACAGAGCCGTCCTGTCGACGTGCACCATTGCGCGTTCTGTACGGAGGTGGGCCTCAAAAGAAACGGCGCGCGCTAGTGGACGCTAGTAATTTTCGCTGTTTCAACTAGTACCTCCCTCCCCACCTATTTTACTATACTAACCAGGGTATCTCCAAAACTTCTCACTGCTCCAATGTACTCACCGCTCCAATATCTATTTTACTGACCTACCTACGAACCTACCAACTTTTTGAAGCTATTCGCAATAAGTATTAACCCTATCTTCTATGAAATTAGACATACTAATGGGAGAGTTTCTTAGGCCTGCCTACCTGCCTGCCAAGCTCCAATAATATGCCTTATTATCCAGTCTCTATTTGCATCCAAGCACTGGCTCTGGCTTCAAACGCAAAAATGCCTTTGGATAACATATCTTCTATTACTAGCATTTCAAAACAGCGCTTGTAAGCCATTATAAAGCAAGCTAAGGATCATGGATTTGACCCTAATATCAATCCACAAATCCTATCTAAATATATAGAAGATGCTCCTTGTTTAGGTCAACTAAGAATATCAAAGGAGACTGAGTAGTCTATAATCGACTCCATTACTAAGGATTGCTCTGGCCATGAGAAGTCTGCTGAATTTCTAGCTTACAAAGCTAATATATCTCATGCCTCTTGCGAATTTTGAAGCATTCTGGACTTAGTGCTATTAAGCCTACTTGGAAGCCTGGCCTGACTGATGCTGCAAAGAGACAGAGATATGAGTTTTGCAAAACCCATAAAGACTGGACCCTAGAGGATTGGAAGAATATAATTTAGACTGATGAGACCTCTGTTATGCTTGGGCATAGGTGGGGAGCCATTCGAGTATAGAGAATACCTGGAGATGCTTCAAATCCAACTTGTATATACTATCATTAGAAAGGTGCCTCAGAATTCATGTTTTGGGGATGCTTTTCATATGATAAAAAAGACCCCTATCATATATGGGAACCAGAGACAAAGCAGGCCAGGAAGAATGCTGAGAAAGAGCTTAAAATTATCAATCAGGAACATGAAGCTAAATGCAAGGAAGAATGGGAGCTGACTACGGGCATAAATTGCATGGGTCTTCGCAATCCAGGTGGGAGAAAGCCTCAGTGGTGATTTACTGAGAAGAGCTCTCAAGGCGGAAGATCTGGGTAGACATCGAGGGAAGACATCAAGGAAGACATCAAGGATGCAGAGACTTTTGGAAATACCTAGGTTAGTATAGTAAAATAGGTGGGGAGGGAGGTACCAGTCGAAACAGCGAAAATTACTAGCGTCCACTAGCGCGCGCCGTTTCTTTTGAGGCCCACCTCCGTATTGGTTGTCGTTGTCGTTTGTGGTCCAACCGTGGTTATCGTCGGCGGATGTCCGGCTTATGGTCTGCGGGGTTTGGGGAACCCCCGCGCAATTCCAGTCTGGGGACCCCGGAATATACGGTTCTCCGCCTATTTTAGCTCCACCCAACGGACGGTCTTGTCGAAACCTTGACAAGAACAATTCCACCTAGGATATGCAAGATATATATGCAGGACATATATGAGTGCAGCGCGGTAATAAGTAGGATTCTGAGGACTCCTCGTACTTAAAGGACCACAGCACAACTTGTCTTGGTTCGTGTTATTTTGCCTCCCACAAAGTCCGGAGTAAATATTAGCATCTGCATCTCTCCCAAGACGCCAGAGCCAACCAATCCTCTTCGGACACACTCGTAATTACCCCGTCCTCCATACGGAGTACATTTTAATTAGGTAGGGTCCGCAGATCAATCCCAAAGGTAAATGCCGTCCGAGGCTGAGTACATGCCCCGTATTGTCGTACTTGAAATGCAACCTCCTTCTCTTCGACCTGATTGGGGCAACAGAGATTCGTTTCCCTTCTAGCCTCTGAAATTGAGTTTCGTACTCTAATAGTAGTTTCTTTTGAAGGTTTCGGGGAGGCAGCAATGGACTTTGAGCCAAGTCCGAGCCACATGGAAGATCCCTGACAATTCCTGGCAATCCTGCCCAGCCCAGCTCTCTTCCCCCGCCCTTGGCAAGCCGGCAACATGCTTCCAAGCTCCAAGGGAGGTCCCTTCCCTTGCCTAACTGTGGAATACTTCCTCGGCAAGTATCGAGTTGTCGGCAACCTGTCTTACTTAACGTTCAAAGCAGCGCGGGACAAGACACTCCTCGGATCTGGCCGATGAACATACGTAGGTGCCACTGTGCCACTTGTGCAAGCCTTGAAGGCTAAGCAAATCATCTCTAACCTAATGCCTAATAAGGACCTGTCAAGGTTCGCAGCCATCTCATCTCGTAAGGCCTGAACTGAAGGAGTGTGGAGCCGCGAGGAGGTGGTCATTATTGTTGTTCGTTCACTCAGTGCAGCTTCATCAACTCTTGCCTTGCCACCGCGAAAGGGCCAGAAGAATGAAATAAAAGTAATGTCAGAGATGATGATGAAGAGAAGTCTGATTTGGGTAGAAGATGCCAGGTGGCAGGTCTATATAGGCGCCGGAACTGACTAAGCCGGAAAGGGGCAAACCGGAATTATTATTATTACTATTCTTCTTCCATTTTAGAGAGCGTTTTTCAGTCAGAGACTATGCACGCTCTGCCTACTGCCTAGGCAGTAGGGCTTAGTGGCTAATATCTATATACAGGTGGGTTATGCTATAGTCCAGTCAACAGTGGGAACCTTCTATGAGGGACAGAAATAGGAAATAAAAAATAGGTAGGCAGTGGTATAATGTAAAGAAATAAAAAGTCAAGGAATGGTGGGTATGCATGGGTTTGAGAAGGAAAAAGGAAGGGGGAGTCAGAAAATAACTAACTATGCAGGTAGCCTGACTAAGTATGACCTAAAGTACCCATGGCCTAGCTTCAATTGGATAATAGATGACTGTTATGGACCAACAAGAGAGGGCGCTGTCCAACACAGCAATGCAGGATGAAACGCTACCCCGCGGAACAATCAGGATCACCTGAAAAGAACATCACTGGAAGTCACGTGAATCGGTATACCAGTGACATTTGGTATACGACATACCAGTGGTATACGAGGACCGTCTGGTATACAATATACCAAAGGTATACGAGTACCAGGAAAGGATAATATTCCAAGGGTAGAAGAAGGTTATATAAGGATGGAAGTGGTCATGTATCTAGCTCTTTACTCACTCGCGCTCAATTCACCCAATACACTGTCAGTTACTAAGATACTTACTTTGGGGGTCAGTAAGACTTCTTACTACTAGTGGTATACCTTGGTATAGCTCTAGTAGGCGCTGCCTCTGACCTAGTCGTTGTTATTCTTCTCTGTTATCGAAGTACCCCTACTTGTGTGTGCATCTAATACTCCAGAGAGAAATCGTCCGAGGAAGAGCCCTTCGCCAGTTAGGCCGTTGTCTCTAGGAGAAGAGACCCGGGTCAGTTAGACCGTCGCGTGCTCGTGAACGACATAGAGTCAAGAAGACTCCTTGATCCTTCCCTAACCACCACTGTTAAGTATCGACGACTACGGTTGGACCCAGCGCGTAACAACCAGCCCCATTATAGCCCCTATCAGACTGGGAGCCATCTGAATAGATGATTATCTTATCATCTATAGGGTCATGTGATTGGGCCCATCTAGAGACTAGTCCTTTATGGTCTAGGGCAGCTTCTTCCTTAGACTTTTCTGATATAGTGATTTTAACTATATCGTTTAGAGTCTCTTGCCATGGGGCTTCTATATAGCTATTATCTTTTATATTTCCCTGCCATTTTTGGAAGGAAAATACAGATAATAGCCTATAGAGCTGACTAGGGAAACTTCTTTCAAGTTTAACGTCCACACCGAGCCTTTCGGCTATGACAGACTCCGAATAATGGGCGATGCCCCTATCTAGTCTCTAACTCCCATCCTTGACCATTCTGGACCTTTTCCTCGCCCCAAACCGCCTTATTGCGCAGGGCCTTCGGGCATTACATACGCCCTCCTTGGTATTAACACTGTATGGGTGTCACCTGCCTGCTGCAGGCCACCCTCCCCTATTATCCCTCCCCCTCTCGTTCTGCCTCTTCCAGGGCCTCCAGCCCCCATTCATCATCCCTATGAGCCCTATCCACTGCCCGTGCCTGGTCCCCCCGGGGGTAACCTATGGCAGTATCTGCTAGGAACTGCAGCAGGGCTCGTGAGGCTTTAGGGTTCCCAAACAGCCTTCCTTCCGGATACTCCTCTGCCATTGTTGGTCTGATGATCCCAGTCTTAGTGAGACCTTGAGATAA